ACTTATCTTTTTTTCATAATTAATTAATCTTTATTTAATTATAAAGATTAAGCATAATTAAGCTTAAGTTAAATTAAATTAAGGCATATTATAAGTTAAAAATTAGATAATAATATTATTAATTTAGGAATTTAATTTAATTTTTATTTAATTTAAGCGTTATAAGTAATAAAAGCATAAGTTTATAAAATATATTATAAATAAAATATTTATATAGCAATTACAACCTTTTAAGCTTTTTAACTTTATATAATTAAGATATTTTAATATATATGCATACTTAATTAACTTTTACCTATTAATTATATACTTTAATAAATTAATTAACCTTTAACTTCTTAATAATAACTTAAGCCTTTTTATATGCTTACCTTTTATAATAATATGGCGTAGCGAAATGATAGTATATTTATAATTTAACTTATATATATAATTAATTAATTGCCTTTTAATCTTAAGTTTAATTTAACTTAATATTTTCCTTTCTTTTATACTTTTTAAAAGTAGCATGCACTTATAAAATAAAAACTGCTAATATGGGAATAATAAATATTGTTTATATAAAGAATTGTTTAGGATTAAGTAGCTTTAACCTATTAAGATACCTAATAAGCAGCAGCCTTAGCGCTGCATATAAAATAACTAACATAATCAAGCCTTTTGCCTTTCTCCCTTATATAATTAATAACGATAAAACCATTATACTAATTAAACGTCGTATTGCAATATGTAACCCAGCTAATAAGTTAAGTATATTATAAAATAAGTAAGTTAATATAGTAAGGAATTATATAAGTATTATTATTAATAATATAAGGGGGGCGTTATTAATTAAAGGGTTAAGTTTATAATATAAGTAATAAGGAATTATAAGGGTATTATTAATTAGCGGAAATATTTCCGCTAAGGTTATTAAGGTTATATATTAAGCATAAGCTAAAAGAAAGATAAGGTAATAATAAAAGTAATTTATTTAATTAATAATAATAATTAAGGTAAGGCAAGGTAATATAAGTATATAATAATAATAAGCAATTAATATTATAGCTATGTAATAAAGTTATTAAAGGAAGGTTGCAATATTTTATAATTGCAATATAAAAGAAACTTAAGCATAAAATAATTATATTATAATGTAAATTAAGATTAAAAAATTAATGGCTTATAATTATTATAATAAGTAAATAGCAACAAGCTAAGTATATAGCTAACATATATTATACTTAATATATATTATAATATAATGCTAACTTAATGCATTATAACGCCGCGGAGTGCATAAACGTTAATAAAGCGGGGTAAGGATATGCAGCCTATACCTTTTTAATTAAGCATAAATAAGCCCCAGCATAATTAATATATATAGCCTATATATAATTGCAATGTATTAATAAAGAACTATATATATAGTAAATGCGTAATTAACATAAAACTATAAGAGCCCTGGGTTTAATCCTTACTATGCATAATATAAGAGCGAAAAGGGGGCTATGTAATAAGCTTAAGCTATTACCCAAGCCATAATGCATACCCATGCCAAGCTTATACTATACTTAACCCTTTTATGTAATGGGGCATATATTTAAAAGATAGATTTAAAGTTAGGCCCTTTTAAGGCCTAACTTACTTCTTAAATATTGCAATTCATAACTCCTTTTAAGTACCTTTTAATAAATACTCAAGGCTAATCCATAATAATAAAAGTTATTTCTTATTTCTTAAAATATAAAGTTTTTATTTATAATAGCTTATCTTTAAACTTATTTTATAAATATTGCTTATATAAGTAAAATTCTTTTTATAGCTTGCAATAAGTTTAAAACTTATATTATTATATTTTTAACTTTAAGTAATCCCTTTTAAAAACTCTTAGCTATAATTAATTTCTATTTATTAATTTAAGAAAAAGCCTCTTTAAGATTTTTAAGTAACTTAAGAGCTTTTTTATATACCGCTTATATTTTTATTTTCTTATTTATTAATAATAAGCCATACCTTACCTTAAGGTTTTAATGCTATTTTTATAAAGGAATCTTAATAATATAGCAATAACTCTTATACTTTAAAAATATAATACTTAATATTTACTTTATAAGTTTCTTTATAAATAATTTTTCTTTTTTATATATTATTTTAAGTTATTTATATTAATAAAGATTAATATTAAATATCTTAACTTTATTATTAATTAAATTACTTATTATTTATTAATTATTTTCTTTATTTTAAATAATTTCCTTATTTTTTTCTTTATTATTTATTATTTAAGATTATATATATTATTATATATATAATTTCTTTATATATTTCTTTTAATAAATATTTAGCATTTTTAAAATAAAAAGAAGTAAAGCTTTATTAAATATTTATAATTTAAGTTTATAAGTTTAAACTTAAAGTTTAAATTTATAATTTTAATTATTTTAATCTTATGGTTTTATTAAAAATGCATTAAGGTTTTTAATATTAAAATAATTAATTATTATAAAATTAGCTTAAAGCAATAAAACTTTTAATTATTAAATTATATATAATTATTAATATATTAAGATAATTAAATGAGTTTTAATAATAACTTAATTATTTATTATTTTTTATTTTTATTTTAGCTAACCCCCTTTTTTTTAATAATTAAGCCTTATTTATCGGAGCTAGTATAGTTGCCTTAGGCACCCTTAATTTAGGTGCTCCCTTGGGGTTGGTCCGCAGTAAACCGATAATTTAATAATATGCATTAATAAAACTAAGTACTTTCTTAATAAGTAAAAAGCTACCCTGCATTTTTAAAAAGCTACCTTAGCTAGGGTAAAAAGGGCTTTTAAGGGTAAAAAGGGCCCTTAAGAGTAAAAAGGGCCCCTAAGGGTAAAAAGGGTCCTTAAGGGTAAAAAGGGCCCCTAAGGGCAAAGAGGGTTTTTAAGAAATAAAGGGCCTTTAAGGATAAAAAAGGCTTTAAAGGTATAAAAAGCTTTAAATAATAAAAAGGGCTTTAAGGAATATAAAAGGTATAAAAGGATATAAAGGGTATAAATAGGCATAAAGGGTATAAAAAGGTAAAGAGGCAAAGGGGTAAAGGGGTAAAGGGGCAAAGGGGCAGAGGGGCGGAGGGGTAAAATCTAAAGTATACTTATATTTTATTAGTATATGCAGCCAATTTCCTTGTACTGGGTGGGCCAACGCTGAAAGCTGGGTGGGCGTACTGTGGAAGCTGGGTGGGCGTACTCTGCCTCGGCATTGGGCACCTCGGTCCGCAACCAAGACTTGTGGCAAAGCACGGAATGCGATGACCACCTCTTTGAGGCAATTGCAAAACGCACAGGGCCACCTTCAGGCCTTCTCGTGTTAGGTTTCGTTGGATGATGTCTAGGACTGAGTCCGTGGTGAACCGTCTGCTTGAAGTAAGCTAACAGATTACCTGCGCATGCCGCCGAACAATTGGTCTAATGTAATCATGCTCATAATGTTAGACACAGAAAAAGGGAAAATCGACCGAGCGACGATGTCTGGCACGGGAGCACACACAGGTAAAATTACCTCTCAGATTGCGGCCAAGATATTTTCTTCTCGCTTGAGGCATCAATGCCATTCGAGGTATCCAAAGAAACTTCAAAATGTGCCGCAAATGAAGAGCCTCAGACAGATCTTCCCATAGCCTTCCCAAGCCGATTTGCGGTCACCAGTTTGAGGTCGGGCTTATACCATTGTAATGCCACCAAACCCTGACGCTCGGTCGCACTGCTGCCGTTGCTTTGTTCAGGGGCTCGACATCCTCGCGAATCTTTTGCCCCATGCCTGACCAGATGCCGGTATGTTTCCATTTTTCTATTCCCCAAAGCATACTGGGCCAATTGGTTCAAGTGCGCCTGCTCCGCCCCTGTCTGCTCCGGTGGCCGGCTTCCCAAGAGGCTGTTGAACAAGGTTACCCGTAGCTCCGGGGCCACGGAGTCACTGTCCTTGACGATATGATCTAGAGCAGTCTTGTGCTGTGGGCCCTTCCGGTCCCAGCGTAAGTCAAAACGACAGGGGGGCATCACTTTGCTTGGGACAGACAGCGGGGGATCGGCCCAGTCCCCAAACGCGAGAATCAGCTCGTTTGGCAGATCGAGGAACTCCATACAGTCAGCCGGACGCGCTGGAAGCTACCACAGCGGTGTTTGAGCGTCCATCAAGCGGCTCACAGATGATTCTGCGGACAGCAGGAGCTCGAGATTTGAATGACATTGCTTCTTCGAGCAAATGCACACGCACTGGCAGTCGGTCTTGCTCCCTTGACCACACAGTGCACGTGCCGGGCTTAACCCCAACCCTCGCCGGTCTCAGGGTGGCAGGTTAATCAACCCCTCCCATCACCCCATCAAGTGAGAAGAAGCAGCTTCGAGACTCTGGTGGTGGAGCTCGTCGTCTTCAGGACACCCCGAGTCGGTTGAGGCTCCCAGTGCAATTGATACCATGCTGCATTCCACTCTAATTCTGAATATGCTCTCCTCTTTTAGGTTTTTCGGTCCAACGATCTGGCCCTGACAGATGTAAGCGCACATCAGAACCCAGTCAGGCGGCATGAGTAGTTGCCGCAGGGCATGCTCGACTGCCAAGTCTCTTCGGCATGAAGCTTCCGGCAGCTCTGCAGTTGTTTATCAATATGAGGTCTCCAAAGCCACCATTCAGAAATCTGTGCAGTACCTGTACTCAGATTAGATCCCCCAGCATTTGACCCTGTGGCCAGTGAGGGACCAAGCGCAAGCCTCCTGGCGTCCTGGCTAGGGCCAAGTCGGCGTTTCAAGCTGTTTCCGAGACGAGACTCCTCGACGCAATGAACATTGGACGAACCAAGCAAGACATACTCGATCGTGCCCAAACCCAAATTCCGCGTCTCAAAACCTTTCCAGACAACAGCTGTCTTCATCTCCAACCACGCCGGCGTCGACACCGGCGGTCTGCATCTCCTATTCCCACCTCAATCGCCCACAACAACTTGCGCTTTGATCGCCTCTCGCTTGCCCAATATGGACCTTACACCCAAGACAACGGAAGACAAGGCCTTTGCGAAGAAGGACCACCACCACCTCAGACCGAAGCCGAGGCTGTCCGAGCGAAACAAATTCGTTATCGGCTTGGTTCTCTTTCTTTCCTGGGCCTTCATCTTCCTCGGCTTCTCCAACAGCGCAAACCCACCGCTCCCGGAAACCTCCACGACGCGACAGCTATCAGTGCGCAACTTCTCCTGCACCGAAGCGTTCTGGCCATCGGCCGAGCAGTGCGGCAAGGGTGGCGTCAACTGCGTCCCAGACACGAGCGGCCAGTTCGAGGCCAAGATCATGGCATTCCGCTGCCCCGCGAACTGCGTGCGGGACGCCGCGGCCGCCCCGGCCAGCACGCCGCACCTCGTCGGGGACATGGAGGTCACGCAGCGGCCGGTCGTCATCGGCGGGCCCATCTACCGCGGTGACTCGGAGTTCTGCGCGGCGGCGGTGCACGCGGGCGTGCTGGACGATGCGAGGGGCGGCTGTGGGGTGGTCAAGCGCATGGGGCAGACCAACTCGTTCCCGGGCTCGGACATGTATGGCCTCGAGTCGCTCGCCGTCAAGACGTACTTCCCGCTGACGTTCAACTTCCCGACGACGAACGAGGAGATCAACGGGAGGTGTCCGGAGGCCATCGACCGCAGCTGGGTCTTGCCGTGGGTGACGATTGGGCACTCGGTTGTGTTCTTCCAACTCACGAGTTCTACTGGCGCGAGGGCTGCCTGGCTGGCTTCAGTCGCAACGGCCCACCTGCTCCGGTGGAGGTCAAGCTCGGCACCCTCGGTGGCAACGGTCCCTGCTCAGCACGCAGTCTCGGAGCCGGTCCCCATTCCGAAGATTTTGGACCCGGAGATAAACACACAAACCCTTGACATGTCCGTTGCGAATATCACATTCAAGTGGTCGACACCTACGCCGGCTGGGATCGAAGGGATTAGTATGCTGGTAGATGACGTGGAGAGGGAGCGTGTGTATTTCGGAGATGGGAAGGGAAAGGACAGCTTCTTTTGGGAGAGAGGACCGCAAGCTTTTGTCGATTATATTCGGTTCGGTTATGTAAAGAATGGGGAGGTTTTGAAATATTCTTCCGCGGGGACATGGCTGCTTGATGATTCGTGGACGGGGATCCCGGCAAAGGACAAGGTTAAGATGTAGCTTGTTTCTAGTTCTAGAGAGTGCGGATGGATCGCAAGGCGAAATCACATCATGGAAGCATCTGATGATTATAGCAAGGAGCAGTCGGAACTTATCACCGCACCTTGATGGCTTTCAGGGACTATCCACGGCTATGTAAGAAGGTCAGGCCATCTTCTAATTACCGTCCATGGCAATCGTGGAGACCCGAGCCTTCGAGGAGGCACTGAGGAAGTACTAGTGACCAATTTCCTTGCATCGGACAATGCGAGATCAAAACTGATTTGAGCTTTAGTGGCCGTGCTTTGCTTTCCCTTGCATCCAGACATTCAAAGTCCCTAAAAGTCGGGACGAAAACCAGCACCAAGGTACCTACCTAGAAATTTTGCGAGTTGCCCCCCCCCCCCAACTTATCAACCTAGCAACGAAAGCTTTCCCTTCGCAGACTGCGGCATCTTCTTCTTTCACTCCATCTTAGCCTACAACAGTGCGTTGAGTTTGGCACCACGACATTCTACGCCTTTGCGCACTTCTCGCGCCACTGGTTTCTCCCTTCGTTGCTTGGATTGTTTTCTGCACAACCTGTCGGTTCAAGACTTGTTCAGACACATTGCGCCAGACATAACAAACTCTTGGACAACCCATAATCTCTTTCCTGAGACCCAGCAAGAAAACTTTGAGACAGGCAGCAGACCTTGTTCTTTTCCCCTCCAATTCAAGGTTGAAGACGAACTTTCAGTCGCATCTCGCGATCTCCCACAATCCATCCAAAGTTGCTTTGCTTGCGCAAGCTCAATCTCCCAAATTCTAGGGCTCTTACGGAACCCCTTACCAGATTCACACCTATCCTCCTTTCAGAGTTGTCCAACCTGGCCAGCTTCGCCTTGTCATGAAGTCCTCGCCTTCAGATACATCATCGACAATGGGCAGCGTCACGAACGGCATGAATGCCCACTCGTCCCTAGAGGACTTGCAGACCGATGAGCAGCGTCGGGTTCTCGACACTGTCTCCAAAGTGCGCAAGTGTGGACTTGAAAGTGTTCTTTCCTTGCCCCAAATTGTTGTTTGCGGTGACCAGTCCTCGGGAAAGAGCTCAGTCCTAGAGGCTTTGACCGAGATTCCGTTCCCCAGGTTTGTCTTTCTCCCTCATTCATATTCCAAACAGATTCTGACCATCTCTCAATAGAAACGACAATCTTTGCACTCGCTTTGCCACGGAGATCAGTCTTCGCCGAGAGCCTACAAGCAGCCTGGATCTAAAAATCATCCCAGATGAGAAGCGTCCCAAGCCCGAGCAAGAGAAGATGAAGAGCTTCTCCGAGTCCATCACAGACCTCAACGAGTTGCCATGCATCATGGGCAAGGCCATGAGCATCATGGGTATCTCTGATGGCCGGAGCGCCTTTGCTGAGGACACCCTTAGTGTTGAGATCCAGGGCCCCGATCGTCCTCACCTCACCTTGGTGGACATCCCAGGTATCATTCAATCCTCGACCAGAGGAGTAACGAATGCCGATGTGGTCAAGGTCGCAGGCATTACAGAGCGCTACATCAAACAACACCGCACGATTTGCCTTGCCGTAGTTTCCGCCACCAACGACGCTGCCAACCAGCCCATTCTTCAGCAGGTTCGCAAATTTGACCCACGCGGAGAGGCAAGTGATTTCCCATCCATTCAAAGAGTTGCATCACACATTCTGATATGATCTATATTTTAGCGAACTCTGGGCGTCATCACGAAGCCAGACCTGTTGAGTGCTGGCTCAGGCTCGGAGACCAAGTTCCTTGAGCTCGCTCGCAACGAGGATGTCATTTCCAATCTAGGTTGGCACGTTATCAAGAACCGAAAATTTGAGGAGCACGAATTTTCAATTGATGAGCGCAACCTCTCGGAGAAAATCTTCTTCTCTACATCCAATTTCAAAACACTGCCCAAGGAGAATGTCGGCGTCGAAGCCCTGCGGGTGAAGCTGAGCCAGCTGCAATTTGAGCACGTCAAGAATGAACTTCCACGGCTGCAGGCGGACCTTGAAAAGGCTCTAAAGTTTGTAGAAGATGGCCTGTAGTTGCTGGGAAAGCCGCGATCCACCGATGTGGAATGCCGCGAGTTCTTCGCAGACCTCAACTTGAAATCTTTCGAGCTGTGCAAAGCCGGCGTAAGTGGCCACTACGAGAATGATTGGTTCAAGGAGGGCAAGTCTCCCCTGAAGGACTGTGACATTCCAATTCGCCGCCTACGAGCCATCATCCAGTGGGCAAACACCAAGTTTGCCGATGAGTTCCGTGAGAGGGGTCACAAGTACGAGATTGATTTCAACAAGTCCAAGTCCGTATCGTCAAGCACTCCAAAGGTCCTTTCCAAGAAAGACGCCCTGAAATGGGTGAAGACGGTCCTCCAACGTGCGCGAGGCACCGAGCTTCTCGGGACATTCAACCCCAACATGGTTGCAGAGCTATTCTGGGAGCAGTCGGAGGCCTGGGAAAAGCTTTCAGTCGACCACATCGAGAGCGTCGCTAAAATGTGCGAGCTGTTTGTGTCCGCCATTTTGACTTCCATCACGCCAACGAACATCAAGTCTCGTGTTTGGTAAGTCATGCCTTTTTATAGGCACAGTTATTCCGGCCACTGACACTCTCTTCACCTAGGTCCTCACTCGTTGCCCCTGTCCTACAGCAGCGCTGCAAGGACGCCCTGAGTGAACTGGACAAACTATTGGCTGACTCCAGGGACTTTCCCATTAATTACAATAACTATTACACTGAAAGTGTGCACATCAAGCGCCAGAAGCGGATGCTAGAGCAGTTGGGGGACTATGCGAACGAGGACGTCGACGACGAAGAATGGATCGAGACCTCCGCCAAGGACGTAGTCAAGAATGCCGTATCCAATTGGGGCAACTCTACCACTGCGGACATGGAGGATTTCAGCTGCGAGGAAGCCCTCGATTGCTTGCTTGCCATCTACGAGGTATGAGCTATCATGTTTTTCCTTTTCACCGGGTCTTGTGTCCTGACAAGCAGTTCAAAGGTTCAGCAAAAGACTTTCATCGCCAATGTCACGACCCAAGTCGTCGAGCGGCACATAGTCCGCGGTCTGCACAACATGTTCTCGCCCCTGGTCGCCCTTGATATCCCAACCCCCAAGATTGAGAGCATGGTTTCTGAGCCCCCGGTTGCGAAGCGGCAGAGGGACTTCCTGACTGACCAGGCCGAGAAGCTGAGAGAGGGCAACAGAATCTTCCGTGGTATCACCAGGGGTTAAACACCTCGAAGGTCGGCAGCAAATCGTTGGCAAAAACATTCAAGGGTCATGTGTGCCAGTCCAATTTTGGAACAAGACTGAAGAGGCATGGACTTCACCCAGGTAGAGGTCAATTTTTGGTACGCTGAAGCGGGAACGTGGATCGCGCTACTTGCAGGTTTGATGGCGAGGCAACGACTTGCAGGTCTTTCACCCATGATGGGGGATTAGAGTGCCGTCAAGGACAGAAGACCTGATATGCCGGCACTTCTTTAGCAAAGAGCATTTGAGGCCCGTAGAGTGACATTCAATAGAGGCATGATGAAGGTGCCTCGTGGTGTAGGTAGTGATGCTTGGTGAAAGAAACCCTGCGGAGACACTCACGGGTCCTTCAATCATTCGGGAAGCCCCATTGGAGCAGGAAGCCAGAGGCGAGGCACGCATGTACTGGTTCCCTAGGGGAACGAGAATCCGGTCACCAATTCTCTCGCTACGAGCCTCGGTTCCGAAGATCCGTGAGACACGTGAAGCAAGACACCCCTGAGTCTCGTGTCACTGACTCGGTAGGCCTGCTATAATCGTGGTACTACCCGTGCGACTTAGTTGACTTGGAACGTCAGAAACGAGCGAACGCCATGGAGATAATACCTCGCGTACACCGAATCTACATTGGTAGGAGGTCCGTCTAGACTTGGCCGTCGGCGGTTTGAGTGAGACAAGACTGCTTCGCCCGGAAGACTCGACGACATTTGAATCCTTGGACGGCCTAGACAACTTGAGCTATCAGAATTTTGGAGGTGTGACTGTACTATCCTGGCGTGCACATGGCGCGGCTGTGACTGCGATGTCTTGCATCGAAACGACCACCTGTACACGTCACTGCAGGTCCCGGACCCGGCCCCTGTCAACCTCAATGTCTTGGGTTGGATGCAGCGTCCCCAAAATGGCAATTACTTTGGTCAAGCAGCTCAAGGCCGAGGCGTCCTGTTGTACCAGGCCGGTTACGATGGGCAAGATGAAGGCAAAAAGTTTAGTAAACACGTATTTGAATCAGTACCAGACTTGGTACACAGCTCAGTATTCTCCCTGGATATTTCTGGGTGGGAGAAGAGCCAGCCATATGCTTGGATTCAAAAGGTTGTGACCAACTACACGAGAGCTTATGACATGGCAGAAGTGTCCGTCTTCTGCTCTCGAAATCAAGCCCATGGATCCTATCCGTGCGGCCGCGCCAGTCAAAGATCAATGATGCATGAAAGCAATTTGCGATGGTTCAGCCGCCTGTGAAACATGGGCTAGAGCTGACATTTGTTTCAATCACGACAGGTAGAACCCCGAGAACAAACGCCGGCTGACTGAGAGTTAACAGTCATTGAAAAGGTTCCTCTGAGACCACACATCACGTCAGTTTGGTTGATTTGTCGCCTTGTATCAACAAAACCTCTTCTACCGCCTGATTTGAACTAAACTTACCGGAACTCCTCCTCGATGTCTTTGAAATTCGCTGATCTTCTTTTACGCATGGAAGACCACGACATCATACCAACATGTCTGAGTGCCGAACGCCACAGGCCACGGGATTTCCTTCTTCATTACCTGGGATGCGAGCAATTTTTCCAGCGAGAGGACTACCTGGCCTCACTGAGTCCCGAGCAGGTGAAGCAGGTCAACACAAGGCTACAACGCATCCAGTATCTCCGTTCTGTACTCGAAAATGACCTAGGCGAAGGCCGGCAGCTGGTCCAAAACCTGACCAGCAGCTTGGCCAGCTGGAGAACGACCAAAGACTTCCAAGAAGGGATCGGCCGGGTCAGAGAGCTGCGCAACATGCATTTCGCAAACAACGGCTTCTCGCAACGAGAAGTACACGCATCTGGACGCTACCAAGATTATAATCCCGACCTTGACACTCATGCCTACCTCATTCGGTTCAAAGACGGGAGACTAGTCCGTGATATTACGGACGACAGATTTCATGAGCAGTTCCCGTGCTACAGGATCTCAATGCACGACTTAATTCACGGCAGTGAAGATGACAGTGCATTAGTTCCCCCAAAGGGCACCATCAACTATTTCCATTTCCCCGCGAACAACATGTTTGTAAGTGACGACAAGTCAGATTGAACGATGAGGTGAAAGACTCGAGGATTCATATTGACCATCGTCAGTGGGCTGAAGTATGTTTTTTACATTCTGGCATGGAGCGATTCAGGTATTGTCAGCCTTAGTTCAAGGGAGGCTGACATGTCATCGGCAGCGAGCTATCAAACGGTACCTCAAGCAAAAGCCCGGCCCTACATCCGATCAACCTCACGCCAACACTCAGAAAGGGACATCGGATCATACCGCAAACAACGGACCTCCTCTGGAGCAGGGGCTCTTCGCATCACGGTTTTGGAAAAGCCAACAGCAGTCGTCTTCAGTCACGGGAAAGTACCTTGGACCAATGTGCGAGGCAATCCCTGGACCCACAGGTTTGGATACAGACTCCGCAGTGTTTAAATACGGATCCTTCGCACTAAGCTGACATTTACGGTGATAGAAGAGAGGCAGGACAGCATAGCTTTGTTTGTAGGACGCCACGATGCTGCGATGCTCAGTTCAAAAGCTAAAGTCAGCTCACAGATGCCCTATCCCCACTGGGATACAGCCCGCCACCAGGTCAAGATCTCGGATGCAGTCCAGAAGGAGGAGGAAAAATATAAAAGGGACAAGATCATGAACGAACAAAGACTCAGAGGCATGCGTAGAGTCAGACAGAGGGGACTCCAGCTCCTCAATGCCCAGAGTCGCCAGCCTGGTTCGGAATGGCGCCTAGAAAACCGCGATTTGGAAAAACCTCGGACGATTGCTGCTAGACCACCGAAAAGAACAGCCACGGGCGCCTTCGCAAACATCATGAAGCGGCAAGGCCGGTTCCGCAGGCTGCCTCTGTGGTCGGTTTTCAACACTGATGCGACCGGAAGAGTGATGGCTGGCACGGAAATCGGCCAAGTGCTGTTCGATGCCGCAGTCCTTTACGAGGCCATGTCCACACACAGGGAGAAGAGCCTCATCAGAAAGTACCTGCATTCAGATCCACCGCTCCACCCACGCCGTACCCTTGAGCAGACCAACGAATGGACATTAAGCTTGTCGTGGCATGCTAGTGCCAGGGACCAAGTCGTGCACCGCGCAACCAGACCCAAGCAGCTGGACTTCCACTCAGTCGACCCTTCCACCAAGGAGTGGAGGGACAGAATCCGTAAGTTGCCTCGTGTGATGATGATTGACCAACTCTGGATGTGGATCCTCGACGACCAAACCATTTTCACCTGCTTTCCAGAACACGGTGACCTCAGCCATCATAATCATCTCCCGGGGATTCACAGCCGTATCCGGGATGCCGTTCTGAAAAATGGCAAGGATGCTGTTCGAACTGTCTCAGACATGGCGCTTGTCATCCTCAGTGAAGTGCAAACGTCAAAAGCCTCCATGGGCGGGATCAAGGCAGGCTTCCCTTCCTTATAACAGAACCCCTGATGTAAAGTGAGATACCAATACGCTGACATCATTCCAGCCGCAAGATGGGACACTTCTTGTCATGCAGCTTTTCAGACAAGCGATTCGTGATGTGGTGCGTGACCAACATTGATAACGATTAATTAGTTGGGTTAACCTTTCTGAACCAGGCCACCAAGCATTCATTCGGCGCCGAACAATACTGGGAGTGGGCAAGGATCTTCTCCCGGCTGGCACACACTGACGTCGACAACGGCTTGAGTGACTTGATCGTGCCTTTCCTTGACATCGGAAAGGAAGGTGAGCTTCAAGGGCAGATCAAAAGTGTGGTCAGGGACCTCCAAATCATGCTTCACATTACCAAGGGGCAGCTTGAGGTGCTTCAAAAGTTCGAGAGATGCATGTTGCAGATTTCTCGACGCAAGAGCACTGTCAACACGGAGCCACTACTCACGGATGTCCAGAATTGCATACAGGATTTGGAAGACATGGCTCGGACTGCGGAAGGGATTTCGACCAGCGTGAGTGCACATCCGGCCACATGTGTTTCAAAAACAGTCCAGTCGCAGCTAACAATAAGATCAGTTGGACTACCTCATCTCATTGAAGCAGCAACAAGTCACCGTCGTGCAAGCCTGGCAGTCAATGAAAGAAGCTGAGGACACCCGGAAACAGAATGTTACTTTGTTAGTCTTCACCGTGGTAACTGTCGTCTTCGTAAGTCATTTCACCCCATGACAACTTCGGCTATCAAGGTTAGTACTAATTGATGTTGAAACTTCTATCAGCTGCCAATGTCATTCATCTCGAGTGTTTTCGGCATGAACAACAAGGAGATTGCGGGCAGAGATTCCCCAATGACATTAGCTGATCAGTTCAAATGGATGAGTACGAACCAAAATGCCTCCTTTCCCTTCTCCAACTATCACTGACAAGTCAAAGTGCCAATTTCACTAAGCATCGTGGCAATCACATACTACTTGGCCTTCGGCAACCCCTGGAGGGTGTCGCGCGACATCTTCCGCTGGGTGTACATGAAGTGCGGAATGTACCAGATCTTTGCCCCACGAGATCTCACACTCTCATCCCTGAGGGACAAGTACAAGGACCGGTCCAAGAGGAAGGAGGCAGAGCAGGCCTGGGAGCGCCGCCGTTCCGCCCAGATGGCCAAGGACAACCAGGAGAGGAGGGCTGCTCTGAGGCGTCCGGCGATGGTGGCCCAGCAGACGTCTGAGGCCATGTCTCCTGACACACCCATCATGACGCCGATCACGTCTGACGAGCCGAGCACTGGAATGTTTGCTGTGTACCAGGAAATGACCAATACTCCGACGAAGGGGCGCACACCGAATTCGTAGCGCGTGCAGGCGGCAGGGTGGAACATCCCACGGGGACGAACTGGGAGAATACCCATATAGACTTGGGAAGGATCGTGGTGCATAGGGATGAAAAAAGCAGTGAGTGCTGGTGAAGGTACGTGAAATCGTTGATCAATAAACACCAGTACAAGGCCTTCTTCGGAATTCCCCCTGTCGGGTTGAGAGTTGGTCCGGAACGGTCCCGTTAAAGTTGGGAGCTGGGTTATCCCACGTGCAGCATCCATGCGATGTGTTGCTATGCATAACACGCATCGTTGTAGACCCACCTTTCCCTGGATTTTCCACCTCTACCACCACGTAGACCCTGTCAAAGTCGTCTGATGTCTTTCATGGACCAAAGATCAGCGGTATCTACGTGCTAGTACAACGTGTAAGGATCCTAAATCTTTCCCTGTAGATGCATTCAGCCCTTACCCATTTTAAAGGAGGCTACTTACCCATATAATTTGGCTGTGACGAATACAGATCTTCAATAATTCTGGAGAAATCCACTATTCCTTAACATGTTCTTCCAGTAAGAAATCTTGGTTAGAAACACTTCGCTACAAACGGGCCAATCATGAACTGCGTGAAAGGGGAAGATTTGGGATCCTTGCATGGTCTAATATCTTAATCTCGAAGCATGATCTTCATCTCAGTATCATACTGCATTTCCAACATAACGAAATCCACCCTCCCTAGGCGGACAAAAACAATAATTATACTATAAATAATTAGCAAGCCTATTTTTAAATCCTAGCACTTCTTAACTTTAAGATTGCTTTAAAAAATATATTTTACTTATTTTAAGGAATATAAAAAGTATTAGGTTAAGCCTTAATTAAGTAATGCTTAAGCAAGGCTTACTAGCTACTTGCTATATTTAACCCTTTGCCTTAGCTAGCCCTTTTTTAATTTAATTGCCAGCCTGGTAGAGAAAATTTAATTCAACTTGAGATATTAAGTTTGTCAGGTGGAGCCACTTTCCCTTTTTCGGCATAACTATCGTTTTCATCCGCCCGGGGAGGGTGGATTTCGTCGTCCCGCTGCATTTCCATCCATGAAGTTACACGTGTAGCCAGTTTCAGGGCTGACAGACATGTTCAACTGGTCTTCAATGCTGGGATCCAACAATCAAGTACAATGCAAGGGCGAGGAAAAGGAAAAGGCTTCTCAAAACGTGCGTCGTGGATTTTAATGGGGATTACAATTGGGCCCTATCGCCGATCAAAATGAGAGTGAAGGGGGTAGGCCATGACTCGCAGCGTGCTTGTTATTGTGCATGTTTTCTGTTTCAATTTGGCAGTCTCCAATGTAGACTATCTAGTCAAGCACGAACGAGTGGAACGCTGCAAGGCACCTCACGAAAATTCATGGTCACAAATGGCGGTTCGGACGGTGAGGGGATCCCGTTGATTCGCGGGACCCGAAAGCCCGAAAGCAATAAGCAAGTGGGGTTCGTCGCAGCGGACAACCACGCTGGACAGATCCGGAGACGGACCGGCGTGAGGCTGTCGTCGATGCTTCCCCGCAAAATGGCAATTTAGATGAACCTAAAGTCAAAAGGAGCATGAAGCCCCGTGCCAATGCTCCGCCACCACGGGATGGTCCACACCCACCACGGGCCACTATTTAGAAGGGAGGACGCTCACCTGACAGCTCCTTTTAACAGGGGAGCTGTTGACATCAGAGTCGCTACTTTTCAGCGTTCCATTCGCTCCCACCAGACCACTACAGAAGGGCTTCCCATTCGTTTGAAGCCGGCATTGTCGCATTCTCCCGCTCACTAGGCGCCTAACCTCTTCCCGTCCGACAAGGGGCTCGGAGCCGGCTTCCCCAGAATTCCAGGGCAGCTTTTGTATAAGACGACAAGTCATTGTACGGTCTGATCCTGGTAGAGACCGACCACAGACTATCTTTACTCTATCGATCATCATGCACAAAGGGCTCCTACTTGCCGCCGCCTTCAGTGGCTTCGCGGCCGCTGACGAGACATGGACCATCAACGCCAGCTCCAACTGGGGGACTTGGGAGGGTTGGGGTGTATCTCTGGCTTGGTGGGCAAAGGCCTTTGGCAACCGTGACGACCTGGCCGACATTCTCTTCAGCCTGGACAACACCGCCTTCAGCTCTAAGAGCGTGCCTGGGCTGGGCTTCAACATTGCCCGGTACAATGCCGGAGCTTGCAGCAGCAACACGTACAACGGTACGTCCATGTCCGTGCCGTCCACCATGAAGAAGTCGCGTCAGATTGACGGGTTTTGGTGGGATTGGGCGTCCAAGGATCCAGCCTCATCTAGCTGGGTAAGAACCCCCCGTATGCTGTTATTTTTTTCTCATGTCCGCACCGGGCTGTGAATCGACCCCCTAGCCCAAAAGAATGCTCTTACTCTCGCCGGGGCAGAGTGTTGAGCATTCAAAGATTCATCTCACGCGAGCAAGTTAAGAAATAACGATCAATGACTGCGCGGTAGGGCTCTTGGCCGAATCATTGCTAACATAGATAATGTGCAGCACTGGACCGTCGACGCCAACCAGAGGACTGCTCTCACCAAGGCCAAGGCCAATGGAGCCAACCGCTTTGAGCTTTTCAGCAACGCTCCTATGTGGTGGATGCTGTACAACAATAACCCTGCTGGGAGTGATGACGGGTCCTCCGACAACCTGCAGACCTGGAACCAAGGCGACCACGCGCTGTACCTCGCCCAGGTCGCCGCACGAGCAAAGAGCAGCTGGGGCATCAACTTCGAGAGCGTCGAGCCGTTCAACGAGCCCATCTCGACCTGGTGGAACGGCAAGTCGGGCACCCAAGAGGGCTGCCACTTCAGCGTCAGCGCACAGGCCAGCGTCATCCCGCTGATGCGCTCGCAACTCGACGCCGTCGGTTTGACATCTGCAGCGGTGGCCGCATCAGACGAGAACAGCTACGACGAAGCCGTCTCGACATTCAAGGGGCTGGGCTCGGCCGCCGTCGGCAAGATCGGCCGCGTCAACGTCCACGGCTACCAGAAGGGCAGCGGCGATCGCAGCGGGCTGTACACCCTCGCCACTAACGCGGGGAAGAAGATCTGGAACAGCGAGTACGGCGAGAACGACGCCACCGGCAAGCAGCTGGTGTCGAACCTGATCCTCGACTTCCGCTGGCTGCACCCCACCGCGTGGATCTACTGGCAGGCGATCGACGGCGGAGGCTGGGGCCTCATCAACGGCGACAACGACGCCGTCACGCTCAGCAACGTGGAGCAGAAGTACTACGCCCTCGCCCAGTTCAGCCGTCACATCCGTGATGGTATGCGCATCCTCGACGGTGGCTCCGACCACGTCGTCGCGGCGTATGATACCGCCAAGTCGAAGCTTATCATCGTTGCTGTGAACTGGGGATCAGCGCAGTACATCAACTTCGACCTGTCTAAGTTCTCTACTGCTGGGACGGACGGTCAGACCATCCCCAGGTGGTCGACTGTGGTCGCCAGCGGTGGTGCGCAGTATGTCTCTTCGCCGGCCGACACAAAGCAGAGTGGCACCAAGTTTTGGTCTTATTTCAACACCAACCAGGTTCAGACCTTCGAAATTTCGAATGTCAAGATTTGAGGACCTTGTCTTGAGCATATTCTGCATCAACTTCTTTCATGTATATAGACTATTTGTATTCTTTGAGTTCCGCTACTAAGCTGGAACGACAATGATTGTCCTAGTGGGACAAGAGACAATGTAGGTTGTAGGCAATTGCAGTCAAATTCGCTATGCAAGGCTTTAGACAGTGACTATTCAATCTTCTGCAAACCAGTCTCGCCAGTGTTGTGTCAGAAGCCGCTAATTCGCACCAAAAGTCTTAGCGTCAGGCCGTGCCCATTCGTGCTGGCGCTGTTGACAAGCTGTCAAGCTTGACACCAGGCCGGTCTCCGTCGCGGACGAAGCCATCTCAACCTAGTTTTTGACACCGTCAAGCACTATGTTCAAGTGCCTTCGCCATGTGACTCAGGCCTTCGAACACAAATTGCCCGAAATGGACAATATAAAGCTGCCATCTCCCAGACTGAAGATCTGTCTCTGCTTGAAACGCAAAACAATCTGCGCCACCTCTTTCATGTATATAACTACGACCGAGAGTATCGGTAATCGCTGAAAAATGATTGAAACGTCGGCATAAACGCCAGTAAATACACAGAGCTATCTCGACAACATGACGTGGATTAAGACGTGTACCTCTATGTTTTTTTTATTTTTATGGATACATTGTAATGAACACTGAACAACTCAGCAGGATACATAATCTCCACCAGTAGATAAGGCACTCCAGTATCACTCGACAATCGTCTGTCCAGCATGTTTATTGATACTAAGATTATACGTGTGACTTGCAGTTGTATCGAAGGAGCTACCTCAGTCACCATTTTCTGCGTTTCTCTGGTATTCGAGGCAGTAAAACTCGCGAGGATCGTCCTCTTCAGGCGCGCCTCGCACGCCGTACTTGCATTGCCACTCTAGCTCAACAAACTCCATCGCCCCGGAAGCCTCCAGCCGCTTTGCGTCCCACATCACATATCCCCAGCGGCGCAGTGCAGGGGGGACATATCTGCCGAACAAGTTGCTATATCGGCCGCCCCAAAAAGCCACCCACGCTAGGGGAGGAGAGAACAAATCATCCTGCTCACATTGGATCTTTTGTTGGCTATCCTGCGCTTCGTCACGTTCGGTATATACCTCTTGGCGTCTCAGGTCTTGATCAGATGCATTAGACCAGACTGTAAATTACCAGTTAGTGTGTACCAAATCCGTAAAAAGGCTGTGACCAATTCACCATTGTTCTCATTGCTTCGCTTGGCAGGAAAGAGCCGAAGGCCAACACCAAGGGCCGCAAGGGGAATACGTGCAACTTGATTGCTTACCAGCGCTGTCAATCCATTCACGACGATAGACCCAGTCTCCACTTAAGATACTATATCTGACGTCGTCGACGAGCTCTCCGCTGTTTCTAGCTTCGAACGAATCCTGCAGCACTGGGAGCCCCAGCGAGAGCATAGTGGTGAGAGCATCGTCATTTATGACTATAAGACAATGTGGGTTAGACTATTTCACAGGAGGCGAGGAATGGGGAATGAACTCACGGTCGTAATCGTATAGAATCGGTCTCTCTTCAACCTCCCACAGGTGCATGCTGATATACTTCGGTTGATCAAGGTGCCATACGCACTCAACGAAAACGCTCTTGTATCTGTCCTTGGCGAATTCGTGCACACAGAGTATCTCCTCGGCTTGCCAAGGCCCAAAAGCATCCATGGCTTCGAATATCGCTTGATCATCTCGAATGGGAATATTGCAGATAATTTGTAGTCGATACATAGCTCGCTGTATATGGGCTTTTTCTGTCCCCGTAAGCGGAGCTGCTTCCGGAGACGAGGACAATGCTCCCAGGGCCCAGCGGGCGTAACGCTCCGTCAGAGGCTCGACCACACGAATGTGAAAATAAGACATCTTGCGAGCTACTGTGAGGGACAGGTCGTCTATTGTAGAGCCCGTGGGGTCAATGAGTAGACTCTCAAGGTAATCCTCAAATGAGAACGGCCCAACTCCAGCTGCAGCATCATATCCCCCAAACCATAGGTCAGACCAGCAAGCGGCATAGGCATCCTGGAGAATGCCACCGAGAGAGTTATTGAGAGACTTGTTGAGGATCAGAAGTCTGTGACGGAAATAGACGTGATAGAAACGGGGCGAACTTCTTATCAGAGCGCGGAGTGAGCTCAGGGATGACTCGGCTAGGATCGCAATCTGAATCTCCACAGGTAGGCTTTCGAGTGAGGACAGAATGACTTCTGTCGCACCCGCTGACGAAGCTTTGAGTTCAGGCTGTAGAGCTGCTGGCATAGGAGCTTGCGGTGAATCCGGAGAGTTGCAAGCAGCAACACTCGCAATAATATCTGGCTCCGTCGTCAAAGGCGTTGTTTTGCGGCTTACGCAGCATGCAAGCCGCCGAATATCAAAAAAAAAAAAAAAAAAAAAAAATCTGGTTTATGGGTCGAGACGAGCTCGACTCGAAGTCAAGATACGGCGGTAAAATTTGAATGCATTCGATGAGCACTGCCGGCATGACTGACTTGTTGGAGTGACTCAGATGTGGTGCGCTGCAAATGCTGAATGCTTGGACGGCTGCCTAACGTCGGTATTGTAGCCGTGCAGAAACCCTACCAGATATTGAGACGGGATACTTTCGGCTCCTGACCAGAACTCGGTGTGAATTCATGACATTCTCAAATCTGCGTGGTGGTGGCATGTCGAGGCGAGCAGTTGAAGCACTGTAGGCTGAACATTTGGAGTTGCCATGCAATTCCGTTCACACTATCTCGGTTCAAGCCACATGTTGCCTGAATGTTCTAGCCAATGTGCCAATAAGTCGTCTAACCTGAGATAGTCTTCCGTCCTGCCACAAAGTGAAGCGGATGCGGCCGCTAGCCCGCCGGCCCAGAATCCCTCCGGACCCTTTTCAGATTAAGGCATGTGGCTCTCGTCAGCCACTTCCTTGAGCTTAATTCGACCACATCTTGTTCCACTGTCTCACACAACCCCCGTTCACCCAAGCCAGCCAAGACTGAGCAAGACCCATGGACCCCGGATCCCACAGTGAAGCAGGGCCTTCTATTCCTCCGAGCCGGTTGGAAGGTCCCAGCAACAATGACACCGGCACCGCGAGAAAGAAGAGGCCAGTGAGACGGGACCCAGAGAAGAGGCGTCAGCAGAACATTCAGGCCCAGAAGAAGTACAGTGAGTCCTCGCCTCATTCTTTCTGCGCCATGTTGCATGCTCACACTACCTCCGCTCTGGTACCTCGCTGATCCATACCCCAGGAGAAAAACTGAAGCAGCGCCTCGATCACCTCGAGACTCTTGCAGCCTCCGTCCGCGACAATGCGGGAGTAAGCTCGGAAACCACACCTGAAGCGGACACAAGTTTGGCTCTTTTGCCTCGAAGTAGCCCATCAGATAGCACCACTTCCAACTCGTATTGCGCCTATCATGGGTTACAGCAGAAAGACGGCCTTGATTCCTTCGATTTCTTTGTTGACTTCTCCGGTCCCACTCCTTCTTCTTCCGATCCCACTGCCTCTTCAGATACCGCGCTCTGGGATTCGACCACCTCGTTAGACCTCTCTCATCTCATCCACAAGAAAGACACCACTTCTAGGTCACACTACTGGGTCGGCTTGATCGACTGCGGCTGTGTGAGACCCCATTTCCTAGTGAGCTCCGAGACGACAAGGGACTGGGGGGACATGAAGGTGTTGAGTATCGGGCCAAGCTCCTGCACACCTGACCCCTATATGAATACGCTACGGGTCGAGCGCATATGCAACCTCGAAGCAATTATGTCCAATTGCTTACAGATCGGCATCACGGAAGAGACGTTTTGCGGTGCAAATGCCATCTCCCCGTTCTTCCGGCCCAGGGGCAACAAGGCAGTCAACAGCCCCGGGTCTGATACCACGGTCATGACGGTCCAGAGCATCTTCAAGACGCTGAAGCCGGATGTGAGGCCGATCAAGGAACAAATCACCATGATGCACCGTCCTATGATTGACGTCCTTCCGTTCCCAACGTTCCGGAAGAACCTTATATACAGTGGTGACGCCGTCCACGAGGAGGAGCTCTACCATGACTTGCTCAACGGGCTGGTATGTTGGGGAGGAGCAGGAGTCGGGAAGAAGGACAGAGATGCCTCGACGGGTCACGTATCGACTGGCACGCCGTGGGATAGCAGGAGCTGGGAAGCAAGACCGTGGTTCCTGCAGAAATACTGGGCTCTCCTTGGCGGCGAAGATGGAGAGTTGGTGAAACAGAGCGAGTGGTGGCGAAACATGAGAGGAGAGGAGGTCGATCTATGGCTGGGCTCCTAGAGTCAATATTGTTACTGGTATGGGGATTATTTGGATCACAGGCGATTACAGACAAGCATTGAATGACGATATATTGACATGCGACCAAGAGCCGCACATATTTACATCCTCGCAGTCACCTATTCATACGCTACGCGGCCAGCATTTCTGCAGATACGGTTGTTCTTGATGATCCTATGCACTCACTTCGAACTATGGAGCAGGTTTGATAGCAGGGATTGCCTGATTAGTGACGATACCTGGCTGTGGTCACCCATCACATCAATCACAACAACCCCCACATTGAGCCACACGTTGCAATCGCAATATTCTTCAAAGAAATTTGCGTGACCTAGGATAACAGCACGATAGGAGGTCCCCTGAGACTCCAGTCGAACTCCAAGTTTCCACCTACTTATTCCTTGACCGAGGCGGGGTCTGATATATTTACTTGGAACATCACATAGCCTAGGGAGTCAGAGAAGCGCTTGTCCTTCGGAAAGGAGAGCAATTGGACCACTTCACCGGGGGCCGCAACGGCTTTGAAATGAGAATGTTCCCAGGGCATGTGGATTTTCCCTATGTGTCCGAGGGCTGAAAGTTTTACAGGTTTGGAAATGTACAGTGTCTGTACCCAAATCTTTTTACATGGAGCATTCCCATGTGTTTCAATGTGATAGCGACCCATAACCTATAAAATTCACTTGCCTATGCTTATTCACTATGCGATGATGAATTGAGTAGATCACCACATCAGATTTGGGCAATACTTAAACGAAAAATGCCTTCGGATTTCTCATAATCTCTTGTCCCTAAACACTACTGCCAGTCTTCTAGACATATCAACACATCCCACAACACAACTCTGACCTTGACAAATCAACAACAAACCAAGATTCTCACAATGCGAGCCTTGATCATCACCATCCTGTCGGCGTTTCTGCTGCTCCATGGTGTCTTCGGATCTTTCCTCAACGTCAGGAACAAGTGCGGCTTTCCCGTCTACTGCTCGGCTGCCCGGAGCGATCCTCCGCATGGTAAGACCACTCACCAAGAGAGCTCCGCAACAGTTGACCTTACTGACAGCTCAAAGGAACCTTCACTCCCATCCAGAAGGTTGCTGCGGGTGCAACCTGGAGGTCCCCTCTGGAGGCCAGACCGGTAAGATAAGAATCTTTTGGTTGTTGCAATAGGGTTTCCATCTTGATGGCAACTGTTCGTGCTGGACCTGACCGCTGATTCCGTTTTACAGAACAACATCGGCGCCGTCATGAAGTGCTCTCCAGACCCCAAGGTCCCCGACACCAACCAGTACCAGTTGGAGTTGACCGTGCACGGAGACAACGGCCAGTCTTGGCTCGACCTCTCGATCGTCAACGGACAGCCCTTCACCCCCTACCAGCGTGCGGCCCACTTTCCCTCCATGGGAAACAAGTGCACCAGGCTGCAGTGCGCCCCGGGAGACCACTCTTGCGAGTGGTGCCCGATCGTTGGACAGACGACCTGCACCCCTCCTCGCTACATCGTCTGCGACACCACTTCGGCCGACGCTTGGATGTACCTCTGTGGATATGGCAAGAGGGATGTCTTGGAGGAAATTGAACAGTATGGTTCTTGATGGCAGATGCACGATGCTTCACCTGGCATGGATGGTGGCATGGTGGTGGTGAGGTCGTAGGGGTCAGCTATCCGACGAGCGACCACAGTACATGCACACTATAAATACTTCTATAGTCAAGAATGAAAGTCCATTGTGTCTTTCTCAACAGACCATATTGCGGAAAGGAAAGTTTCTGTAACATCGTGCTGAATATTATGAGCAAAGAGCATCCCGCAGCTGTCTCAACGTCAGCACAGCACACATGCTGTAATTTTCATGTAGACGGCCATGGGCGCACTCAGCGATTTCTGTGATTACTCAACCCAACAAGGGAAGCTCTAGAGGAGCTGTCCTTGTGAACTTTGTTTTGATCATGCACGCGGAACCTTCGGGAATCGCGATCCTAAACCGTCCAATTCTCTGGTAGGCAATTATATCAACGTAAAGACCCGATACTCAAAGTTCGGCTTTGTTCAGCCTTCGTACTAAGTTCTATCGTTTTGAACTTGGTATATGGCATCGCATGCAAAGCCGGTCAAAAATGCCGAACTCTATGATCAGCACAAACTCATGGTCAAACCAATTAAGCTGGCTCGGCGGGGTGAGCAGAAAGCAGGATTAATGTGTGCTGTGTGGTGAACCAGTCGCAAAGCTTGATATTGCACAATGTTTGAGAACTGCGGGAGAGTGTCTGACAATGCGACGTAGTTTTGCGTGGTGGACTTCCGTTGGGGGTTGACGTGGCTGCAACGCTAAGTGTATCGTGGTCATTGAGAGTACTTTGGACGCGTGAGACTCCCGGAGATTAGTGCATATGGTTTGTGATCAGTAAAAGGGTTGTTCAGAGAGGAACCAAGCGATACGCTTCGCTTCGGTGTGGCTTATGTGGATCAAACAAGCCGAGGGAGCGCAGCCGGCAGGTCGAGTTCGCTTTCGCTGCACTGTTGCATGCTGGGCACATTAGTTCTTTAATAAGACCGTCGCTGCAATGTGTTCCCAATATTGTCTTGGAGCCGCACATGCGCATGAACGTCTTCGGATTGATCGACGAAGGAGCATGCTCCCAGCCCGGCTGCTCAACTCTACTACATTCCATTGCGTCTGCGAAACTTCGTAAATCATACAATGCAGTCCTGGCTGGACTTGATAAGAAACAACCAAGTTCTGCAAGCTCTGTTACAAAATGGATGTTCATCCGAAGAGACTGCGAATCAAGGGCGACTGATTCAAGGGGACCCCTCATCCCGGGTCACGGGTGGTGGGGCGCAATCCTAGGCATGTCCACGCGGCTCACCGCATGCGGACGCACGTGAGGGGATGTTCCGCGGGGCTGGCCGTGGTAGGTTTGATGATAGCTCGGTCGTAAACAAGGCCCGTTCGCGCCAGCTGCCCCAGGTGCCCGGGATGCTGGGATGTGGCTGTGCCTAGGTAGGCTAGCGATCTGGGCGCCGGACGCACCTGGGAAATCCTTCCTCCGGTTCAAACGAGACGCGGTTTCGAGTCCCGCGGCTGTTGCAGGCAACCGCGCGACCCCGTGTAGCATCAGGATAGTCAATTCAGTCCACATCTGCCGTCCTCCTGGCCGACGACTCCAGATTCACAAATCCCTCGCATCTCGTGAACAAGCGCTGCGACGTGTTTTCTTTGATTTGTTTGACCTTTTGATGTAACCTCGCAAAGATGAATGGCAAGATAGATACGTATAGAGCCGCCGTGGTGACGGTAAGCAACAGTCCTATATCAGCGCTCATGTAGGGTCTCTTGAGGCCCAACACACATACCTCCCATTACTGAGTGATCCATGAGCTGACACAGTATCTCAGGAGATTGGCACGCCCCCAAAGATCGAGATAAAAACGCTGCCCAAGCCAGCGCCGGGACCCAACGATGTCCTCGTCCGGCTGAACCTCACCTCCCTCTGCGGCACGGACTGCACGCAGGCCGCGGGCCACCTGGGGCCCACGAAATCCGTCCTGGGCCACGAGGGCATCGGCCGCGTCGAGCTCCTGGGGAGCAACGTGTCCTCGCACGACCCCTCGATCCAGGTGGGCCAGCGCGTGGGCGTCGCGTGGACGCGGGACTTCTGCGGCAGCTGCGCATTCTGCACCAACCTCGCGCAGGACGGCGAGACGCGGTGCGCGACGAAGCCGCACTCCGGAGCCGCCGTCGAGGGCACGTTTGCGCAGTACACGCTCGTCCCCGCGCGGTACCTCCTGAGGATCCCTGACGAGCAGTTTGGCGATGTGGCGGACGAGATTGTCGCGCCGGTGCTCTGTGGTGGCGTCACGGCATACAAGGCCATCAAGTCTATCCCTGATTTGACCCCGGGCCAGTGGATCGTGGTGAGCGGCGGCGGAGGCGGCGTTGGGGCGTTCGCGGTGTCGTTCGGCAAGGCGATGGGGTACCGGGTCATTGCGACTGATGCGGGTGCTGGGAAGGGGAGCTATGCTATCGAGGAGGGTGCGGAGCACTACATCGATATCACTTCACCAGAGGTCTCGGCTGCCGGTGTGGGCGAAGCTGTAAAAAGTCTGACCGGGGGCTTGGGAGCAAGCGCGGTGATTGTGTGCGCAGGTGCACCCGCGGCATATCAGTCCGCGCCGGATATGCTGGCACCATTTGGCACGCTGATGTGTGTTGGAATACCCCCTCCCGGAGGCGTCTTTTCTGTGCATCCCTTGACGTTCATCGCGTCCGGGTGGAGGGTTATGGGCTCTGCGGTTGGCACTAGACGAGACACGCTGGAGGCGTTGGAGTTCATCAAGAGGGGGCTGGTCAAGCCAAAGGTCCAGTGGGCCGAGCTGGAACGGCTATCTGAGCTTATGGATGACGTTAGCAAGGGCAAGGTACGTGATCTCCCAGAGACGGTCCGTGGTGACTTGGTAGGCGACATACTAACATTGTTGATTCAGGTCCAAGGGAAATATGTAATAAACTTGGACAAGGCTTAATCCCGGGACACCGTTGTTTTTAGCGGCCGCTGGAGCGTGGTGCGTTACTAGGGAAAGACGTGGCGGTTTTTCTTTTTAAGACCATGTAGATGCCTGGCAGAAGCCATCCGTGGTCAATACCCAGCTTGGCTGGTATCTCTATCACAGATGCCATATCACATAGCTTTTGCGACCCATGACTTTCGGAACGGGGAAACATTCTAGCTCGTGCGTAGGGCCCTGGCTTCAATATCACAAGTATGAGTTGCAATCAATGCAATTTCTCCAACAGATAGGCCAATCTCGTTGTGGTACCTCTAATATACTATGAGGCTAGTCAGACTCTCGCCTCTGATAGTCTGGCTTTTCCCGTCACCAGCCGCCGTTCATAATCCGTCGAACTCTCGGATTCTTCTGGTGAGCGTTCCAGCCCACCTGACCATTCAGAGGGATGCCCCTCTCCTTGGAAACAGCAGTATTCCAGGCCTCGATGGCCTCATCCTTCGGTTCCACTCCCCGAATGCTGAGCGTCGCGGTAGTCGCCTCAGTCCTCCGTTGTGGGACATTGACCTTGAAGTCCATGTCCAGCCAAGCCCAGCACTCCAAGTCCCATATGTCATCGTAGTACAGCCACAGGCGTTGCCTCAGGACGAGGCGCTTGAGATTCTTCATGCGGTGAACCGCCTTCGAGACCGTTGTCACAAGCGTAACAGCGTTCTCCAAGTAATCGTCTTGGAAGAATGTTGTTGCCGTACCGCCCAGAGTCGACGAGTGAATCTCGAGTGTGTGCAGATTGGGCCATTCCACGCGTCTCGCCAGGTCATAGAACATGTCGGCGGCCAGGTCCTGGACCCTGAACACACGCAGATTCCGGCTGATGTGCACGAATGAGGCCACCATCCAGCGATATGAGAACGAGTGGCTCTCTTGGTCAAGCACGCTCGAGGGGTAAAGCGCATTGATTTCTTCGAGGTTGGTATTTCTGAGTGATCTCTGCAATGCTCGCATGAAGCCTATAACTGTTAGCCTTATCTACAGGGAATATCTAGAGTGGAACGGAGAACCCACAGGTATTGTACTCTGCCTCGTCACTGTCTTCGGCGAACAAGCCAAGATCAATTTTCTTCAGCTCCGGGGAGCAATATCGCACCATGTCCGCGAACATGGTTGAGGACCACAGTCGTCTCTCCAGCGCCAACACGATGTGCTTGACTCGGCACTGGGAAGGATGGTGTGCACCAAGACTCTGCGCCACGAGGTCTGAATCTTGCAGAGTGTTGACGGGAGCTCGAGGGTCGTCCCAGCCGGCGAAGGTGAGTGTGAGTGGAGGGTATGAGTGTTCCCGAGCAGTGCTGCCCAAGCATGTGAAGAAATGGCAGATCTTCATGGAAGTAGAAGTCTGGTTTCCTGACTCGTCAATCTGCTGGAGGGTCTCGTCTTCGGACGGGCCGAAAAATGTGATCTTCGACAGGATGCTGGAACGGCAGCTGTCTCCCAAGACACGGCGGAGCATGGCAATGTCGTTGTCAGTGGGCCGAACCACGATGTCGGAAAAGGTAAGCGGCTCGATCTCGCGTTGCCATCCTCTGCAGACTGCTGCAAGAGGAGCGAGAGACTGACCGGGCAAGCTAGAAAGATGGCCGAAGATGTTGGCCCATATCTCTGCTGGAAGCGTGGTATGGTGGGCACCACGTGGCTCTGGTGCGTTGAAGGGTTGAGATGTTGATGAGAGTGATTGATTCATGCTGTCTGAGAGTGTACAAGGACTCATTTACAATTCGAGATGTCGAATGTGCAAGGACGTGGCTCTGCTTTCGGCGGTCTTGAGTAGTTGTAGTCTTTCAAGTAATTGATCTGGTCCATAGTCGAGGGGGGGCATGGTTTTTATATTTGTGGACAAGCCATACTACGAAGTCCTCCCGCATCACTTCTTGCCTGTTCAAAAGACAACTAGTGAATACACAGATGGTGTGAAGGTTCACAGGTGAGAGCCACGATGGATCACTAGTACTAATTGTTTGGTTACATGACAGTGCGCACCAGGTGAAGAGCTTCCAATTCACTAACTACCCAGAAGCCGCCGGGAACCATGGGCTAATAAATGACTATCATTGACTAGTGCTTTAGTAGCCAGTCTTTGCTGGTACAACTGTAGAGTCATGTAATGTTTGATAGTGAAGCATACAGGAATAGATTTATGGACAGAGAGAAGTTGTTTTTCGATGGAAGTAAAACCTCAATCAACAAGACAGCAGTCAGACGACAAAGAATTATAAGAAATTCAAGTTCAATCCATGCTTGGGATGTGAATATTAGCATTTGTCTTGCAATGACACGTCCTGCTCGGTTTGCTCGTGACCCCAAGCAGTGTCTGGGGTTTTCATAAGAGGTCATAGCAGATACTGAGACTTGTGTCACAATTTTCGGCCGCCGAATGTCTCGCGAGTGTCACTTCGTGGTCACCAAAGTTTGAATCAGATGGATCAACGCGTTTCCATATCTGAGCGTCAAGCTAGAGGCGTAGCACAGGCCAGTCTACTGGCGCAGAACGAAATAGATACAGGTAGACATGCTAGTGTAGACAAAAATTGCATGTGAACACAAGTCCCTATCTTCCCGGTTGGACGTGGAAAAACCTTCCATTAGCAACAAATTAGGATCTCTTCTCATCGCCTTCCAAACAGGGTGTATCGCCTCATGGCACCGCTCGTCACTGGTGTCACTGGTGTAGTCGTGTCGTTCGAGTTCGTGGCTGGTGTCGATGTTGTGTTCGATGCGTCGCCAGGGAACACCTCGCCTTGATCCCACTGTGATAACAAGCAGTCAAATTAGCCCTGGTCCACCCCTAAAAGCAGACGCAGCAGAGATCGCTGATGGAAGAGGAGTAGTAAAGGACCATGCCTGTACTTACGTGTTCGACAATGCAGCCTGCTTCCCACCTGAACCTGTCGACAACAGTTCCAATTCCGCTAGCGTTGTAGTTCAAGAAGCCCTGAGGGTCGATATATCGAGTCCTCAGGACTGTGATCTGGGTGCCGGGCCAAACAGGACCGAGGAAATCCAAGGCCGCATTTGGGCCGTCGTCGGCGAATGGATTGTGGTTCTGCGAGAGGTCAGCGCACCGCTCTTCTGTATGGTAGGATACGAGTCACGTACGATATACGTCGAGGAAATGAATTCGAACGCAGCAGTGAGGTTCTTCTTCACCAGGAATTCGTCGGCGAATGTATTGAATCGCTGTTCAGTCTCGGCTGGTGATGGTGGTGGGCTGATTGCCTTGCACGGGGGAGGCGTGACGACGGATTGTCTTGCTGCTAGGACTCTCGTAGGCGGCTCAGGCAATGCAGAGGCTGGCAAAGCCAGTGCTGCCAGAAGAGGAAGAACTTGTGCGGTCCACATATTGGCTGTTGGTGTGTCGAAGAGTGATGTTGAAATCTGAGCGTGAAGTTGCTGAGATCGACCGAGTACTCTATGAAGCGACCACAAGGTCCAATATATAATCACGTATCTCCAACAACCTACCAGAAGTTGCGCAATGTGGAATTGTATGGAAAACAACAATGTTGAGAAACACAACCAGAGGAGTAAATAGAGTGGGACCGGGCGCTCGCTTCGGCAGGACCGCGCGCGGGATGAATCAGTGATAGGACCCGGGGTGGTTAGATCTCGACAGGGCTGCCAAGCTCCCCACGCTCGAACAGGCGAGATCGCATGCTATCTCTTGGCGCCTCGGCGGTTACATGACGGAGAATTTAACTGGGAAAGGGGCGCCTGGGAGCTGCCGTGTTTGGCGATCCAAGCACACGCATTGTATGGGTCCCAGATACTAGCCTCCGCCGATGTTACCCATAATATCATATACCGTTCTGCCCTCCCTGCTCTTAGCCTACCCTTACATCAGATGACAGCTGCAGAGGAACCAGGGGCCTCGGTGCCTCGATTGGAGACGCGCTGTTGTTGTGCTAGTATTTCCTATCTCTCTATACTTCCCATGCCACGTAAGTAGCAAAGGCTCATTCCACGGTGCTAATCATCAAACTGCCGGAGACAAAGGATACCACAGTAATGCGTCGCTCCGAAGCAAAGATATTTCTGTTCCATCCGGTGACGGTCTTCTGCTCTTGTCGGACGCGAAGGTCTGATGCCTCTCAGGAAATGAAATGGGCCAGTAAGGGGCATGGACACTCGGCAGCAAAGCCCGAACGTGCCAACACACGACTCTTTACAACTGTCCGCCAAACCTTTAATCTGTTGCCTCTAGAAACGAAACACGCCAGACGTTGTTGTTCGAGAGCAAGCTTGCGCTGATATCACGGCAAGGTTGGTGGTTGAGGGTTCAAGCGGGCTGGCGCAAGACAAGCTTGAAACGATGAGCCTCACGCACGCGCGGCAGAGGGTTCATCCCGGCTGATCCCCACCCGAGCCCGCCGATCAATGCTTGTAATCACGGAGGGAGCGCGCGCCTCTCCAGCACCGTTTGGGACTGAGAGCTTCCCACGTCGCCACAGGGCGCGGACCAAGCTCGACCTTTGCCTGTGGCGCGACTGCAATTGAGTTGGGTCCAACGGTCTCGAGAAATGAAACCATTGGCTTGGTCCTCCGGCTGGGTTCGCGTCCCAGATTTGAACCCCGAGCGGGCATGCTGCCGAGGCCCGGGTCGAGATCGACGTTTTTGGACACAGACTTCCCAATTGGAAACAGAACCGATTAGGATAATGTCACGAACTTCTTTCTGTCACGTTCGACCAGACAGATACTTACATTCACGACATTAAAGTTCTGTGACCGTCCAAAACATTGTGGGAACCACTGAACTTGCTTCAACTAACGAGCTCGGCGCCTGTTCACCGGGCCAGAAACGATTTCATCTCGCTCTTCAGCCGACCCTCACCCAAGGGTCTCACTGAGCTAAACAAATTCCAGCGGAAGCCAGATCCTGACTCATCTGTCCAGTTGCATAGATGTCCACAAGCCACAGCGGCTGCGATTCTGCAGCATTATTGTCGAGGCCCTCCCATACAGCCGGGAAAGGGGACTCGGAGGAAGCCGGGGAAGTGCAAGAACGGGGCCCCGCCTCGTCTGCCTGGGAAAGGGAGCCACCACGAATCCTGCATACCCACAAATCAGGCTCTGATACGGTTCCCTTGAGACAGTGGCATTACACTTGAGCAAGATCCGCGAATCGGGCAAGGCCGTCTGCGCGGACGCCGTGGTGACATCGGATAGGAGAGCCCATGTACATTGTAGTGTTGAGCTGCAGCACCGTCTCGAAAACGGCTGGGGCCGTAAGCTAGAGTTACGTCGGTCCATGGTCTCATGAAACCAATATTCTGTTACATCCCAGGGAAACAGCATGCCATGCTTGAAGCACCTAGGTATCGATGCAAGAACATCCGCCTGAACCAATTGGGTACTACTACGACGCCATTGGATCTCACACGATATCCCGAGAGCATGATGATACACTGAAAAGAAACGCCGTCACGGATTTATCATATACCTGAAACATTCCTTAGTGGTATGGATTAGATGGAAAGATTTACTCGTTAGGATTATGAGGCTCTATAATATTATGTATACGTGGCCCATCATCCGCGATAACCTAATTGAACCATCTTTCCAAAAAGAAATCGGCAAGCCACCCGAGATGTATATATATATACTTCCCAACCAATAGATATGTTTCTGGAGGCAGAGCCAGGAAGCATGGCTCTCCCGTGGTTTTGTACTCGCCCGATGTACGAATGTGGCGCTCAACGCCTATTGCTCTCGGATTAGCCGGGGGTGAAGGCCAAAAAGATCTAGAATAGAACATTAGAATCTGGCCACTACATCCCGAAGGGTCGGTGCAACTGACATGATCAAGAAAAGTCATCCAAACCCCTCTTCGTCACCCTCAGCGTGCTGGTCCTATGCGCCGGCCTCGGCCTCTGCGGGCCCGCCGTGCTGACGAGCTCCATATCATTCCCATCGCGGCTCTCGCCATCAAGCCGTCGGCTCCTCCCCATCTCGCTCCGTGGCGCCAGGATACTCGACCCCATGGCAAAGCTGCCCCCGCCACCAGCGGCACTGCTCCCCTGGCGCGTCCTGTCGGCGGCGCCGCTGTCGAGGCGCAGGAACTCGAGCACGCGCAGCCCCCCGCGCGTGGCCTCCATCTCCTCGCGGAAGATCTTCCACGACGTCGTGAAGTAGATGACGGCGTTCCAGACCCCCTGCAGCGGGAGCACGACCGCGGCCGCGATGTTGAGCCCGTACGACGCCTGGTCCGGGTACACGAGCGTGTAGACCCTGTTGATGGACGACGGCGTCCACGTCACCAGCACCGAGATGGCGAAGACGAACGACGTGCGCAGGTACGCCAGCTTGACCGGGTCCATGTTGCGCAGCTTGGCGCCGAAGCGCCGCACCCCCCGCGCCGTGCGCTGGAAGACGTTCAGCCGCCGCCGCGCCTTCACCGCCGGGGCTGGCGGTAGCTGCCTGCGCCTGGCGCCGCTGCAGGGGCTGACGTTCGCGGAGAGCGGCGGCAGGGCTGACCGCGTCGGTGAGGGTTCGCGGTCGTATTCGTCTTTGGATGCCGAGCCGGCCGAGATGGTCGAGGTGAACTGCGTGCCGTTGAAGCTTACGTTCTCGAATTTGTGCGCTTGGCCGCGGGCGGACGCCTTGGGGAACCCGAACGGACTGCTGTCGGTGCTATTGACGAGCGTCACGGAGGGCGAGAGGACGTCGACTGTGGTTGGCGAGACCGAGCTCGGCTCATGCGACCACGGGTAATGGTGCGTCTGTATTGGTGAGAATCCGCCGGGCGCATTGGGGGCAGGAGTGGCGAGTCTCGGTGGTCTTTCCTGTCCCACCGACGTGTCGACTCGCAAGTGTGTCGTGTCGATGGGCGCTTTCGAGGTGCTGCTGATGTGGGTTGCGTCCGGCGGCTCGAGGAATGGGCTGGTGTAGGCATGGGTTGGGCTCGTCGGTATGGTAGCACTGGTGACCTGGACTTCGGTTGTGACAGTCCCGTAGAAGCCCGGACCGACGTGAGATGTGAGATTCTGGTGAGACAACAGTGTCAGCCATCACGCGCTCGCCCTCGGCTCCTCACAATGCAATGGGCTGAAACGAGACGCCAACTTTGTCTCATATTCCGGCGCGCCCGGATGCGAGGAAGTCGAAAAGACGCGCAATTTGTCAAGCTGATTGTATCCATTTCGGACCGGCTTGACATGCTGCGTAGCTTAACCTTTAAGACGCTTGCGAGGTCATGAACTATCATGTTTCCAGTCGGATGACAAGTACGGCCGGTTACCACCCCAGAAGAAAAGACTGTTGGGATGCAAACAAGCACAGAGGGTAGGCAGTTTGAGATGACAAGCCGGATTTCGGCAGCCGTGAGTGACGATACGCAAGGATGCCGGGGTAACACACCTTTTCCGCCGAATCCCTAACATCAGAGGAGTCACAGGTAACCTCAACATCTATTTCGACATCTTTTGCTTGATTGCTCAAGGACAGGTTGCGCAACTGATTCCGCTGGTGGAACACGTGATATCCAACAGCGAAGTAGATCACAGCAGATAGAACTGTGCAGACCCATATTGGCAGATAGTAAGAATAAATGCGAAGTGCGTTCCAGTCAGAACTGATCCAGCACCATAGCTAGATTGGAAAATTGTATTTGTCAGTCATATGAGCTATAATGTCGGTGGGGTTGACGATCTGCGCAACTCGGCCAACGGGAGGCTGGGTTACTCACCGCTGCGTCCCCGTACACCAAACCCCTTCCCTCGCGCAGGAAGAGGAAGACAAATGATGGGATTGCTGGGAGCCCATAGCATATCACACAGTACAGCCATAAATATTGGCGGAACGTTGTGGGATTAAAGGACATGAAGAACACCATATAAACGTTGATCGCCATGGCGAAAGACCACCAAGGGTCAGATTGCATGAACCTATATGCCAATATAGTTAGCGGTGGTGAAGTCCATATTTCGAGCCTCAGCACTCAGTTGGCATTAACACGGCAACGGACCATTCGAATAGGAAGCCCTGGGCCTGGCAGAGGGCGGCCTGGCGATCCCCGTGCATAGCCCGGATCCCATCGTACGCGATCAAGCAGGCGACACAGGCGCCAATGTTGGCAACGGAGGCGAAGAAGATAAAGGTGTTGGGAATCGTCCGTAATCGCCTGAAGAGAGCAAAAGTGATGAAGATTAGGGTGATGCCGAACAGAGACAGCGTTGCGCCCATGCGCTCGACTGCATTGAGGGTTTCGATCTGCGCTTCATCCAACATTGCGAACTCGCGGTCCTCGGCCAGCGGTACGTCCATCACGGCTGCTCGGTGACCCAAAACGCGGGAGGAGATGAGTGGGGATAAGTAGTGTATGTCAAGAAAAGGGCCCAGGGAGCGCAAACGGCAAGCAAGGGTGGCTTTGCGCCTCGTCTGAGTGGGTGGTGTGGGTGGTAGTATGGTGGTGTTGCTTGTTTGATAGTGGTGTGGCCGGTCAATGGGTCAGGTCCTGGGTGACATGTGGGATCAAACCCACCGAGGCTTGATGGCAGACTGGGGTTGAGCCGAACCTAACAAGTGCAAGAGAATATATCCAGGAGGACAGAGCCGCCACCAAGATCCAGGGGTGGTCGGGCAACCGGTCTGGGAGACTCGTGTCTCTGAATTCTAGCGTGGACGTGTGGACAGTCGCCAAGCCGAGGGGAGCCCGTCACTGGCCCAGTACGGTCAGACGTCGACTGTTTGCTGTCAAGACCCGTCCAGACAAGCCACACCATGTGCGTAGGGGAGAGGGTGTGCAGGCAATTAGTAGCAACTTCGGGGAGGGATGAAAGTTGTGGTGGTATATTGGGCGGACCCGTGATCATGGCGTCTATATAACGCTAGCCTCCCCAGAGCGAGTCGTGAGTGGAAAGAAATATGCGGCGTCTAGACATACGTGAAACAACCAAGTTAATCGACGGGAAAATGGTGGGAACGAATATCAAATACGGTTTGGAAGCTACTGACTAATATCAACCCCCGGGATGCTATATTGAAATCAGGACATGGGGACCTGTGGGGATGGCAAAGGCCTGTTGATGGGCCTGCAGCCGTAAACTCGGAGGAATCGAAGACCAGACGGCCGCGACCGAACTGCTGGATACAGATGCGCACAGGTGTAAGGGGAGGACCCTTGGCGCTGCAATGGCGACCCGCAGCGAGAGACGACATACAGGACTCAGACAGCGTCCAGCTCGAGAGCGGCGCCTTCGAAGCCCGGTGTTACAGAAACTCCGCCGGGATCGAGATTGTGCCTTTGGTCTGGGTGAAACGAGCGCCCTGCATGAAGCTTGTTGGCATCCAGTGTTGAAAAGACAGGTAGTCGTGTGCAAGGCCTGCCGATGGTCGCTGCACCCCGTGGGGCAATCTACCGCAGATCAGGGGCAGGCGATATGTGTATGCCCGTGGCGCCGTGGTGAGGACCGCGATCTGAGGTATCGGAAGTCGAAAAGCGCATATATTGCAGGTCCGGGCCGGGTGGTCGCTCGACAGAAAATCTGTGGCCAAGCGCGGCGATGCACATGCGCTGTGTTGCGCAGTGCGCAGAACAAAGTTGGCCTGTGTCCCGCCCGGAAGACCAATTACTTGGAAGCCGATGGCGGCAACGGGCAGGGGACTCAGTGCAGGGACCTGGAGCCCTTAGGAAATGCCACTGTCTCGAGGGTGATTTGTTCGTGCGACGACGGGGGTCGGTGCTGGAAACTGGTTGGACCAGAAATCAAGGACACAAGCGACCACGGCGTCACGAGAAACGCTTCTGGGATACTTTGTCAGACGGGGCTCGCCGCTTAAGAAATGGCCAAAACACCCAGGCACTTTCTGTCTTGCATGCCCGATTACCAACACTGCACTCCTTATAAACCCGTTGACACGTGTGAGACAAATGAAATAAGACGGATGAGAAAGACGCCACGGCAACTTGCCATCAAAGGGGAATGACGAGGGCGTCCACGGGAAAGAGTATACACGCACTCACGATTCAATGGCCAGTGGTGGTATGGGCATAGCTGTCGGACGCGTGCCTCAGGACTTTTAAGCTCTGCGCTTTGGCGCTTCCCTCCACATGAGATTCCAGAGTGTGAGATCGACGCATGCAATGGCGGGGAGGCGACCGCAAGAGTACAACGTATATGGCGATCATATGAGTCCAGAGTCTCGGCCGTTGTTGGTCTCAGATCTTGTGTCTGGTACAGTCTCGACGTCGCATTTATATGAACACTCCACAGACTCTTGTGACAGGTGAGCCGCGCTGGCAATGTCTCGAGACCTGAGTAGTCAATCGCGATCTTAACTCGGCGGACGTGCCTTCTTTGAACGGAGAAGCTGCCCAAGTGGTGTCTTGCCTCCGCGCCAGAGAACCGCTGGCAAATGCGCATGCGGAAGCGACGTTCGGATGATGGATATTTCCGATTTGTACTTTACATCCCCCAGGTTCTTCCTGTTGTCGGAATGTACTAGGATCTGCCTGTGCAAGACAGGATCCCGGGTCGTTCGTCAGGACAGCGCCCAAGGTGGATAGAAATGAAGACTCACCCTAGGTAGCAAGGAAACGCGGCTCTGCAGTGACAATGTCAAGCGGCGTGCCAGCAGGACATGAAGCGCACCAACATCGGCCCGCTGGCTGCCGCAGCCGCCACTAGGAGCGTTGGGGGAGCTGTCCAGTGGCAGCGCCAACATTTAGCACGACGTCCTGTCATCATGGTGACCACTCTAGATCGTCTCCGACCCAGTGAACCCCAATCGCCTAGGACAGACACAAGTCCTTTCGCTGGGCTCTTGATCCACTGCAGCCAGTCTTGAGGCCCCTGCGTGTTCGCCGGACCAGTCTCAACATACCCCAGTCTTGCCCGGCAGTGTCGCAATGGCAATCTGACATGTGCTTGGAACACACATCGCCCCTGCGGCGAGCTGGTCAAGACTGGCGCTAGAGGAACAGAATGTCCGGATTGTGCCTACAATTATTGAGGGGTCGCTGTCAGATGCAAACTTTCCTCACACGTAACCGCCTCGGAGCGAATGTTTGCTGCAGAGCGAGCTGTTTGGCGTGCATGTGTCGTATCTCCCATGACGATCACCGGTGAGGCCTCGAGTTCTTCATCTGAACGAGTGAGAGGCACCGACCTATTGTCCGTTTGTGATGCTGCAATAGAGACTCGGAGCGCTGGACAATGATGGACCATGTCACGCCCAGCCCCAAGGAAAGCTGCATTTGCTCGGAGCCGGCCTCCTAACAATTAAATCCATCATCGGGTACATGCCTAGGTATTTGCCTAGGCATCTCGGCCGGTCGAAATTGCGACAGATCGATTGGCGCGGGGTCCCGAGAACAGACCAGACTCGGGCCGTCATTCGTATTGCGTGTGACGATGCTCGCCCAGCAACTTGAGGCACGTGCAGGCGACCGAGACACGCCCTTGTTGGGTGCTGGTCAATTCCCTCGCGCCTTTGTTCTCTGAATCTGTTTGATCACTTCGAGTCTCGATTGCCCCCTGGCCAACCAAGATAGAAGGATGACAGGAGCAGAAAATGAGGCCAAGGCCGAGGACCACCTTGTTGCCCTACCTAGGTATGGTCCGCTGCAGCATGCAGGATGCAACTTCAACCCAACACTTCCCGTGTAATTACCCTCGGTCTGGCGCCAGCCCATACAGATGCAAGGCATCTATGCGTGCAGATGATTCGATGATCAGCCAGGCATGCTCCTGTGCGCCGCATTTTAGGGCGAGCCTATGGTTCCGTGCGCTCAAATATGTTGATGGAAGGAACGAAAGCTCATCACCCGTCAACGCTACGTAGTCTAAGTGCTTATCGTCGTGGTGACTACCGCTAATTAGATCAGATCAGATCCTACGGTGACGATTCTATACAATCACGCACCGGCCTTGGTTCTCATCCAACCCCTGGTTTACATCCCTGTTATCTTGTTCTAGTCGCCTACAGGTGAGCTGGAGTCTGATTACAAACAATCTCAAACAAGATTCAGCCTTGGTGTCTTCTACTGTAGTAACTGCAGTTAATCTCCTCCTTACAGTTTAGTACCTACCAAGGGTCTGGACCTCTGCTTTTGTAGGCTTGGCATTTCATCCGTCAACACGTCTTGCTCAGCGAGCTCACTTGATTCATTACTACTGCTCGGTGAGACCAATAACCGTGTCCACCGTGTTGGCTTAGTATGGAATCTTCAGGATTTGACACCAAGGAGTTCTGTACTGCAACAGACCTTGCACAAATTCGTTATCCCTTGTCCCGAAGTACACATTTGAGGAAATAGAATGTCCGGAATATCTAGTGCAACACTGGTGATTTCTGAGCTAGACCTCGAACCATTTGACTGATGGTTCATAGTATGAACTAACTCCTGACGAAATCTGCATTACATACTAATAATCATTTGGTCGCAGTGATAACATCAAAGAGTGGCCATTGTAGATATGCGTCCCAGTAGGATTGGTCCTCGCCTTCCTTGAACGGGGGCGCGATCTTCTCCTTCGCATCTGTCTTGACGTCCTTGAGGCCCGCAGCCTCCGCAGCCTTGAAATAAACGGCGTGATCAAGGTCATAACAGTCGAATTCTAGGGGCGGATCCGTCAGGAAGTTCAACCGTAGCCGAAAACCATTCTCTACTTCCCCGATAATCCTTCTGCGCACGCCATACCACCCAGTCTTGTTGTCCATCCCAGGCCATTTGTCGGGATTGCCGTGTGCTACCTTACTGGGGATGATGCTAACAAATCTTCCACCGTCCTTGAGGTACTTTGTAATATTTTCGAATGCCTGGTTCATCATGGCCTGGTTCCCAGCGTAGTTGAGGCTCCAGACACCCGCGACGACGTCGAACGAGCCAGGGTCGGCACTCTTCAAGCTGAGCGGGCTAAAGACATCACCGAGCTCGAGCTCAATCACATCTTTTGGCAGCGCGGGATCGGCAGCAATGAGCTCTTTGGCTTTCCCCAGCATTCCGGTATTGATGTCCACGCCAATGACTTTGCTCGCGCCAAATTTGGCCATGGATCGAGCAAAGTAACCTGTCCCTGTTGACAGGTCAAGGATCCTCAGGCCTCGGATATCACCGAGATTGGCGAAGAGGTTTGCCACGTTGCAGCGGCGAGAGGGGAGGTTCAGGGAGGTCTCGTACTCCGCGACCAAGGAGTCATATTGCGAGCTATCTAGAGCCATTTCGTTTCAAGGTGAGCTTGATTCAGAAGGCCGTGAGGAGATGCGAATGGGGAGGGGGAGGGGGCCGCGGTGCGATCATTGCTGACGAGAGATTTGGAAGTGCCGACGAGAGGGGTTCAAAGGTTTACCAGTATATCGCATGAAAGTCGGCCCGCACTCCAATTTAGACACATCGGTATGCCCATTTACATTTGGACCAACATGTTTCCAGGACAAGTGGTGCAAAGCTTACGTGCTACATAACGTATCCCGTGCTGCAATGCATTCAGCCCTCAGTGCTGTCAACTGGGCAGACAGAACTCCTACTATTGCAATGGCACCTGATTAGATGCACCTGTGATTACATACCAGTTGGTGTGAGATGGTGTACACATGAGAGATTGACAGACGTTTTGTACGGTTCCACGAGACCACGTGCCTGGAGTGATCGCAACCAACAAAGCAACTAATGGTTTGATGTAAATGGTGGTACGCGTTATGGGTGAAAAGGATTTGAAGTACATCATGCCGCATTGGATCCACCGGAAGCGGCCAGAAGAGAAGCACTCTCAATCGATTGAAGTATTGCCATGCTAAATGTACTCTTGACACAAAGGCGGGCCGAAGTGTCAAGACAAAGCGATCGTACCGATCTCTTCAATTGCCACACTCGTGTAGAAGTCGGGTGTAGCATCAGCTGTAAATTCATTTACTGTCAATCATTTGGCAATTGTGACTTTTCATTGAAATCTTCAACAGCAATCGCGTTATCCCGGGGCGCTCAAATCTTTAGGGAGTCATGGCGGCACAACCAAACCCCAACGTAGCCGTCCCTCACACCGGATATCAGTCTGAGGACGAAGACAGCACTGTCGAATTTGATCAGAACAAATTTCCTGATGTTGAGGATCCCGTGCTTGTAATACAGGCAGATCCATCGCTAAAGGTTGAGAGTTGGGTGCCTCGAGATGCGTCTGGTTGGGAGCAATATATCCCTGACTTCACCCGCCCTGGCTATGATGATGAGTTTGAGGTGAAGGGAGATGGATCGATGGAAAGACCAAGGATGGGGGGCCCTCAGCACATGATGAGGCCTGCTTTATTGCCGACAGACCCTGCTGCCAGCCAGTATGCGCGGTGAGTGCAAGGATCTGTTCAAGGCGAGAAAACGCGATTAATGTTCCCATCTAGGCGCTTTGGGATCTTTCCCGATCGGAAATTAAATGAGAATTCCGAGGCCCGTTCAATGATGACTCCAGTACCTACCTCTACAGCGGATCCTCGTCAGGGTGGTAGCGATTTCCAATGGGGGTATGAGGAAAGCTTTCAGGCCGCACTCTTTGAGTATTTCACCACCCAAGAGGTGAAGTAGCCTTGCTCGCTGTGAGTGGCGCTTCAATGTTAACGCTTCACAGCTAGCCGATATGGGGGTCTTTGATCCAAACCAGGTAGTCCAGAGACCTAACTCGCAGGGCACCTTACACCAGTGAGTGCTTCGAACAATTTACCTCGTGATGTATGCACTGACCGTCACCAGCCTATTGGCTAGAGACAAATGGACGCAGGAGCCACTTGTAAGATCCACAGTATTTGACGACAATGACAACTTGAGCCTCAACTTTTGGTACAATCTAAACGGCGAGAAAAAGCCCTGGGACGTTCAAGTATGCTCCTCTGAGCCGCAGTGCCCCACTCTTCCCGTCACCGACGTTCGAAGAGGTCTGACATAATGCCACAGCAAAACGATGAATTGTGGAACGCGTTGCAACCAGCACTGCAACTGGCCAGCAAGGTGCTTCTGAGCGAACATCCGTTCTGGAAGGCTGTTTTGAGCATATACCACATGCGTCCAGTCCCTGTGGAAAAGGACGGCCGTACTGAACGGGAAAAGGCCGACCCCACGTACAGGCCCTATGTCTCTATATGGTACGATATCGATAGAGACAAGATGTACCCTGCAGCAAGGACATTGATGGACCAAAAGTTTGACTCAACCGCTGCTACACTGGAGATCCTCACGAGATGTAGGCGAAAGCCGGTACCTTTTACTCACCAGAGGTCACTGACAAATTTCACGAACAGTATTGAAGTTCTCGGTTGCCCGGAGCGACTCAGCGTCCGCTTCTGCTTCAACTAGAATTGGCGGTTTCGAGCCACACCAACGGTCGATTCGGATATTAGTCAACGCGAATAACATATGGCCACTGCTTGTCCCGGAGTACTCAGTATCTGAGAAGATATCTGTCAGCTTCTATGTGGCCAAATTAATTCTTCATGAACTCGCCGTGAGTTAACACAACAATCAGTATCCTATGTATATCTTCCGCTGACGAGCCACCGATGCAGCACGCAGCTCGAAGTAAGTGGGATCAGGCTTTAGAAGCTAACCTCATTGCTCCTATGGTCTCTGTTGAACCCCACATCTGAAACAATCATGACTAAACTCGCTTGGGTCGCAAATATGTGCTGATTGCCCGAACATTCAGATGCTCTTGACTACATAGTAATTTTCCCCGAAATGTTGGAGGATCCGCGATGGACTCCGCCTCCGGGTACGGCATTCAATCAAGACATTAGAAATGGTATTAGGAGTCTATGCTTTGAGGCATTCAAGCTTCCTCCCATGGAAGTGTTGTGAGTGTTCTGATTCTGTTAGACGACTAACGTCGGTGCCTATCCCTTTCCACTTTGACGGCCAGTGTCAACTCTGTTGGCACGTGTGCGCCTCCTGTTGGGTCAGCACGCAAATGGGCGTGATCGAGCGTGAACTGCAGAGCTAACAATACCAACAACAAGTTTCCAGGACGTGCCGCAACTAGAAGAAGGTAAAAGCTTTGAACATCAGGTATGCCCCTCTGTGTTGCAAATCCGCTACTATCCGAACGGCTGCTGAGACCCCGGCCAACAGCTCTTCGGATTCGACACGGTGTATCTCCCCAATCCAGCCCAAGGGAGGCACAATGATGCCTTCCGCCCGGCCATAGGTGCCACGGCCTGGCCCTGGAAACACCCTGTGGTTCACTTGCAAAACCAAAAATCCGTCGATGCTGGCTTGTATGACAATTATACCAGCGACGGATAAAACATATCTCCTGGATCCGCCCGTCGCAGCATATGACCTCTTTACCCCTCTCCCTGTCAGTTCATATGCCAAGTTCATGCAAGAATCATGGTGGGATGACGCCTTCATAAGGTTTGGACACCAAGCGCTCAAGATACCCATCCATTCCACAGATCCTTCCTCCCCATTCAAAACCACTGCAAGACAGAGCGACTCGTTCGGGGATTTCGCTCCATTTCTTACGTCGGTCATCCGCAGCAGAGCTGCACTTTCCTTCATCGTCAATTACGCCATGCCGAGGCTGCACGAACATCGGCAGATATCCATCTTGCACTATCTGGCACTGTTGACGCGTGACGTCGCAACAGCTAAACTCATGCGCAACAGGCTGCACTATGAGAAGCGGACGTGGCCCAACAGACTCCGTGCAATACGTGACTTGCGCGACAAGTCTACGGAGAGCTTCAACACAGCCTGGGATGGTTGTATCGAGGTATTGCAACGTCCTCTGGCTCCAAGTACTGTCGACGATTTGGATGAATTCATCATGAAAGTCCAGGAACTATTGGCAAACTTGACGGAACTGAATCGTGAGTTCTCATCTAAACTCCTTTCTTGTAATATAGAGACTGAGTTGCTTTTGAAGGGTTGCTGGGCATAGAAGTTCAGTATTCTCAAGCTCTCGCTGCCCAGTATATTCTGAAGACCCCGGAAGCACGAAGAAAGATCCACCGAAGATATATGAGATTCCTCCGGGAGAACATGGTGCATATGAGAAATTCTATCGCTTATGTGGTAGAAACAATTGCGTCCGACCACGAACAGGACGGCCGACTGGTATGGAAAACCATCGCTGCACCGTGGGAGGCCCGCTTCGAATACATGCTTGAGTCAAACCCCGCGGCTCTCAACGCTCTCGAGGAATCTGACGCAGAGACGATAAACGACTCTATTGACGGACTAGCCAATCTCAGAAAATTTACACTGCAGACCTGTGTTGACCTGCTCAGTACCTCGAGTCATCTGGAAAATGTTTTGCCCATCCTCGATGACCAGTACATTGACTTCCCGATCGCGACCGCACCGACAGGTCTTTTCCCAGGGGTCCCGATCGCGATGCAGATGATGGAGCTGTCGAAGATCGTGGAAAAGAGAGCGGTCCACGATATAATACGCCTCAAGAACCCGGGACTCGACCAAATCATACAGCAGTGGATCAAGATCCTCCACACGCACGCCGGACTGTCGGAGCGCGTGCGCCGGGTCGGAGAAGCCGTCCACTGGGAAAGGGTCAAGGCCGAAATCAAAGCAGTCACGATTGTCCTGTTCCAGGCCAAGCGGCGTGAAGTTGAGCCGACCGGACCCACCCTCAACGGGCGCCACCCGCGGGATCTGCTAGTGGACGCAATGAGAGGTCAAGTCATGCTTATGCTTGGGGATCACGAGCCCTTGAGGGTGTGGCTGAGAGAGGTTTGTATCGAAGAGCAGGATGAGGAGGAGTTTGACACGATTATGCGCATGGTATATCGGGGACCAGCCTCCCAGGGACCGCCCGCCCAGGAACCGGCCTCCCAAGGACCGCCCTCTCAGGGACCGGTCTCCTAGAGGAAGCCGTAAAGCTCAATCGAAAATAAAACGGCAGCGTGGGAGACGTTGGGGATACAAATACGTGTTTTTTTTATTAATCCAGGTGTTAAATATCTATGGCTTCGGCCACACTGTGTTTTTTTTAAATCAACTGTTCATTGGTCTATCTACTATTTACTTAGCTTTCCAAGTATTCCTTCCTAAGCTTATGTATAAAATTCACATATAGCTTAATATATCTGCTTATATTCTTTTAGCAAAGAAAACTTAAAAGCTCCCTTTTTACCCTTTTTTTAATTACTTTTTAATGCTTTAAAATATTTCTAATTACTTATAATAAAAACATAAATTTAAAATAATATAATATAATTAAGTTACTTCTTTATGTAATTTGTTTTATTATAAATATTTTATTTACTTTTTTTAAAAATTTATAATAACTTTGTAAAATAATTATAAATTATTATTAAGGAAATTATGTTTTATTTTCACTTTTATTAAAGTTAGCTTTAAAGTTAAATATTAGCTATAATAATAACTTATTTAATAAAGGTTTTATTAAAAGCTTATATAATTTAATAATTTCTTTAAAACTCTCTTAAAAAGATATATAATAATATAAGCAGAAAAACATTAAGTTTTTAATTAAGATTATATTTATAAAATTGTTATATTTTATAAAATTTATTTTAATCTTTATTTTCAAATTAATTACCTAGCTTTAACTTTAAAGTATTATAATAAATTAATTTTAAATTATTTATATTAATAATTTATAATATTATTAAAGGCCGGTTTTACTAACTTTATTTATATAGCTATTATAAGGCTATTATTATTTGCTTAATTATAAGCTATTATTATATTTCAAACCTATTATTATCAACATTATATTATTTTCTTAACGCGGGGTGTTTAAGCATTTGTCACTATATAAAGGGACTAGATGCATATTGCTTAAGAAGCATATGTGTACAGATTAAAACGAGACCACTTATCTGCTAAGCAGCACAACGCAGACGGAACATTGTTCTCCACAATGGGTGAGACCGACAGCCTCTGGGGTGACATTATCCATGTCAACGGGCAGCCATGGCCATTTCTGAACGTGGAGCCAAGGAAGTACCTTTTCCGATTCCTTGACGCAGCTGTGTCTAGGTCATTTGCTCTACTTTGCTTTGAGTTCCAATGTCAATGGGAAGCTGCCTTTCAAGGTGATTGCCAGTGACGCCGGTCTTCTTGGAAGTCCGGTCCAGGTTTCCGACTTGGTAAGTCCCAATATATCGGCGACTCTATTGCATGACATGGTTACTGACCTTGTACCAGTACATCTCGATGGCTGAGCGTTATGAGATTGTCTTTGACTTCTCCGCCTACGCCGGTCAGGCCGTTGAACTACGAAACTTGCCCAAGGCGGGAGGGATCGGAACAGATGATGGCTACCTCAACACGGACAAGGTCAAGCGCTTCATGGTGTCATCAATGCCAGTCGAGGACACCTCAAGCGTGCCGGACACACTCCGTTCAAATGTCCCCTTCCCCGTCTCTGGCACCCCGAACACAATCAACCATCACTTCCGGTTCCACCGATCAAACGGCGAGTGGCAGATTAACAACGTCGTCTTTGCCGATGTCGACAACCGGGTTCTTGCCAAGGTGCCAAGAGGCACTACCGAGATCTGGGAGCTGGAGAACTCCAGCGATGGCTGGTCTCATCCAATCCACGTCCAGATGATCTGGTTGACTTCCGAGTCCTCGCAAGGACGGATGGCAACCGGGCTGTCATGCCCTATGAGGCCGCTGGGCTCAAGGATGTGGTCTGGCTCGGGAGAGGGCAGACCGCGATCGTGGAGGCTCACTATGCTCCATCGGACGGAGTCTACATGTTCCATTGCCACAACTTGATCTACGAGGATAACGACATGATGGCTGCGTTCAACGTCACGGCTCTATCTAACTGGGGCTGCAATGAGACGACGACTTACTTGGACCCCATGGAGCAGAGATGGAGGGCGAAGGCGTTCGGTGCTGGTGACTTCCAGGCAAGAACAGGCGCGTTCTCTGATGAAGCAATTGCAGCAGCGGTGAAGGAGCTTGCTGAAGAAGATCCATACAGCCATGCGGGAGACGTCAACGACGCTTTGGACAATTACTGGAAGGGACAGGCCGCCAGCGCCTCTGGTGATGCACAAACAGCTGTCAGACGTCCCAGGCAGTTTGAGGCTTGATGGTGGGACCGTTTTTCAGTTCAATATCTCTTCTCTATTTTTCTTGTTACTCCGAGTCTGCGTTTCTTTTTAACTTCTTCGCTTCTCTCCTACATTATTCTCAAGACGGCAGTAGGTCGTCAATTATAAATAGTTGAACATACACGCTATTGGATGAACTCATTTCGCGACACTTGACGTGCATCAAAAAACGCCACATGTAGTTCTAACTTGTCCTAAAGCCGTTTGACGGCCGGTGGAGCATTCCGCACTACTGCACAATTGAGATAGCAGCTTTGCAACGGCGGCCTGTAAGCGCTATGATTATTTTCTCCCTAACGGCCCGCTCGGAGCGTTCCGGAGAAGGGTGAGATTTGGCGGGTGTCGTCGAGCATGACGTGCAAACTCAAAACCCATGCTAGTCGGCACAAGACGGCGTCCCACAGGGTTCCGGGATCATCGAGCGACTCACGAAATACTCTAATCCGGCTGGCGACAACTCACCAGAAATTGTTTTCTCATTTATCTTGACTTCCGGATAAATGTATGCACGCATCCCGCGGGGGCAGCCTCGGAGAAGCTCCGGCACAGATTGTCGTCACGGTGGACAGCGTGATGGGTTGTCGCGGATGGCTCCATCACAGCTGCGGGATAATATCTCCGCCGACTCCTAATGCACTACGGTTCACTAGCTCTGACGACTACATCGGTGTCCCGCTGACACCTTCGTCAGGGAAAATGAGGGGCTCTTAAAGCAAAGCAAAACTCTGCGCTGGTCGCACTCTCTCGACCAAATTGTCTCCCGGTCCATTAAAGAGAGCACAACATTACTGTAGGGTGTCCTCGATCCGGGCCAAATGATGCCAACACCAACAATACTGATCGTCGGCGCTGGCCCCGTCGGCCTGACAGCAGCCCTCAGCCTGCACCGAAGCGGTGTCCCAGCCCGCGACATCCTGGTTGCTGACCAAAGACCTGCACACGATCCAACGAGGACATGGTCCAAGGCCATCAGCATGAGCGCGAGCACCCTCGAGGTCTTCCGCATCTTGGGCATTGCCGAGCGCTTCATCGAAGTTGGCAGGCCCCTGTACACGAACCACTTCGGGGGCGGGCTCCGGCTTCTTGACCTGAACTACGAGGTCATTGGCACCAAGTACCCGTTCAACATGGGAATCCCCCAGCTCCGAACGGAGGCGTTATTGTTGCAGAGGTGTGAGGAAGTTGGTATAAGATTCTCCTGGGCCCGGCGATTCACCAACTTTAGTCAGACCGAATCAGGCGTCTCGGCCACTTTCCAAAAGTCAGACTTGCCTGACAGCGCAGCGGATGACCACGTCGAAATCATAGAAGGCTCGTGGCTAATAGGGTGCGACAGCACTCACAGCGCTGTCCGGGAAGCAGCCGGGATCCCGTTTGAGGGGACCCCAACGACACGGTACACCTGGCTCGCCGACGGGTATTGCGACGTAGACACGCCCGGCATGCTTACCGTCAGGGACAAAGAAGGCAAATCCTTGGTCATAGCCTCGGGCGATGGCCCGACCGGCCGCCGGTTCATCGGAAACACCCCTCTGGTCCAGATTACCCCAGGCGAGCATCCTACTGCCCCAAGCGAGAGCGAAGTCCGTGAATGGGCAGTGAGGGTGTTCAGAAGTCACTTCAACTTCCACGGAATGACGTGGTCGTCCGTCGTCGGGAACGCGATGCGGCTCGCCGAGAGCTTTCGGTCCGGCCGTGTGTTCATTGCGGGTGATGCTGCGCATCAAATCTTCCCGTCTGGGGGCCAGGGGATGAACACCGGTCTCGTCGATGCGACCAATCTGGCCTGGAAGCTTGCAGCGGTGGTTACAGGTCAAATTGGGCCAGACCCGAGAGTGATCGAGCGAGTGCTGGACAGCTACACGACGGAGCGACGAGCATTAGCCGAGGCCGTGAGCCAGAACGCCCGGATGCAAATGCAAGTCCTATTCGAGTATACGGAGGACGAGAGGGCCGTCTCTGCGTTCATAAACGAGGCGCTCGGTGAGCCATCATTGAACAAAAGGTGGGCCCAGCGGTTTACGGGGTTCGGGGACCCGGTCGAGCCATACCAGCTTGCGTTTGATGGCAGGACGAGCGACAGCCTCGTCGGGACTCGAATCACACACATCGCGGACGACAATGACCATGCCCTTCTTGAGGCTACCCTAAAAGGTATTTTTGTCCTAGCTGCGGTAGGCGGGTCGGATCGCGAGGCCGGCGATTTCGGGAAGTTCAAAGACCTCGTCAAGACAGGCAAGCATGAAGGGCTGGTCCATGTGCTCGAGGCACCAGTGAAAGGCTTGGCAGAGAAGTGGAAACAAGTGAAAGCGATGCTGATCCGACCAGACTTTCGTGTGGCATGGGTAGCGAGAGATGATGACGATACCGACGTGAGCCAAGCCGGCTTGGCAAAGGTTCTAGAATGGTGGCTTGGCTAGATATTGTAAACAGCAATCTTTTCTCTTACCCCTGCCCGATGGTAGCCTCTCAGCCTGTCGCTTGGCACTTTTACTCACGGGATGTAGAGCTGTTTCAACTGTATGCCTTGTCTTTTGGCCGGCAGCTAGGAAGACAGGAAGGCAGTTGGCTTGATGGGTTGGTAGGTAGGCCAGGAGGTTGGTCGAAACCTCATCGTCGTCGATTATCCCGCGGCCGATTGCCCATTTCCGTTTATTCCAATCCCGGGCCATCCATCAACAGATTCCGTAGATGCCTCCTGAAACAGACATTAGTAAGGATGGTTGTACCGTTCAGAGGTGCTGGAGCAACCGGGGCGGCAATATGTCGCGGCTTTCCAGTGGCGCACCGTTGAAGACGTTCAAGCGATGCTATTTCCGAAAGATTTAAGAGCGTGTAATGTGGTAGCACCAAAAATATCGTCAGCATGTCCAAAATCACCAGTAATCCAGCTTTGGGATAAGAGCCTTCATTAGGCTCACGACTCCACATAATACCACGGTCTTTTGGCAGCCTACATGCATCGCAAGCGACTGGACCACCGTCGTGACCCAAGCGTGAGGCTGACGCAATCCCCTAATTCACTAATAGTAGTCCCCAAGTGCACCCTTGGGGAGAGGGCCAGGGAGGGAGCCACAGACACAGTGAGGCTCATAGGGAAGCTAGGGCCAGTGATTACCACAATCCAAAGACCACTTGGTGTAATGGTCAGCACGTCTGCTTTGTCGGAGCTCGGCCACCCAGAAGGTGGATCTACACCAATCCCGATTTCTACGACAATCTGCCGGACGAGTACGTCGTCTACGGCGTGAGAAGCAGCAAGGTGTCAGTTCGACTCTGGCAGTGGTCTTTAAGTCTTTTTTGCTTTTCTTTTTTTCCCCTCCGCCCCTCTTCATTGTTTGACCTTAGACTGCCCTCTGCAATCTGAGGTTTCTTACTGTTGACTCCGCATGATAGCCCAGCATGGCAGTCCAACTCACTGATATCAGCCATTGTGAGTCGTATTAGCTAGATGCAGTCGTCAACTTGCTGCTAAACGCGACCTGGCCCTCGATCCCCAGTGTGAGATAATCGAGCAACAGGGACAGCGCCTCCCCATATAAATCTTACTGGAATCCCCTGTCCTGCGCTGTCGTTTTTCTTATTACGATGTCCTCATTGTACTACATCTCGCTGGATTTACAAACGCCAACCATCTGTGTGCACGGCATTAGGATCCATTTAGCAGTGGAGTCCGCTCCGATAGATAAAGATCGAGAGGTTGTCCCACCAGACCAGTCCCGTCCAGCACACGCTTGAACCATCTGGCGTTTTCGAGGTTCTGGGCCGGCCACGGTGAATTTTACAAACGAGATTTGCACAAACAAGATTCAGGCAATGCTGAAGCTCCCACAAATTGCAGCCAACTCCTGACTCCAGACAACCTTTCAGCCACCAAGCTGAAGACACAACGATACACAACCATCCCTCACCCCACCCAACCTTGAGTTTCTTGCGTATGCGAGGACTGCGAATGTCCGCGAGAACGAGGTTGGTGACATCGCTGCCCTTCGGTGTTATTAAATCTACGGCTTAACATCGCGCTAACCTCCCTCCTTCTAGCTGACTCTGAGACTTCACTGTACAGCTGACCTGCGCCTTCCAGTCGACATTCTCCTGACCTCCATTCCGCCCCCTCTTGATTCCCCTTCCGGCGTTATGTCTCTGGACGTCGTTATCGCTCCTAAATGGGCCGCAATGACGGTAGCTTAGTCATCTGAGGCCAGGGACCAGACCACCAATGCTGCTCTCGTGCTCGATCTTTTCTGCGATGGTTCATTCAAGCCAAGGCCGCCACGAGCTGGAATCGGCATCGTCACCAACATGTGGCCGCCTTACAACATGACGAAGCAGCGCACGTCGAAGGCTTGCTCCATTCCATGCGGCTGTCGCTACAAAGACGATGAAAACAACACCACTGAGGCATTTGCGCTGGCTGAAGGAGCCCATGTTGCACTTGACCAGATCTCGAAAATCAAGAAGGATCCGAGCATCCGTTCTGATAAGATTGAGGTTACCTTTTGGTCTGACTCGAAGTTGGTGCTCACCGCACTGAGAAGCTCTGCTAGAGGTCAATGTCTCTCGAAGAAGATGCAACACATTCTCGACATCATCAAGCTCAAGACACAAGAGCTGCTGCATGAGCCGAGTGCAGATGTGTCTGTTCAGTTCCGCTGGTGTCCCGAGGAGTGTGTCGAGCCGCATGAAACAGCTGATCAGCTCTCCAAGGGAGCCAGAATGTCAGGCAGAAGCATGTATTCCCAAGCCCTGACCCTCTTCCACACCATGCCTCGTAGCAAGATTTAGTCAGCCCTCCGCCAATCACGAACTATGGCCAGTGATATAACGCCCGCCGCTCAGTCGTCTTCTTTGGGTGCCGATTGCTCTTTCGTCGATAAGGCTGGTAAATTTCACAACTCGGCGCTGAGAACCATTACCAAGAACCCAGTCATTGTGAACGTCTTGTACCGCGCCGCCAGCCCCTCCAGATTCTTCAGCATCGTGGGCGGTATGGTCGAGTGCCTCCCCTCGAACCTGAGGCCAACCATGCACGAGGCCATCCGTGAACAGAAAGATGCGAACAAGAAATTCCAATGTTACGAGCAGAATCCATCCGACGAGCGAAGCGAGCACCACGGGCTGTCTTCCACAAGCCCCTACCCTAACCTTTTTGCCCCCATCGAGATTACTGCCTCCAGGCTCCCGGCTGTTCATCAAGAGAAAATAATCACCGCAATAAAATTTTAGAAGGAAGCCAATGCGCACTTAGTGCAGGTTGAGATCGTGCGTCAAGTCCACCAATTTGAAGGCGACGATGACAACGACGGCAACGATGGCAATGACGGCAACGATGGCAACGATGGCGACGACATGGATCATGAGCTAGAGACTTTTGAGGAGCGCAAGTCGCAGGAGAACCTCGTAAGCCTTGACGAGCCCCAGGTTGCTGAGGAACCGACTGGGATCGTCGATGAGTCCGAGAACACTGAGGAGCCAGCCAAGACCATTAAGGAGCCCAAGGCTTCTGAGTCCAAGGCCCTTGATGAGCCTATGGATCTTGATGAGCTCGGGGTTCTTGATGAGCACAACCTCATTGAGGAGCCCAAGGGTGCCGAGGAGCCCACTCACATCATTGAGGAGATTCTTCAGAACCCAGAGATTCCAGAAATTCTTCAGAATCCAGAGGGTATCGAGGAGGCACGGCCGAGCCGCATGCGAGCTGTGTGGACCTGGGTCGAACGTAGGCTCCAGCGCCTGTAAAAATCGGGAAAAGCGGAGGCTAGGTCCAACTGCGATCAAGCATCTTGCGTTCCCACGCAACGCCAACTTTAATCGATGAGGACGAAGTTGCAAAAGAAATCCCAGATCCTTACAGGCCTATGGTCCGAGCTTGTGATCGCAGCAAGTTGGGCTGGGACCCGGGATGAGGTCGGCTTGGCCTTGTTCCGGGTTAGCATCGGAGTAGTAGAGCGGGGACATCTAGCGTGTCAGTCGCTCACGCTGATGAGCATACCAAGGGCACATGACCGTTTGAGAGAGCGATCGACTGGTCCATCCGGCCCAGTACTTTGTATTACCACAGTAAAGTGTGCGCCATGTCGAGGAAGTATTAAAAATTCGGAGCTGCGAGCTGTGTTTGCGGGGGAGTGGCGAGTGGAGTGCAGCGCGGCTTGGAATGCCGTGTGGTTCTTGGTGGGGGCGATGCGACATCCAATCATCTAACACCACCTGCCCCACTTCCAACGACGCCAGGAGACGAGGCTGAGTTGCCCACCCGCAAAGGCCTGCACGGAGAAAGTGCGACAGCAGGTAGATCATGGCGACTGACGAAACCCTGTTTTGATAGATATGCTTAGAGCTCAAGCTATCGAGTACCCTTGATATCTGTACAGATGTGCGAGAAATGTCAAATTCATGACCTGCACTACTTTTCACAATGCCAACCAATCGTAGATCGGGCTGCGCAGCCGCATCACCTCTTCTCCAGCGGTTATTAACCAATGAAGTCACGAAAGTGACCATTGTTAGGAATACTATTGGGCAGACTCATCATAGAGCGAGGTTCAGAACACGACGTACGCGGGTCCGGCAACAGCGTGCCGCAGAGTTCGGCTAGACGAGAGACAGCGAGATGATCAGCATGCTGCGAGCCAGGAGAGCTCTGACATGCTTGTGTACCAAGAGTGGCGGGGCTGCGAGATTGACGGTGCTCTTGGTAGCTCACATGTGATTTTTAACGTTGATGTTAATCAGGACTTGGAACGGTGGAAGTGTATCTATCTTGAACAATGCATGGTGATGTAGAGATGCAGGATTGGTAAATGTGTTGGCTTTGATTCATAACGTGGAATGATCATAATGATGAGGTGAGGTATGCTGAGAGGCTTCGCAATGTGACGGTACAATATAAGTCAGGCTGGACAGGTAGAACCAACCAAGAATTGAGGGTGTGTGGTGCAGCGGTAGCATGTGTACTGACACCCCACAGATGTGTGCGATAAGGTTGACATTGACAACGGCCGACCTCACAAAGCCGCACGACAAAATGAGTGCGTCGTCGATCGCAACAGCGGCTCCGGCTCCTCCATCCAAGTGTCTCGAGGTGCTCGAACTGCCCTGCAGTCAACCGGGCCCCAACCGCCTTCGACCCGAAGTCTCGATGCCGGTGCGAACCCAACCGCGTCGACTGCACATGTGAACAATCAAGAGGAGGTAATTTCCGTTGCCATCCATCAAAACATCAATGAAGAGGCGGAACAGCTTGAGGAGGGAGAGATCCTGGACAGTCGAAATGAGGACCACTCAGGACAGGAGCCAGTCAAGGGAAGCGCCGACCAGCGCACTGCTCTGCTGCTTCCGGAGCCGATGCGAGACTTTATGAAGTACGCAATCGAGAAGCAGCCCGAAGAAAACTGCATCCGCTGCGGGTGATGCGGTTGCAAAGCCCACGGTACGTGGACCTTCCAGACCTTCAAAGGTGACCATCAACTATGCAACGCGTGCAGCTGGAGTACTGCGGTCCGACCGATGATTGGGCGTGTGTGTGGGTGTGTGTTGGGGGCGGAAGGCCAGGGCGCAACCTCAGGGGTCATGTCAGGTGCCACGATCGATATGAGCGACGAGCGTATGGAAAACGCCAATACGGTATTAATGCTGTGTCGATGAAATATGGGGGAAGTGGGATGTCTGAGAGTGATCCATGTTCCTTCATTGTACGAATACTGGGCCTCTGCTGGATTTGATAATGGGAGGCATTTCATTTGTGAGAGAACCGTCGTTGCAGGTAGCGTAAAACGCTTTTTGGCAGTACCACCTGCACAGAAGCACCGTCCTTTTACCATGCCCACCGGTGTGCCATTGTCCCAAGAGCTTCTGCGCAGTATGTGGAACAGACCAAATACTGACTCTAGTAGTCTTTCAGTTATTTATTGCCAGGGTCTTTGTGATCCCATCCACGGCGACAATGTTAGAATCTGCGAGGGGAAAACATTCAACATTAGTTCCCATGATGGACTCTTGGGGCAACGTAGGAGAGTGAACTCGCCGTAGGGGCTGGCCGAATTAGAAGTCATCAGGCATAACAAATGTCTACGCCACCACACCTGCAGCCTGACACTGGTGGTATGTCTGCAGAGATTAAAGTCAGATATTCAGGTGTGAAGATATGATTTTACGCTCGTATTGCAGCCTCTTGAGCTACAGTATAATCCTGCTGATAGGAAATGTACATTCTAGAGAAGAAGTAGTAGCTAGGTCTAAACGGAGCAGAAGAGAACAAAACAAAGAAAGAAAGGCCACTGCTAGAGTCGAACTAGCGTCTTGCTGCTCGTTACAACGGTGATAGGTACCCGTCCAGCAGATTGTTGAACCGGGATTGGTGTATGTTATCAGTGAATCGAGGTTGGTGTAATCGTCGTGAAATCGGGATTGGTGTAGATCCGCCTTCAGCGTACTCACACGTTTAAAGCAGCCGTGCTGACCGTTACACCAAGTGGCCTTCAGGTTGTTGAAAATGCCCTGCTTCGTTTGGCTATGAACCCTGCCCCGGTCCGTGGTCCGTCCTAAGAGCATGCGCGCAATGAATTTTGTCAGCCTTGCGCATGGGCCGATGTTGTAAGTGGGGCACCACAAACACAGTGGATAAAATTGTCCTGTCGGGCAAGTCTCGAAGGTAAGCTGATGGCTATTCTGTTTCGACGTCTTGGATGAAGACTTTGATGAATTACGGGTGGGAGCAGTTGCTGTACTTGGTCCATTTCGAGCCACCTCGTGTCCAAACCGATGTGACTAGGCAAGTTCTCACCGGTACAGCAGTTGCTTCTCATCCTTTTCAAGGCCGAGTGGATACAGTCTACATACCTCTCAGACTCTCACCGAGGACCAGAATTTTACTGCTCTTTAGATCTTAAAAAATAGCACCTCAAAATGTGATCTCTTCCCGATTTGCTACCTGTAGATTCTAATGAAGTCATCAACACACTTTGTGTAGACCCTTCGCTGGGCAAGACATCAGCCTCGGAAACTGAGTATCACGCCCGGGTCTAAGGCCATGACTGTTACAGAGGCGTTGGTGAGGAATTCTCAAGTCTATATTGGAGACGTGAAGCCCAGCACAATGTATACCAGGAGGCAAAGTGGCTCCAAAATGCAAGTCTACTACTCAGCCTCGAGCGCTACCTCCCCACTGTCCAATCCCTCGCCGACAGCCGTGATTGTGATCGCGCCTGGGCCAGTGGAGCGTACAATGGCCAGAGCAAGGCCGCTATACGCCTTGCGCTCGAGTGATGGGAAGGCAGTAAAATCCGCCGGATCTCCATTGTCCGTCGCAACGATCTCACCCGGCCCTTCGACGTTGAAGCTTATTGCATTGTTGGCAAATGGGACAACATTGCCACTCTCATCCACAACGGTAGCCGTGATGAAGGACAGGTCAAGCCCATCGGCTTGGATCGCGGTCCGATCAGCGCTCAGTTGTAACCCGGCCGCATCCCCTGCCGTGCTAACAGTAGCATTTGCCCAGGCCTCGTCGCCTCTGTACGTCACGACGCTCACCTCGCCTGGCTGGTATACAACCTCGTCCCAGCGGAAGCGATACTCTCCCTCATCTCGCGCCTTCTTACCCAGTGATTCGCCATTGAGGAACAGTTCGGCACTGTCTGCCTCCGAGAAGACGTGCACTGGCGTTACAAGGCCAACTCTCTCCGGCCACGACCAGTGAGGCAAAATGTGCGCAATTCTCAGGTCCGGCCTCCACCTTGTCTGGTACTGATAGAAGCGGTCCTTTTTGAATCCGGCCAGATCTACGATACCGCTGTAGGAGCTCCGTGTGGTGTAGTACGGCGTTGGCTCGCCGATGTAGTCGAATCCTGTCCATACGAACTCTCCTGCGACGAAGGGGTTGGCGTCTTGAGCTGCAAACACCTTGTCCGGGGAGGAGCCGAAGTTTGCTGTGTACAGGCCGTAGTCACTGACCCTCCGCCCAACCGAGTCGCCGCCGGATGAGTCGTTGATCGGAGCGGAATTATAGCCTGTGACAGGAAAAATGTATGTGCCCCTTGTGCTAAGAGTCGAGGCGGTCTCGGAGCTGAGAATCATCTTATCTGGGAATTTGGAATGATACACTGGGTACAAAGGCTCCGTATGAATGCCAGTCATGTTTCCGTAGGCTTCTGTGTTTCTGATGCCGGCGCCCTGGTAGTTCAGGTAGAACAAGTCGACCGCCTCGCTCCAGGGAAGATCGGGGGTCGCATAATTCTGGCTGGCCGAGGACAAACGAGTCGGGTCCTCCTCGCGGAGGATATCGCGGAGACTTGCCGAGAGTGCGGCGCCGGTCTCATCAGTATACTGCTCACCAACCTCATTTCCGTAGCTCCAAACGAATATAGACGGGTGATTGCGGTCACGGCGAGCCATGGCCCGTAAATCTGCCTCATGCCAGTCATCGAAGATCAGGTGGAAGTCATTGTCGGTCTTTTTGCGCTGCCAAGAGTCGAAAATCTCATCCATTACAAGGAAGCCCATACGGTCTGTCAGGTCGAGGAGCTCCGGCGCTGGCGGGTTGTGGGAGAACCGGATTGCATTCACTCCCATTTCTTGCATAATCTCGAGCTGCCTCTCGGCTGCCCTGACATTGAATGCAGCACCTAAGGCGCCAAGGTCGTGATGCTGGTTTACTCCTTGGATCTTGATATGCTCCCCATTGACGAAGAGCCCCTGTTTAGGGTCATAGGTAATGGTACGGATTCCGAATCGAGTCTCGTAAGTGTCAACTTCGGTCCCGTTGGAGTAGATGCTCGTGATGGCAGCGTAAAGACTCGGCTCTTCCGGGCTCCATAACTTGGGGTTTGGTATCGTGATTGAAAAGTTGGTCGAGTGGCTGGCCTTTGCCTCGACAGCGACGGGCGAGCGTGAGGACTCAGCAATCTGATCTCCTAACTTGCCAGTTTGCGGATCGAAAGTGTGCACAGCCGTTACAACTTCGACCCCGTTGGCCGTTGACCCTTTATTCGAGACCTGTACGCTGAGCTCAACAACCGCTGAGTCTGAAGATACGTCGCTCGTGGTCACGTATGTCCCATCGTAACCGACATGTACCGAAGAGGTCTTCGTTAACCAGACATTTCTGTAGATTCCGGCACCTGGATACCAACGAGCCGACTCATTGGGGTTGTCCAGGCGAATTGCCAGCAGGTTTCCATCTCCCGGCTCAAGGTATGGCGTCAGGTCCAGACGGAACGAGTTGTACGGGTATGGCCACCCTCCAACCAGTTTTCCGTTGAGCCATACAATCGCATACGACATTGCTCCGTCGACATCGAGGTATGCCTGCCTACCGACAGCGGCTTCGGATTCCGTCCAGGAAATGTTCCGTCGGTACCATCCAACTCCTTGTATCGGCAGACGGCCCATACCTCCACTTACGACTGGATCATCCTCATCCGTATAGAACGGCCCTGCGATGGCCCAGTCGTGGGGCAGCGTTACACTCTCCCATGCACCGTCATCGAAGTCTTTTTGGAGGAAGGCAACATCGTTCCCTGGGGGGTCCGTATCAGGAAGCTGGTGTTTGTCGCTAGAGTTGACGATGTAGTCATTGGCGGACGGAAGAATCCATGGCTTGAGGACCTCCAGAGTTAAGTCTGCTTGGTCTGGGCGGATGTCGTAAGTAAGTCCGTCCGGATTTGTCTCGTTGCGTTGGAAACGCCATTCTGAGTTCAGGCTTATGCGCTCTCGTCCTGCACTGGTCTCATTCCGTGCATGTATCACACGTGCAATGGAGGCACGGACATGAAGTTGAAGCACGAGAAAGACGGCAGCAACAAGCCACCGTACTGTGGGCGCCATAACAAGATGGGACACCGATATTTCATGCAACCACGAGGACACAAGTTGGGCGGATCTCAATGGATAGGAGGTTCAGCAGCATTCCATTTTTCATCCGAACTTCAGTGTAATTCACTTCCCATCGACGAATCTTAAAAGTCTCGCTGCGGAAGAATTACTAGTGTATATGAGGGGTAGGATAATAGCCTAAATCTGGCTATGTGAGGTACCCGCTAAGTGGAGAACCTGGGGCACCCTTGGCATGTCCTATTTCGGTATGATGTAGCTATTTCGGCATGATGTAGCCCGAGGAAAACAGGTAGGCTCACGATAGCCTCATCTCCAATTGAGCTTGTGCGGATCCACATTCGAAATGACATAGTGCTCAGGGTTCGGGGTAGACCAACGGTCTGGGTATCAGAACGTGTAACCACGTGGCTGGGATGTTAGTGTCGGCTACCGGTAGGACGTTGCCTTCTATACTACCAAGGTTCGACCGGCACTCGACGACTTTCTGGGGCAGGCCCTCCTTTTTAAGGATACCACCCAGCCATCAAGGCCAGCGCCGTCCTTTCATGTGACCTTACGAGGCCTCTCCAGAATCCATGATCGGAGATTTGCCGACTCGACAGCAATGCCATGTTCGCAACAGTTTCCAGCTTTCATCCCATTGTGGGACAATGCCGACGTTGTATTTCCAGCAGCTGTCAAACCGGCGAACCAATCGCATCTCCCGTCTCCAGATTTCCATGGACCAGGACCGAGGAACCCGTCGATCAATGCCGGGTTTCCTGACAGGTTTAGCTGAAGTGGGGTGTCATCCAATGCCTCCGGAACAAAATGCATCCCAAGTATGCCCAAGGACGAAATGGTATCACTCCATGTTCAGGCAATAATCACTTATTGACAACCGCGCACCTCAACCGGACGGCTGACTTTTTTACAACTCGGGACGAACATAATTGTGAATCGAGACCCTATGACGTGTGTCGCCGGACGCCGGGGACCTTTAGTCGCGGCATTCAAGCATTGCTGTGGTTTCCAGAAGCCAAAGGGGCAGTAAGAGAGGGGCGCAACAATTCTACCACTGCCAACGATTTGGGGTTAGGTTACATCGAAGCAGCAGCCACACGAGGCCCCGCTAACCAGCCAAGTCCTTTTCAACTGCCTAGACATAGACATATGCGAATTTTTGCCTTTGCCTCGGCAAGTTGGTTGTACAATGAGTAGTTAAGATTATATGGCCATGTCGTGTGACTATCTGCCGTCACATCACAGGGAATAGAAACCCGAATACTGGACCTTGCATTTCTCATTACGTCCCCACAGCGCCCACCGCGGCACTCTCCCTGGCCGTGCCCATCACTCACTTAACAAGCTGCGTTGGGGTTCAGTGGGTTCCCAATGCTGATCCCAAAATACGTAAGGTGAGCAAGGTTGATGCCAACCCCTCCATTCCCGATGCCGTACCCCTTCTCGCTCTGGTTGCAATCCTGAGGTTCTTGTCCGGTGCACTGGTAAGTCCCTTCGGCCGTCGAGGAGTCGTCGCTTTCCCAGTACTCGGTCGTGTGGTGGCGATATCCGTCCGACTGGGGTGGAATCTGCGGGACGCCATCGTTCGAGTGAGTGGCGCGGATCATTGTGTTTGCGCCTGGGAACACCGTGTCGACGTAGTCTGCGTACGCCTGGTCCCCTGTGCGTGGCTGCCCGTAGGTGTATGCAGTAAGCGTGAAGTTCTGGCCCTTGAGTGACGCGGCGGCCAGGGAAGCAAGAGCGCCGCCCATGCTGTGCCCGGTAACAATGAGCTTGTAGTTGGGGCTCGCAGCAAGGCTTGAAGTCAAAGTGGTGACAATGTCATCTTGGACAGAGACGTATTGCCCCAGATAGCCCTCGGCGCACTGCAATACAGGTCATGTCAATAAAGAGAACAGACGACATCAAGCTGGAATTTATAAGGAACTGACAGTACAACCGAGGCAGGATATGCCATCGGCGGCGGAGCATGACACCAGGGTCTGTTGCAAGTCTGTCACAAAGTCCTGGACGCTGGAGGTCCCCCGGAACGACAAGATGTACTCCTGGGCACTGTCGTCACGGAACAGTGTCACCTGAGTATCGGTCTTCTGGTCATTGAACATCTTCGCGACACTCGAACCGAAAGGAGGATTCGTGCAGCTTGAGCTGTACGAAGCCGAAGCGAAGCGCGCGTAACGAGAGAGTTGGTCGTAGACAGTGGTGCTAACTTGTGTCTTCTGGGCGAGCGCCCCAGTGAGCAAGAGACTTGCAAAGGTCAGAGAACGCATTGTCGGTCTTCAAGATCTGGGTTTCTGGGCAAATGGGCGTGGCAGAGCGTGCATCTGAGAATGTTGTCACAAGCGCACAAGTGCAAGGCGAACACTGTCGGGCTCGGAGATCTTATACACGGGCTTCGGGCACAGAACGTCATGTCGGCCTATACGCCAGGGGGCTCGACAAGTCGAACATATCCCAGAGGACGATCCGTTTGCCAAGTCAGGCTAATCAATAATGCTCCGGCCGTTGCGCCCTCGAATGCAACATTCCTGACTTGTATGGATGGGTTTCCGTATCTGGCCTAGAGTGACAGCTCCACATCATGGGTGAACCCAGCAGGAGGACTGACAGTCGTCTCATATTTCCAGCTGATGAGGGATGCAAAAGCATTAACAAGGATCATGTACACCGTACCTCCGAGGTCTGCCACGACCTGGGATCGAGATATCCGAGAGTCAGGCAGCGCCCGCACTCTCTTCATCAGGATACGAAGTCCGCGGATCTAAGCCTCCGCGACGCAGTGCTTTCCCTCCAGCCGCAATGTCCATGCGAGAGACAGGACAAAGTTACCGAGTACGACCCCCCGCTACATCTCGTGCGTTCCAGAACATTCTTGCTCGTGCATGTTCTTTCTCATCCATGTATCCTTGGTTCTTTGTGGATGAAAGGAAGCAGAAGAAATCTGTTCTACGCATGGAATCTTATTGAAACAATCCACGGACTTGATTCAACCGATGTGGCCTTTCTTGTCTGATTTCGAGCTTCAATGCCAGGCATATGAGATGACAAGTTGAAGCAGCAGAAGGACGCATAACCCGGCATCAGTGGTTGAAGCTCTGACAAACGGGTATCTATGCCCCTTAACTGTCAGTGGCGTTAGCATAGAAGATAGTCTCAATAATTTCGTACATTATAGGTGCATGTGGTTACCTGCTATTTTCTTTTCAACACAACCTTGCTAATGATCAAGCCGCCCAAAACAAAATCTCGGATATCGCGTATAGCACTTTAAATCCTGAAGACTGGCCCAGCCACTTCCCTTTCCCAGCCTTTGTAATACCTGTGATGCGGTCCGCGCTGCCGCTTTCGTGATTGGCTTTATCAGCTGCGCTGCACTAGCAGCCTCGTAGGTCCTTAGACGTACCTGATAGACGAGCCTCTGGGTATCTTTTCCAAATGCCGTACAGTGATTAGTAGGTAGTGACGTGTACTATAGCCTTTAACTAAGGGGGTAGTGCAGCAATAGCGAGCTAGGCGCCTTTATGCGTGCTGGCTAACTATAGCTATGATGCCCAATTTGGTTTACTGAGGTTATACTTAAGGTTGGTGTGATTTCCTAGGATGCTCGAAGGAGAATTGTATGTAATTGCTCAGGTAATTATAGACCATCTGTATTTTTTTGAGTTCCTCTACTGAGCCGGAACAACGATAAGTGTCCCATAAGGACGAAACAGGGTATTGAAATTGCAGCGAGATCCGCTATGCAAGGCTTTAGACAGTGACCTTTTCAATCTTCTGCAAACCAGTGTTCTGAATTCGAGTACCTCCGAGGAGTGGAAGAAATGGAGTACAAAAAGGACTTCTTAGCGCCAATGGGGAGTTCCCAGACACTCGTCAGCATCGTTATCGATTCAAACGATATATTCGTTGGAAGGACAGATCTTTCAGATGACCCGAATCGGCTTTGGGCCCTGCGAGGGGTGAAATTCACTCGCCAAAACGCACGAATTTCGACCAGTTCCTTCGAAGCATACGGCTCAGGACCGTCAAGATTTGAGGCTCTCTCTTCTGGTGCGAATCGTGTTCTGGAGCTCAATCGCCTGGCTGTTCTAGGAAGCTCTGCGAGAGTCATTGTCATGTGTGGCTTGAAAGTGCAAGTTGACATGATAGCCGCCATGGGATCTCAACTCGTCGGCCCTATTACGATGTCCTTGAGGGATATCAGTCACTCTGTGTGGCTCTTGCCTGAAGCCCAAGATATCCGACAAATTTCAAGGATATTTATAGGCTGCCCAGAACCCGACATCTCTGTCCTTGTGCATGACAGAAATTCCGTGAGGGGCATCACAGATGTTTTCGATTGGTTAGTGCGGTCACTGGTGTCCAACGATTGAAATTCGCTTTCTTTGAGAACGTCAAGTTCTATTCAGCTCTAAAATTACGATGCAAGCGCGAGCAAAACGGGGAGATACAGCCGATGAAACTGGACGACCTAGACTCAGAATCTCGAGAACGGCTTTGGCGTCGTGGTTTTGCGACGGATGCAGATATTCTTGAGCTTGAAAAGATTGCTGGATCTATATCCCGCGGGTTAATTTACCTAGTCGTCGTCCTCAGCCATGACACGGGAACTGCGGGGCCCGAGACCAGGACTGCACAGCCAAGTGACTCAACTTCTCGGTCGCGGACAGATGGCGCCTCGCTACACGGGCGACCCCGTGTTCAAGACCCCGAAGCTGTGCCAAAAATGAAGATCTTGTGGGACAGAGTCCATAATGACCACCTCGAGCGCATTGGCGAGCTTCGATGGGCGCAGAACGACCACCGTCCGGTGACAGAAGACCAGATGGAAAGTTTTTTTTTCAAAGATTCTCTACCGTCTGTGCATAGTCTCGAGAAGAAGATCAACATGCCCTCAGACCTCTCGATCCCATTAACCAAGAGAAAGCGATCACCAACCCCTGACCGAGGACAGGATTCGGCACCGCCAAGTGCCAGTCCCAAGACAGCGCGCATAGGCAAGGAGACCTTCACCGGCCACACATCAGCTCCTGATGAACCAACTGATCGTCTCACAACTGCGCATACTAGTCCAAGCCGCCCTTCACAGCTGGCTGTGCGGAAAGCGCATGCACAGACAACACCAGGGAAGCGCATTCCCGCGCCGCGGGAGACCCAGGCCGAGCACCGACACTCCCATCCCGGCTCCCGTCCAGCAGACGGGATCTCGTGCCAAAGACCCTGCTATGAAGTCTAGCCAGGACCAAATCGTTCTAGCAGCAGAGAACAACATATTGGAGGATCCGGTCATGGACCTGTTGGCTGAGGTATTAGGGGAAGATGAGAACGAAACTTTGACCGTCTTGGCCGCGAACGATCGACACACGATGAGCAAGACATCAGTTCAGGCAGTAGATCAACCGAAGCAGAGCCTTCGGGATGGCTTGTTAAACGGCACTTACGAGGTCACACCGACAATGATGGCCAAAGATGGACATGTCGCCTGGCTCGCCCTTTCAAACATTGACCATTTCCCGATACCGCTCGATTCCACAAGTGACAATCAGCAGGCATTTCGCATCAAAGCCGATCACGTAAAGCCCGGCACAATTCATACCCATCGAATACTAGGTAATACCGACTTGTACGAGCAAAGCGACCCGGCTCTCCGGTTAGGCATCCAATATTGCCAGGGAGAAGAAGATAGCGGGCAGAGGTCTTCCTGGCAATGGGCTATGAAGAACCCTTCTCGTAAAGGCTTGTTCCGTATGAACACACTGGTTGATGTATTGGAGGGTATACCGACTGAAGCTACCAGAGCAAGACCCCGCAGGTGGTGGCGATATTATGGGCTTGGTGAGAAATACATAAGCCAGTATAATGACTAGATAGGTAGTGCTTTCGTCTGGCAGGATCCTTTGAGAAATATACGCTACTTAGGTTGTAGTTGCAGCCATAGTACAACGATTCAAGGCGGGCAAGATGGCCGAGCGGTCTAAGGCGCTGCTTTCAAGAATCAATTCTTCCCCGAAGTGGGAGCACAGCAGTATCGAAAGATGCATGGGTTCAAATCCCATTCTTGTCAACCAACAAATTCGAAAGTCCTTTTTTGGTCCTTTTCTCTACACCATTACTAAAATACTTCACATGAGTCATTATAATTTAGCCGTCTTATCATACTTAAACGATAAATATAATATAAAAGTTAAGGCTGGCGGCTGTGGGCAGGTTAGTTGGGCCCGTGCAGGGCCCTGCACCGGCCCCCTTATCGATAAGCCCATCCTGCCTTATAGCTGCAGCCCAGAGGGCCTGTGGGAGACAGCCTGGGGGTCGCAATTATGTGGTTTGCATTTTTGGAAGAGCAGTCTGAGTAAGTTTCTTAGCAGAATCGGTGGCAGCTGTCTCTTTAGATAGGAGCCTCCGTAACGCCAGTCACTAGCCCCATCGAATTGACCCATTCACCGTACGCCCTGCAGTGCCTGCCACAGGGCCCCTCCAGAACCCTCTCGCTTTCTTTCCTCTGTTTTCGTCTCTAGGCCAGCCTACTCTTTAAATCCACATAATTTAGTGCATATTTCGAGCCTTCGTGCCGTGAAGCCCAAGTGACGTAGTAATAAATTAAGTGGTATCAAGGTATTTCTAGCCTATTTATGTGTCTGGTTCTGAGTATGTTTTCCCTCAAGGGCTTAAATATCAGAAATGGCACCCAAACCTCACCCACAGCTTTTAATATTGTAGTGGCAGCTCTGGATCCCGTGATACTTAGCATGATCGTGGCGAACGGGTTAGGGGATCCCAATGCCACATCGACATCTCCCATGTGAACGAGTATGATGGCAGCCATGATTATGGCAAGCGAGCCATTGATGGCAATCGACCAGACCATGGCCCGCGGGACGGCAGATTTTGCCCGCCGCGTCTCCTCGGACATATGAATGACGCCATCAACACCTAGGTAGGGAGTAGATTAGCACAGAATATCGCTCCAAAATCAGAGACCGCACCTGTGACACTGAATATGCATGTCAGCATGCCTAGATGCCATGACACATAAGGGTTGTGGTCCCATCCCGATGCGATCATTGGTTTCAGCAAGAAGCTTGCATCATGCCTTGGTGCCATTACCACGAAAACGACGAGGACGAGGACGAACAATCCGACATGTAGTATACTGGAGATCATCTCGAGCCAAGGAATCACCCTGAAGGCGTACACACTGACGAGACCCTGGAAGGTCGCACATGCGATGACCAAAACCGATGTCTTCCATCCGCCGGCAACATATGTCTCCGAGTTAAGGGTGATCAGGGACTCCAGCTGCACGACCAAGACATTGGCGAGAGCCGCCTGGAGTGCGACGTAGCCGAACCAGGCAGTCCAGCCCTGTATCCAGGTCGCGAACATCTTGATGCGCTCGGGCGCCATGTGCCAAGTCCAGTGATACTGTGCTCCCGCCACCGGAATCATGGACGCCATCTCCCCCAGGCAGGCTGCCTGAGCAAGGGCTCCGACAACGGCGATTATCATGCCGAAGAACAACGTTCGAGGGCCACCGTTGATGAGCGCAAATACCAAGTTGCTGTGTAATTGATCAATCTCAGGATCTGGAGCACGAGGTTTGCAAGTTGGGCTTACACGCAAACTCCTTCCCAGGCTCCCATGTAGGCCAGGCAAAATGCGAAGAACTGGGCAAATGAGAATACCCCCCTCACCCTCGTGGTTCTCTCCAGGATTGCCTCCTCTTCTGCGCCATCGCGTTTGATCGAGACATCGGGCTGTTCTTTCCGCTTAGTAGTGTCGCTTCGGGTGGGCCATAATTCTGTGTCCTGTGTTTTGTCCATCGTGCGGCTCTTTGGAGGAGCAACAGAGTGGTTGCACAACGTTGGTGTCGCGTGGGTGTGAGGAACTCAAGGGGACGGAGTCGATTAGCAGGATGCAGGTTGGGAGATAAATGGCAACGGCCAGGACCAAGTTCCAATGCACGATTATCATTTCTCATCTGCGCCTGGGGGTCTCGGCTCATCCAGGCCTGCAGGCCTGTGGATCACCGACCAGGATACGTTCAGTCTTTGCCATCAGGAGTGCGACCGTCACTCGAGAGTGCACATTTCATCGAGTCCTCGTATTCATGGACATTTGGGCGTTGCTGGGCATCCTGCTACCTTGGCTTCACCTTTGTTCCGAAGCATAATCTTTTGTGTCGGATTATTAATAGGACGTGCAATCACTACGATGTACGCCAATGGAGGCAAACTCCATCAAGCCATTGAGCAACTTTATCTCATCGTCTCAGTACGAAGATTCGCCATACTTCCTGATCTCACTCCTGCAGATGTTCCTCGGCCCATACTGTGTACTCAACCCGCGCCACAAAAGCCTCGCAGACTCGGCCGAAGTCTACATGGTCCGGAGATCATATCGACTGGTTATTCAGGCGGGTCCCTCCTACCTTCTGGCGAATCGGAAGCTCCGCATCCTGAGTGCTGGTTCCGACAAACTGCCAACCCGATCTGGGGGCTCTCTTCACCGGTGAATTCGACGCCTGTTTGAGAAGTTGGCTGATCTATCCAGAAACGGGTGGACGAAGTTTCTTGGTACACTTGGACGAATAAAATTCTTCTCGCTTCTGCAAGAGACCCGAGGCTCCCTGGGTCCCAGCGCGGCCCGGGATTCCTTCCGACTCCGGCCCTGAGCGGGGGGGAGGGGGGACATCGCCATGCTAGAACTCGTCGAGATGCGGCACGGTGATGCCGCCGATTCCATGTCAGAACCTTTTTCCATCGTACGGCTTTCGCATGCGATGAGATGCTTGAAGGGAGATGAGTCACGGACAGGTACCTTTCGACGAAACCCAAGACTACCTTGGTAGGATGAGTACCGGGTCGTCCACAGAGTACTAGTTGAATTATTCTCAACATTCATGGAATGAATGACACGGATATCTCCTGCATGTGTAGGGAGCTGAGCCGAATCCTACAGCCGCCCTCGCCAACAGCTGATCGCTTGACTTCATCCCAGCCTTCACAGGTGGCTGCGGGCTTTGGAAAGGTTGACGTGCTCCCTGTTGGATTCATTCGGAACCATGGGATGACACCATGTCCGTTCACCGTGGTGAGCCGGTGCCAAGTGCTTAACAGTGTCATCTTATCCAGCTTTTAAAATGTAAATGGGCACCGCATTCTCAATTCTGTCCTCCACTGTGGATCATGCTAACTCTTTTACTTAACACAACCTCAGTCTCCGCGGCATGGAAGCAGTGCATCCTGCCATATTTCCCTTAACCGAAGACGATCACGCTGCATGGGTGGTTGTCATCACAATCACTTTCTTCGTCTACACCTTTGGGGCTGTTACAGCGAAGCTTTCTATACGGTACAAGGCGTCGGGGTGGAGGCCGAATGATACGGTACTTGCCTTTTAGGGCTCCTTACTTTGTTTGTTCAGTCCATTTGTGTCGTTACATCTTGTACGAATGGCCTCGGAAAGCACCAAGACTCGGTGACATCAGAGAAATTGGACAAATTCGATAGAGTATATCCTTTCCTTTGCTTTGAATTACCCTCTACTTGAACGCAATGTGATATATCCTGCCAGGGCATGGCTTTTAGTTTCAGTATGCATCGCTGCTTCTCAACATCGTCACCACAGCCTGCAGCAAATCTTCAACCTGTCTCCTCATCAACGACATCTACAGCTTCGGAAAATTGCGTCTGGCGAACCGCGCCCTGTTTACAGTCGTTATCGCATGTGCAGCGATAGCAATCTTCGGTGTTGCTTTCGAAAGTGCTCTGCCCATGCCATGGTCAATTGACGCTTCGTGCCGAGGATATGCGAATGCCTACCTGTACAATGGCATCACTAACATCTTGACGGACATTGGCCATACTTTGCTGCCGATTGTGATGCTATGGCGTGTCCAAACAGATCATCGAGTGAAGCTGCGCATTGCGGTGCTCTTCGGAAGTCGGATTGTGTGAGTTTTCCAGGACTCCACCACGTTCCTGGGGTCATTGGCATGAAATGCCATGTCTAGTGGCAAGCCAAGTCTAACAATGCATACGCATCACAGGGTCCCTTTTCTTGTGCTGCCCTCTCTTGTGACAGCCCAGCAATATTTGCAAGACCACACAGACCGAACGTGGAAGGTCGTCACCCCAACCATTTGGCTCCAAATATCCCTGAACATGTCTCTCTTCACAGCTTGCATACCAAGTCTGAGGGGAGTCATCGAAAGCATCCTAGTATCAACTACTGCCGGTGCAATACAAGCACCTTACTACCTCACCCGAGCCGGAGTCGGGGACGGCATGCACGCAACAGCGATTCCACTGCAGCAACTGGACTCGTCAAAATACTTCCGCAGTGCAAGAAGACGCGGCCCATCCCTAAAAACATGTAATAGTTCCGGAGGCGTCCAGGAAGGCGGCCGTTCACACCAGCTGGAAGGTTTCAGAGAATTGGCTGGTCACGAAGAAGCAGGCCGGCCTGTCTACCGAGCACAGTCAAGTTCGCACGGATCAAGTAACCGTTAGCCAGCATGCTCCACGAACACTGCCAGAATCCTTTGGGAAATGTCTGAAAAAGTTTATTTGCACTGTGCAGTATCATTTCAACGCTGCAGTGGGACCTTCTCCCAAATGATTGTCTGCTTTGGCAAGCTCCGTTAACCACTCGAACACAAACAACAAACGGCAGCGGGCAGCATTGCCACCGTAATTCTCAATAATCTCAGGCCGCTTCCCCCTTGAAACATAAGGTATCGACAAATTCCCTCTTCTGGAAGCGATCTTCCAATTTAAGCCATTCACTCCAGATCTCCGTCCAGCGCTCAACCTGCTCTCTCGTAACAACACCCAGCTCAACGGCGCGATCCCCAACGGTGCCCTTGAAGCCGTTCCACTCCCTGGTCACATGCTCCAGACTCGCGGCTACCTCTATCCTTCCCCCATCCGCACCGAACCCGGCCTCCCTGGCCCATTTCTCTTTATACACGCCGGCCTTGGTCCAAGACCCCATCGCCTCAAGGCATCTCAGCTGCGCCGGCGAGGCCTCGGTCATCAACGCCGTGAAAGGGGGCCGATCTGGATGGACAGCGATAATCCCCCGGCCGGAGCCATCCCTCGACGCCACGATCCCACCGGGCTTCACCACGCGGTACATGGCCTTGAACACCTTGACAGGGTCGGTGAGGTGCATGAACAAGGCGTGGGCATGGATCACATCGCTGGGGTTGCCAAGGGTGAGCATTAAAAGGCATAGGAAGGGAAGAGCGCCGCCGCAACCCGACTCACAAACTGGCGTCAGCAAATTGTGACAGCTCGTAGGCGTCCCCGACCTCGAACGAGAGGTTGGGCTCGTGGTACTTCGCGGCAGCCTGTGCCACGATGTCCGGCGACACGTCGATGCCGACGACCTTGCCCTGCGGCACGAGGAGCGAGAAGTCGTGCGTCATGCCGCCGGGCCCGCACCCGACATCGAGGACGTGGAAGTCTGGCTTCAGGTGTGGGAGGAGGTAGGCAGCGTAGTCCTTGGCGGTGCGGTACTCGTACAATGCTAACACGTTGGGGTCGTCGCTGGCCAGGGCTTTGTTCTGATATGCCATTGTTATGCGGTTGGTATGCTGAGGTCTCTGGTGAGTTTTGATCAGGAAACTCAACCACGCACGCTTCGTGTGCGACCCGGACAGATAGTGCTCTTGATTATATGTTCCCGAACTGCTGGTACCAGCCACTCCTCTTTTCGAAATCGTGCCGCTTCGACTCTACTTATCTAGCAACACCTGAGCATGTTGCAAGTAGGGGCTTCCGCTATAATCTTATGTCATCTTTTCCGATACCATCAATTAAGTTTCCCGGCGGATCTAGATCGCAGACTCACTATTGGTCACATCTGGACCAGACTCCAATTCTCAGCCATAGAGATGCGTGTACTCACTCTTTTTGGCCTGAACGCGTCGCCGCACCGCCATTAAGCTTACCGCTAAGCCGCTTAGCTCGGTTCTGATATTACCATGGTAACTTTCCATGGCCCCCGCGAGCAACTTCATATCAGATCTGTGGCTTGGAACCCGGGAATCATGACGGGGTTGCGGTCCATTTGCTTGGAATACCACTCGTGTTGGAGGCTATTCGGCTCAGACCGTAGAAAAGATGCCATAAAGTTTGTATTTCCGGGTGTCCATCACGGTTTGTCAGCCGCCTTCTCAAGAACTGTCTTGTGACCAGAGCCCGGAAGACAGAGTCCGGAAGCAAGAGTTCGGAAGCCAGAGCCCGAGAAGCATAGCCCGAAAGACATTGAGTACTTCTTACCACAAGGAGTGTGTCACGTACGCGGTGAGGATCCATGTGCCAAGGTTAGAAGAGGAGATGCAAGAGACAGTTCCAGTCAGTTGAGTACAACCAGGGGATCGACTTGGGCCTTTTCCGGTCTTCCCGAACTTTCCACCATGGCAAACCAACCCATTACAAGCTCACGATGGGACAACTTGGAACATTTCGGATTGACCAATCGGTCCCGTTCGGGCTTACATTGGATGCTAGATGTACACAGATCGCGCTAAATGGTTTTGAAATGCAACAAGCCGAACTATTTACATGAAGAGTAGCCACGCTTTCGTCCGCCCTGGTTCCCAGTTTTTGATTCAAAACACTGAAGTCACAAGACTTTCAGATGGCTTGAGCCCTCATGGCCCTGGCGGCGAGCAAAGCCTCGCGCCTCTTCTTGGGGCAGGGGCGCTTGGACGGGCGCGGCTTGGTGCTCTGGGTCGCTGGCACGTGGCGGCAGCGGCGGGCTCCTCGGCGGCGGCCTCCTCGGCGGCGTGCTCCTCAGCCGCGACGGGGGCGGCGGACGAGGTCGGGGCGGGGGACACGCTGGGCACGGAGGGGGTGTCATCGCCGTCCGCGGCGGCGATCACGGCGGGGACGGAGGACGTGGCCGCGGCTGCGGCTGCGGCTGCGGAGTTGGAGGAGGCGGAGCCGCCCGAAGAAGAGCCGGAGCCGCCCAGGCTGATGCACGCGAAGGACATCTTGGTGGTGGTCGTCGTCGAGCCGCCGTAGCCGACGGGGGAGCTGAGGTCCCAGTCCATGCTGACGTAGGGCCAGCAGATGCGGCCGTCGGCCATGGTGACGAGGTCGCCGGCGACGGTGACATCGGTGCTGGTGAGGGGCTCGCCGACGGCCTTGCCGGTGCCGTCGTTGGTGACGAGCTGGAACCTGGAGCCGGTGAACTTGCCGCGGCAGCCCATGGCGATGAACTCGCAGAAGGGGTCGGCGATCTCCTCCCAGGTGACGAGCGCGTTGGTGCCGTCGAAGGTGGCGACGTGGGCATTGCTCTGGTCGGCGGTTCCGGTGGTCAGCCAGTTGACCTGGTCGTCGCCCGACGCGGCGCCGACCTCGCTGGTGGCCTGCTTGCCGACCATGGTGTACTTGTCGCTGAAGGTGGCGATGGCGACGTTGCGTCCGTTGGTGCGGTTGGCGACGTGGGTGTAGCCATCTCCCATCCAGTCGTTGATGGTGACGTCCTTGGCACCGCGCGAGACCCAGGCGAAGATGTACGCCTCGCTGTCCTGGAAACGAGCCAGGTTGCTGTAGGATCCGGACATGCCGCCGAGGGACTCGCCACCGGCGCCGTTGGTGACGTTCTCGTTGGAGATCTTGGTTCCGACGGTGCTCATGCCCTGGCCCTTGGAGTTGAGCCAGATGGCGCCCTGATCCTCAGCACAGACACTGGCGTAGGGAGCCTCGTCGGCAGCCTCGAGAGCAATGCCGGTGTTGTGGCTGCAGCCCCAGGCAGAGGTAGCACCCTGGATGGTCACACGCTCACCAGTGCTGTCCTCGACATAGTTGATGGCGTCACCGAAGTGGCCCTGGGCAGAGCCGCTGTAGGCAGTGACAACGGTGTAGGCGGCGTATCTGCCAGTCTTGGCCGAGTAAACGAGGTCACCATTCATATCCGGAGCGGCCATGAGACCCTGGTCGCTGTCAACATCGGGACCACCCAACCAGGTCTTCCACTTCTGGGTGCCAGAGGCGTCGAAACGGTACAGAACGGGGACGGGGGTGTTGTCCGGGGGCGCGTTGGACGTGCCGGAGGGCATGGCCTCGTTGGTCAGCAGAGCGAAGCCATCATCCTGGGCGACGAGACCACCGGCCTCCTTTCCACCATCGACGGTGACGACGGTGCCCGTGGCCTTGAAGGTGGCGGGGTCGATGGGCTGGACGTGGACGCCCGTGTCGGAGGAGTCGAGAAAGGCCAGGTAGGCCGTCTTGCCGTCGGGGGAGACGGAGAAGGGCGTGCGGCGGTGGTGGACGTAGCCGGTCCAGTAGGCCTCCTTGATGGGGTTGAAGCTGCTCGACAGCGTGACGGCGTCGACGTGTGTCTCCAGGGACGACTCGGTCAGGCCCTGGGCCGCTGCGGCTCCCGCCAGGGAGAGCAGGGCTGGCACAAAAGACAGCAGTGACTGCCTCATGTTGTTTGCGAAAAAAAAAAAGTGAGTGTGGTCAACAAGCTGTTGAAAGTGAAGTAAAGAGTGGATGCAGATCAACTGCGGTGAATATGTCGTCAATTGTCAACAAGACGCCTGATTCCTGTTGGACAGTGACACATTGTTTCGACGACGGACGGCATCGTGTTATGTACTCTGGGTCGGATCGAGGCCATGCCCCAGTTTCCCGGAGGAAACCATCACTTTGCACATCGATCTGGCGATTTTGTCCCCCTCGTCTGAGATGGATTGCGGATACATGGGCCATGCCCAGTGGGCCGTTCTGACGGGGGGCATTTGCGGCGGTGGTCCCAGGGGCCTGGAACCCCTGAGTGTGGCCCAAAGAGGCATCGTTAGCTGTCAGGGTCCCCCGGCCCAACCTTGTTAATCTTATTCTGCAGTGAGACACGAACTTGGCGGGGAAACTTGTTTCCACCTCATGTTTCAATTAGACGCCCGCGAATTTCCACAATCCCTCGCTCTTACGAAATCCTGCCCGAATCTCGCCTGCGCGATTCCTCCACAGCCCTGCGATGCAAAAGGCCTATTCTCGACCGCCTCACGACATTCGCCCGAGGCCCAGACCGACTCCCGGGTGCTTCTTGTCTCCGCCCCCTCCGAGTCCACCAGCCGACGGATCACGGCACACTCTGCAGACAAACAGACAAATCAGCACTGTACAATTTCCAAGCGAGGTGATTCCCTGAGTCGTCCAACATCCGATGCCTTGTACGATGCCTCTGACCGTTGCCGAGTTTAAATGTGCGGCAAAACCCTGCACACGCCAACGGGTATCTGCAAGCTTCCGAGCCGTTGGGTTTCGGTTTAAGTCTGGAGGTCTGGCCAGTGGGGTCATCATTTTAAATAGGTAATGCCGCTGTCAGCTCGCCAGGGTGCCAAAGTGATCGCCGACTTTTGTTTTGGCAAGGGGGACTATCAACTTTGTTTCAACGACATGAGCCGATCACTTGGCTCCTCGCGTCTCAACACCTCGTTGAAGCCCCCAGCACTGCTCCAGCAGGAGCCACGTATATAGGTAAACATCTGCTCCAGGGCCAGAAGGTCAGTCATTGGGCGGAGTTTTCCCAACCGGAATAATTCTTAGTTTACTGGATGCAGTGTATACGGAGATACGGAGTATACTGCCACGTTTCCGCACAGTCGCTGACTGGTGGATCGGGGCAAGGCCCAGCAGGGCATCGCTTAAATAGCCCCATGAGGCCATTGCCCCTCCCCCTTATTGCTTATTGGAAGGCGATTTGGTGCCCGTCCTTGGAATGTTTCCCAAGAAGCGATATACCTGAGCCTAAGGGACGTCATATGGGACACTGCAAGCTTGGCAGTCATGCCTCCTTGATCAACGATTGCCGATGTGTTCCCAGCGGCTACTTCTCCTGAGATGGAAGGCACCTTACAGCGAATAGAAGGCCTTATGAAGTGTGAAAAATCAGGCCGGCAGTCAAGTTGACTCCTATCTGAAGAACAGGTGTCAGTTGGGTAAATACATTGGTTGTCATCTTGCCCAGTGACTGTGACAGTTTCTGTGCCATTTATCGTCTACATGCCGGAGCTTCCCGGAGTCAAATAAATAGCAAACAATTCCATTCAAGCTTACCTTTCTCCGTATGATGGCTGCCATCCGATGCCATGAGTCGGTCGGAATTGGCTTGGACACAGCCTCCGGGTGGTTGATTATCAATCTCTTGCATTTCCAACCACGCAACGTTGAAGACTCGAGTAACCCACACACCACATCTCGTCACTCTTTTCCTGCCCAATATTTGAATAAAGACTTTGAAAGGAGTTCATTTGTACGTGACACTATCCTCAAATGCTCTGGCTGTCGCAAGTCAGCAGTTTGGAAAGGGATGGGATCAGCAATCCTCACTGTCACTCACCTGTCGTGGCCTTGCCTCATGGTGACTCAGGACTGCAACCATAATCTTAAACCAGAGATGGCTTCCTTCGCAAGAAAGACACCCAGCAGCTGTTTCGGCCGGCGCAGGTCATGTTCGAATGAAAATAGAGCCTCGAGAATGCTGAGCCCTAGATATTAACACGTGGTCCATATGATTCACCGCGGTACCATTACTGCGAGCAAAAGTTCTTGGTCACTGAATGAGCACATCCAGAAGGACACTTGAGTCGAGTAGATAAAACGGGCTCATGCTCAGAAAAAACAGTCAGGTTGAGACAATTTCCGTACAAATCATAGATCCTGGGCAACGGCGTGCATGTCCGTAGAGCCAATTTTCCAACAGGAGTTGATCGTTCCCCTACACGAGAATTTGGCCCTCATTGTCAAGGCCACCACTCTTAGATCCAAGGACTCTTGTGGACTCCGCTCTGTCGGTACCGCTGATTTTGGCCTCCACTGCCAGCTCTGACTGTGTATTAGAATCGGCACCCGGGACTTCTGAGTTCTAATCCTCAGTGGCAGCTCTGCACAAGCTTAAGAAGCTACATCTCACACAAACCACGAGGTCGGCGGGTTCCACAACGGCTTTGATACACTCGTTCCTTCGCCCAACAACGCGACATCACAATGAATCGAGAGCTCCGTCCTTGAATGCCTCAAGCAACTCAATACCTGATTCAAGCCGACGCGTGCCTTGCCCCGAAGCAACGTGCTCGTCCAGAAGTACACGCGTGTCAAGAGAGACGCGATAACGGTTGAGAGACTTCCCTCCGAAAAAACATCATCTCGTGGGTCTTCGTTCCTGCAGCTGTCTTCCATCCGTACTGACTCCTGTTTGGCTTGTAGAATCTCGACGACATGGCTTACAAGTCATTCCAACCTGCTTACGGCTTTGTCGGCCCCATGGCGGTCGATCTCTCGTCTGCAGACACGCTCTTCGTCCTTCTCTTCATCTTCCGATACCTCCGATTCGTAGTCCACTTCATCACGGGGTGTTTCCTTTACAAGCCCGCTCCGCAGAAGGAGAAGCCTCACTACACCAACAGAGACGTGGCAGTCATCATGCCGACCGTGGCTCCGTACACCAAGGAGTTCCTGAAATGCTGCGAGACTGTTCTTGCCAACCGCCCCGTCAAGATTGTCATCTGCGGAGTCGGCGAGAAGATGAAAAGTTACATACGCGACGTCATTGGATTGCACAAGTTTCACGAGCGGTACCCAGAGACGGAGATGGTCGTTGTAAACACCAAGAAGCCCAACAAGCGCAGGCAGATGGCTCGAGCCAGCCTCGAGGTCGACCCAGCCTCGGCCCCCATCACCATCAACGTCGACGACCACGTCTACTGGAAGCCCACCTTCCTGCCCTCGGTCCTTGCCGCCTTCGAGGACCCCGCCGTCGGCTTCGCCGGCACCAACAAGCGCGTCATCCGGACCAAAGGGGGCGGCCTCTGGAAGTCGTACACCAACTTCCTGGCCTGCACCTACCTGTGCCGGCACAACTTCCAGATCCGCTCGGAGCCCCACCTCGACGGCGGCGTCTTCGTCGTCTCGAGCCGCACCGTCGCGCTGCGCACCTCGATCCTGCGCAGCGACCGCTTCCGCGCGGGGTTCACGGACGAGCACTACCTCCTCGGCCTGCGCGGGCCCATCAACAGCGACGAGGACAACTACATCACCCGCTGGATGCTGCGCAGCGGCTGGAAGGTCCGCATCCAGTGCACCCCCGAGGCGGAGATCCTCACCCCGCTCGGGGACCCGTCCAGGTTCTACTCCCAGGTCCGCCGCTAGACGCGGACGACCTGGCGGAGCACCCCGGCGAGCCTCCGCGCGTGGCACACCTGGCGCCGATACCCCTGGAGCGTCTACGCCATCTACATCTCCCAGCTCGTCAGCTTCGCCGCCGTCTGGGACCCTCTTCTCGTCTATACTCTTATGCGCACCAGTCTCTACCTCGAGTCTGACCACCAGTCCCTCCTGGTGGCCCTGATGGTGGCTTGGGTCCTGGCGTCCAAGATGGTCAAGATCGCCGCTCACTTCATCGACCACCCTTCAGACATCGTCTGGGTGCCCGGTTACATTGCCTTTGCGTACTGGCACTCCTTCATCAAGCTGTACTGCCTCTTGACGTTCTTCGACCACTCCTGGAACGGCCGCAACTTGTCCGATCTAGACTCGGTGATGGACAGAGAGAAGGCAAAGCTTGTGGCGTGATGCGACAGCGCATCTTGTGAGGCACTGCTGGCTTTTACCTGTTAGAGAAGTCTTGGTGATTTCAACGGGCACGTGCCAGTCTCCTTTTTTTTTTTTTTTTGGCATCGAGAAGTACACTTGACCACTGCTGGCTTGTTCTGATCCCACGCGGTATGCCTTGGGGACAGTTTTTGCGTTTGTATTTGCTGACATCGTTGAACAAAATCAAGGGGCCTCGGAAAGGGGACATGTTTTGCAAAGTCTGCTTGAGACAATTGCACCACCATGGTAGTGGTGACTGCTTTGGACATGGAGTTTTGGTTAACTTTACAGGGGGTAGCAAAAGTTTTATTCGGACAAAAGTCCATGACAATTCACATTGATGACTTTATTTGCTGCTCACCCAGCCTCATTTAGATGTGTGACCTGTGACATGTCTCTCACCGAAAGTCTCCTCCCATTCTCTCCCTTAGTCAACCTCGTCGAAGAGGTTGCTCTGGCTGGAGCGAGAACCTCCCTGCTCGGAGCCACCAGCCTCCCGCTGATCCTGCTGATCCTGCTCCTCCTGGGTACCAGTGTCCTCCTGGTCGGTGCCATCAAGCTGGAACTTCAGAATACGTGAGAAGCTGTGGGCCAAGGAATCGACGCTGCGAGTCTCAATGCTCGGACACGGCCTGGCTTGCGGGCCCTGCGCCACCTGGATGGACTCATAACCTCCCTGGCCAGCGTAATCGACCTCCTGCTGCTCGCCAGGGATGCGGCGCATCTGCTTGATCGTCCTGTAGCAGCGGTTGCGGATCTCGGTGCGGCGCCGGGCCTGGTCCTCGGTCGGGCGGACGCTGCCGTAGGTGCTGGGGCCCAGCATGCTGGCGAGGAAACTCGAGGTCGCGTCCAACATGCTGAGGTCGTACTGGAAGGGTGCGATGATCTCGGGGTGGCCGGCGAGGATGCCGGTCACCTCGCTGGTCTTGAAGATGTAGTCCCGCAGGATCTCCATGAGCTCCAGCGCCTCGTCGTCCAGCTCGTCGCAGCTGGCACCGGCGCGCTGGATGCGAAGCTCAAGGACAGGGTCGGTTGGGTTGGCACTGGTCTGATGGGAGTATGTCAGTCGCCTGTTATGGGGCATGTAGTGCCAGAACACAACAAATGGGGAACTGTAGAACGGGGGAATCATTTGTGCTTACGCTCATGTTGCCTCCAGCAACCTCGGGGACGAGCTTGAGGAATGAGTCTCCAGCAGGCATCGCGTTGAGCTGCTGAGTGTTGATCTTGTCCTCGCCTGTAGTAGCAGGCGCGTTCTCGCCCTGAACCTTCTCGATGGAGATCTTGGGAGTGTCCATTTTGACTGAACGTGGTCAGCCAAATCTTGTCTAGAGTAAACACCACGAGGCTGACACGACATGGTTGATGACAAGGGTAACGGGGTTTTCGGGGCCTACCTCTTGATACAGAGATCTTTCAGAGTCTTGGATCAATGATATCAAGGAAGTCTCGTGTGAAGGATCGCCTGGGCTTGGCACATGAGCAGGCTGATTTCGGCTTGTTGTCGTGTCAGCAAGAAACACCAAATTGGCAATTCAAGGTCGAGGGGCAGCTTTTGCTATTTGATTTACTCTCAAAAGGCAGGTGGCTCGTGCACGAAGCGCTAGTTTCTTAGAATGCACATTGATGGATTTATCTGCTGCTCACCCAGCTCTATCTATGTGCATGTGTGACCTGTGACGTCTCTCCCACAGAAAGTGAGCTCTAATTCTCAACCTCAGTAGTTACCCGATGTGGTTTCCTCCAAGCAGCTGCGCCTGGCTGGGTCCAGAAGAACCTCACTGGTCAGATCCACCATCCCGGCTGGTTTCGCCTGGTGACGAGTCGCTTCTTGATCTCCTCGATCCTCTTGTAGTAGCGCTTGCGAACCTCTTCACGACGAGCCTGCTCCTCGGCCGTGCCGCCACTGGGGTCGGGCATATCGCCCAGCCACTCCTTGAGGAAAGTCGACATAGCCTCCACCATCTTCACCTCAGACTGGACTGAAGGCTCGCCCGGCCAAGGCAGGGGTCGTGGCGATGAATCCTGTCAGTGCCATGGTGCTGATGAGGAAGTATTTGAGGAGTGACTCGAACTCGATCGTCTCGCTCTCAACCTCATCGCGGCTTACAACAGCGTTACCAGCATCCAAGTCCCGGCAGACCTTCATGACACGAAGGTCGACCACGTGCATCTCAAGATTCGGCCGCTTGGTCCGGTGCGGCTGGGTCGAGCTGGCACCGGACTGCTGGTGTGGGTCAGTATACACGTGGCGTCTTACAAAATTTGAGGTAGCATATTTTGGAAGATCTCAAGTCATGACAGACGATGAGCTGTGAATGGTAAAGGAATTGTGCTTACGCTTGCATTGCCTCCTCCAGCAGTCTCGGGGATGAGAGAAAGGAAGGCGTCGGCAGGAGGCATCGTGGTCACCTGCACCTTCTGGGTACCGGTGGGCATGGGGTCGGTCTCGTCATCCCTTCCATCGGATGGCAGATCGTCGTCCTTGTTGAAGTTCTTGGGTGGAACCATTCTGGCTGAACGCGGTCAGAAACTCGTCAGGCTACACGCGACAAGGCTGATGTAACATCACGGGCAGCAGGGCTGATGGGATGTGCAGAACCTACCTTTGGCGTGCAGGTCTCTTGAAAGACTGACGAATAGATACTGGTTGAGTATCACCGTGGAGAGGCGCGTGGGCTTCGCGCTGGAACAAGCCGCTCTCGACTTGTTGTTGTCGTGTCGGTTGGGCAGGTCGAATTGTCCTTCGAGGGGCAGCTTTTGCTGTTTATTTACTGCCAAAGGGCAGGTGGCTCGTGCGCGAAGCGCTAATTCCTCATCGCATGTCAATGGCTGCATTCACAGGCAGTGAAGTATTCTGGAGTTTGCTTGCTGCCTGCCGGATTGGTAAGAGTACGTCTGGCCCTGCTTGAGTGCCTTCGTCGTCTGCCTTTTGTGAGCATTCAGTTGTGACCAGCAAGAGCGAATCGCCCAGATACATATCGTGTATACATAGATAGCTGCACTCTGGACAGCTTGTAGTGTGCTACCAGGACCAATTGCAAGCAACTGGGGTATCTGGGGCTGCTCTCATAGTCCTCCAAAGAATACAGTGTATTCAAAGGAAATGTCAATTCCTTTGTCACCTTGATAGAGCATCATGTATGCTTAGGGCCAAGAAAATAATGCAATAGTGCTATTTAGGTATTGCCTCCACCTGACCGGAGGCAGGCAGGAGTGGATTTATTCCAGGAATCTTCTCATCAGGAGGTTGAACCGAGTGTCCTTATCTCGAATAATGTCTGGCGTCAGTCTTCCCAGGTGCTTTGCTCCCGGATGAGCCCAGGCGTGGTAGATCAGCTGGTCCTCGAACAGAGACCCTCCATTCTTCGCAATTTGCGATTCGACTGCTGCCGCTTCCTCCTTGTTCAACGACTCGTGCATCCAATCCAACGAGCCTTTTGTCCACATTGGCCAGAAGAACGCACTTGGGCTGAGAGTGCAGATTTCATCGGGGTGCTTCGTAGCAAGCGTCTTTGGGAGATAGACTGAGTGGTCGCTCCACCGGCTGTCGTCGAAGCTGGCGTATTCGTCGAGCCACCGCGCAAGGAAAGGAGCCCCAGCCTTGGCCATGATCACTCCATTGCAGAGCCCCCACCTGTTTCCGCCCTCGAGGCCCATGTACACATCGCGAGCTCCTTCAAAGAGGTGGTTTAGTGGCCGGAGAATGTATGCGTCGGAGTCCAGGTAGATGCCGCCTTGAGCGTGCAGGACATGGAGCCTCATCTGCAATATCAGAAGTCAGTAATCCAAGCGGCGAGCAAGAAATCTCATTCGAATATGGGTAGGGCCAGGACCCAGTGTCCAAACTGCCCATTAAGCCCTTCAAAGCACAAGCCGCCGTCGGGAGATGTCTATTTCTCAAGGACGTCCAAAGTGTATCTGGGAGCTACTCACGGCGTCCGTCTGGTGCGTCACAGACCATGTCTCAGGATGGTAGGCAGCTACCTCTGTGAGATAGTCAGGGCGGTCGAAATGGATGAGCGTCAGATTCGGCTTCAGCAGGCGCAGCCAGCCGTTGTCGCCGTTAAGAGGTGTATCGTGGTGCAGGTGTGCAGAAGTGACCCCAGTTGAGACGAGGGCAGCACGGATTGCAAGGTACAGTTTGAAAGAGATCTCACTGTTCCCAATCCAAATGAAGTGGATAGTCTCTGGTATCGTGTCAGTGAGGTTGTGCGAGTTGATGCGGGCCGCTGTGCCATCAAAACATTGTTGCTCGAAAACAGTTGGCTTGAAGTTGTACCGTGTGTATTGCAAGGCATAGAGATGCGCTTCTTTGATCCTCCAACCGATGTGATCCTTGAACGCCTGCGGGTGGGCGTAGCAGAGGTAGGAGAGGACGGCGAGGACAAACAGTAGGCCGTAGATAAGACGACGTGTTGGTCGCCTTGCCCCGAGTTTGAGACCCAGAGATCTGGGCTGGAATCCGAGGAAAGCAGGCGAACCCATTCTGTAGTAGGTAAGATCTGGGTGGTGTGACGCTTTGCGTGGATAACAGACTCGGAGAGGTGCTGATCTTGGGGAAGCCACAAAGATGCTTCCTGTTGTCCTTTAGAGGTTGGTGTTGTCGATCAAGGGACGATCGCAGTCGGAATGAATGGGCAATACAGCACGTGGCAAGTTTATGTACTTGACGGCGAGTGACTGGATGGTGCTGCCTATTATTCACTGATGAGGCGCAGGGCCAGTGAGACGGTGGACGGCTGAGATAAACAGACAAATTTGGAAAGTGCGGCCGATAAGGCAAAATGCATGTCCGGGCGCGGCACACGCCAGTGCTCACGCCAGTACTGCCAAACGTGTCAGACAGGGCGACAGTTGGGCAAGGGGGTGACGTGCATGTGAGCAGGTCCCGAGGCCTTCCTGAGAATACCGCCGACACCAACCACAGCCCTCTCGTCAAGCCACTGTTGGGGTGCTAAAGGATTCAGGATTAGGCTGACAGAGAAAGACGGCCCCCACGAGGTTGGAGTGACTGGTGCAACTGTGCCGCTTTTAGACAGATTACACACGGGTTCCCAAAATGGCTGTTTGCTTTGAAGCCATTGGAAGGGTTGCACGCCATCTTGTCTCAGTGAAGTTGGCAAGAGCTACTGCACCCACACTCCATCATCATTGGGTATGAAGAGGCTTGCAAATATAGTGGTCAGAAGCTTGGCAGAATTAGTGACACGATTGAAAGGACACTCTGATCCAGCATCAATTAACGCCTTTGTTTCCAAGCCCGAAACCTGGTTTACAGCACGACGTGCATGCATGTTACAACAATTACACCATGTTTGAACGTTCAGATTCTATGCGTTAAAAGCGCTTCGACTTCAATGGACAGATATGTTCATTTTTGAGCACTCGGTCGATGACCTCTGCCATTTGTTTCTTTGCTCGCAAGGCGACTCATCATTTTGGAGGCGGCGACTTCTTACCTCCAACTTGAAGATGATGTTGTCCCAATTGTGGAGTGATGACTTTTTGGGGCGTTCCATGCAGGGTCGGCCCGTCACCCGTCTTGTGCCATATGGTGTGGTGGAAACAAAAATCACTCACAGACTGGTGGGCAGTGGCGTTGATGCTAAGCGCTTCCTGAATGGCCGGCCAGAGTCGACATTCCACACGTGGTGATGCAACCTGTTGGAGAGGCGCTCTCGGTGAGCGGCAATACGCCCGGATATTCTCAATGTTCAAGACAAGTCGGCGCTTCTGGCCCGCGTGCTCAAAGCAAGCAATCATCCAGTCCAGGCCGCGGCTTGGAAACCAATATTGTATACAATACCATTGCCAGTCATCCGTCCCTGGTATGCACATGTGAGCATCTGGGCGAGCTAAGTAGAATATGAATGTTACGTCTTGTCCTCGACGTTAACTTTGAGCTGTGAACAGAGGTTTAGAACCCACTCAATGACAGGGTGGATAGAATGTAAGGGACTCGATTCCAAAACCAAGTTTACGGGCCGCGTCTAGAGACCCCAAGACCATGCATGGCATTTCTGTTGGGAATGGACTGTGAGTGCCCAGGTGGTATCTGACCAATCCTTCTCGACTGTGGGGCATTGCCAAATCCACTCCAAATCTCCTGGCCCTGCCCCGGAATTGGAGGCAAAACTCACCAACGCAATTCTCGGCTTCGGGTCATCTTGCCGCGTTTGCGCCGTCATGAACGAGCCTCGTTCGGAAAACAACCGGCTTGGCATCCGGGGTACATTCAACTCGGCAGGATCAACACGCACAATTATTACTATCAAAACAGAATGAATGCGGAGACAGGTAGAACCGTTCAGCCCAGTGAGTGACGGCTCAAGCAATGGATCCTTCAAGCAGTGGTTTCCCGGCCAGTCTTTACACTGAGTAAATGCCATTGGGATTGGAACAGAATGATTATTTGGACGGCGGCGGTGCTGCCCGTGGCAGTCTCTGCTTTGATTGACAGGTATTACATCCGCCCACTCCTTCATTGTGAAGGTGAGACCACTGACCCCAGAGACAGACAAGGAATTCTCTCTCAGTTCAACGTTGTACGGACCACTCTAATAGAAAATACTTCGACTCCTCTGCAAGTAGGAAATGGGAACTTCGCATTCAATGTGGACAACACGGGAATGCAGGTGCGTCTTCGAAACTGTGCCTCCCAGTCTACAAGATACATGGACTGACGAGCTGAATACTAGAGTTTCTTGCCTTTCAACACTCTATCGAGTTGGGGCTGGCACAACGACTCACTGCCAAGCAATGGGTAAGTCGTGGACTCTTTCATTCCAACCACTGATCATAGCTGAGATGACTGCAGCGAGAAACTGAGTGACTACCACGGCCGACCTATCGAGACACACGGTCGAAATGTCTCCTACGACTATCCTGACTCAAACCTTCCGCTGGTCTCGCAGTGGTTGATTGCTAACCCCAATCGCATCAACCTTGGCCGCATCGGACTCAAATACAAGGGTGCTAGTCTCTCAGCATCGCTGATCTTCGAGCCATCTCAGGAGCTGGACCTATGGAACGGGCTCATCACATCGTCATTTCGTGTAGATGGAAGCGCCGTCAAAGTCACCACCCAAGGTGATTTCAAGTCAGATAGTGTGGTTTTTCAGGTCGAGTCGCCCCTCTTATCCTCAGGAGACTTGGAGGTTGAGCTTGACTTTCCTTACCCTCCGATCCACACGACAAAATACAAGTACGAGGTATTCGTAGGAAGCTATGACTTCCCACTGAATCATTCAACAGCACTTGTCCAAACCGAGGAAGACGGCACAGCTCACATTCACCATGAGATGCAAGAGACGAGCTACTTCGTCAACCTGCGATGGCCCACAGATACTCCCTTGAACCTTTCTAGGAACGAAGCTCAGAACTCATCCACAATCACAGCACATCGTTACACGCTTTCTCATCCAACCACTTCGAACAGCTCGGGTTCTTCTACCATGTCATTCACAGTGAACTTCGCACCCGACAGGATCACACCGGACCTGCCATCCACCATACAGGAACGGAATCCATTGGCATGGAATGACTACTGGGAAGAGGGCGGTTTCGTCGATCTCACCGGGTCGACTAATCCAAAAGCGACCGAGCTCCAGCGCAGAATTGTGCAGTCGCAGTACCATGTCCGCGTCAACAGCGCTGCGGACGGACAGTCCCCGCAGGAGTCTGGGTTGATGAACAATGGGTGGTAGTAAGTGTTGCCATTAAGCAGGCCCTGAGACGCAGGTCATGGATCTTCACTGACACGTTACTGGGCGAATCGCAGCGGCAAGTTCCACATGGAAGTCGTGGTCCTGCACAACGCCCACTGGGTCACTTGGGGCCGGAAAAAGTATTTCGACGATATCTTTCCGGCCTTGTATGAGACGTTGCTTCCGTCGTCTCTGGCTAGGGCGAAGAATATGGGTTGGGGAGGCGCCAGGTAAGCTTTGAGCAGGTCACCGCAGCTTTAGAGCTTACATGCATCATTTGGCCGTTTTACTGACTGGCTCCGCGAAAGGTGGCCGAAGATGACCGAACTTGTCACGGGACACAGCTCTCCTGGCGCAATCAACGCCCTTCTGCTGTGGCAGCAGGTGAGCATGCCTGGCCTTGACGAATCTACACCGAGCATGTGGAGGCTGACAACAATCCCACACAGCCCCATCCTATGTACCTAGCGGAGCTCGCCTACATAGCAGACCCCTCCGAGGAAACCCTCAAGCGCTGGGACGCCGTCTTAACCGCATCGGCAGACTACATGGCCTCGTATGCCTGGTACAACCGGTCCTCGGGCTATTACGACCTCGGCCCGCCGTAAGGCACCCCCACAGGCGTCTCCCCTTTCCCTCATCGGTCATACCCTACCAGCAGCAGCTGACACGCCCCAGATCTTACGGCGTCACGGAAAACACCCCGCCCCTCGAAACACGCAACCTCGCCTACGAGCTCGCCTATTGGCAATACGGCCTCAACCAGGCACGGACATGGAAGCAACGCCTGGGCGCCCCGGTCCCGGACCACTGGACCACCGTCGCCTCCAACCTCGCGCCCCTGCCGACCGCCGACGACGGCCTGTACACGCCCTACGAGGGCCTCAACAGCAGCTGGTGGGGCGACGCGGAGCTCAACTCGGACCCGCGGAGCCTGAGCATGCTGCGCGGGATCCTGCCGAGCACCGGGACGCCGAGCGTGGACGAGGAGGTCGCTAAGAGGACCGCCGATAAGGTCCACGAGGTGTGGGGAGGGGTGGACGAGAAGGTCTTCGGGTGGGGGCGGCCGGTGCTGGCTATCAATGCTGCGAGGCTGGGCGAGCCGCAGCGGGCGGTGGGATACCTGACGGCTTTCGACTACTGGGTGTTTGATGACGCTGGGTTTGCGGAGAGAGGTGGCAACGGTGAGTTCTACCTGTTCAAGGCTCTGGCTGCTGACGCGGCAGTGCTCTCGATAGGGATCGAATGCTTTATGCTGACTTTGGGGTCGCAGGTGGCACGCCACCCCCATTTCTCGACGGGAATGCGTTCTTTCTTCATGCTGGTACGGACTGCGGAAACCCCTTAAATTCTTTAACAACCCTAGCTGACAAGTTGCACAGTGGCTTATATGGCTGCCGGCTGGCAGGGCTCGGAAGGAGACGCCCCTGGGTTTCCCAAGGATGGCAGCTGGTCAGTTCGCTATGAGGGGTTGTTGAAGGCTCCGTGATAGCTGAAAGATGCATAGCTGGCATGTCAGGGCAGAGCTATATGCGCCAAGAAGATTTATTCCAAGATGCTCTTTTGTCGAAGCCACAAACACCTAGTCTTTGATGTAGGGCCATCAATTCATTGCTTGTATTATGCATTACTCTAAAGTCCAAAAGTTCCTCACTCGGTACCCGACAGGCTGAACATCAGGCTGCTACGTCTCTGGTAGCTTCTCAAGTCTCCCGTCCTCAAGCTTTTCGTCCGAGTATGTACTCCATTATTCTCTTATCCATCCTGAAGAATGCGGGCGGAAGAGTCACTTGTTTTTCTTTCATTCCATCTCCAGTTGAAAGAGGCGGCGTCATACGGGACGATAGGCATGAAGACGTCAAGCATGATGGCGGCTTGCAACTGAGTGGAAGCGCCTCCTCCTCTTGTTTGCTTCCTTGCGGAGACTTCCTGACGCTTAAGAATCTCACGCAGCCGCAGTCGGCAACGAGTATTTCAATCCCTTCCCAGTTGGGGCAGTGCCATAGACACCCGGGTACTAGGCGCCTCCGCGCTCCCCTCGATGGTGAAGACCTCAGCCCCCTTCGCCGGCTTCGCGTTCCAGTCTGGGTTGTGGTACCGGCCGTCGTCGACGCACTGGGTCACGCAGCTCCTGCACAGGTGCCTCCCGCAGTCCTGGCACTGGTACGAGGACTCCTCAGACTTGCCGCACCGGTGTCCGCACTTGGCGCAGAAGAAAGTCTGGGGGAGACAGGTGTTGGATAGAAACTCCTTGCCGTAGCAGCGCGGCACCTGTGGGACCTGGAACCACGCGTTCGTCGCGTCTTCTAACTCGTCTGTGAGTATGTAGCTGCCGAACTGGGGGCAGTCGCAGTGGCGCCAGTGCTCGCCGCAGACGTAGCAGAACCCTTCTCCGCAGGTGCACCTGATGCAAAAGTTGTGTTAGCGAGATTTTCTCCTTTTCAGGCGGGGGCTGGTCTTCTGGGGTATTCGATACTGACACTATGTGGTTGCAGCCCGCGGCTCTCTCGACGATTCTCCCACACTGCTCGCATCTCTTCCAGCCCATGTAGATCAGGTATTTCTCCATCGACTTCTGCTGGAAGTCCTTCCTGCAATTTCCAATGTGTGGGTGTCGCCGGCAGACGGCGCAGGTGCCGCCCCAGCAGGTCCTGCAGAAGCCTATGTGCGTGAACTCGTCCACTTCGCCCGGGGGAATGTATTCGCGGCACTGGCTGTTGCAGCAGAAGAGCTTGCCCTTGGTGGAATAGTACGTCTTGCTCTCTGCGACTAGCTGGAGTACGTCTGCGGGGAGGTTCTCTCGGATCTCGGGGCTGTCCACATTCACCTCCCAGATGCAGCACCGCGGGGGCCAGCGCTCGCCGTCCCGGCAGCCGTGGCGTATGAGTTGGATGAGGCAGTCCCAGCAGTAGCCGTGGGAACAGGGCGGTATCTCGTCGGCGGGGTCGCCACAGACGACGCAGTCGACGACTAAGTTGCGAGGAAATATCAGACTTCTTTTCAAGCTCAGGGGCTGTAGGTGTGTACATACCATTCTGGTCGTCCTCAATTGTTTGATTGAGATCCATGTTAATCTCGCATAATTGCTCGTTTGCAGTGGTCCGGGCTTGTAGACAGTGTCGGAGAGGTTCTGATTCAGGTGTTGATTGATCTGGTCGTGGGAGGTCTGGCCGTGGGTGGGTGGCCTGAGCAGCGAGTGGCCCACATTCCGATCGAAGATTGTCAGACACAACTCCCTAGGTATGGAAGAAATTAGATCCGGGTATCTGTTTGTCGCCGGAAATTTGTGAATTGCTAGTTGTCTGGCTATTCGCCTTTTGCATCTTGACCCCTAATTTTTAAATTTATTCACGGGAAAGCACCCCCTCCATATGATAGGCTGTCATCATGCTGAGGTATGGTCGTCATGACTTCTTGTCTCCAAGTCACTTCCAACTTTCGACTACAAAGAGGTGATGATGTGGTCATGGGCTTCAGAATTCCTGTACATGTCATGAAGGAGGTCAAAAGCCAGCCAAATCTACGCAGGAGTTTGAACATTTCTTATATGCTCAGTCAAGACAGATCATATCATAACACTTAAATAGGTCTTAGCATCGGCACTGCAAATGCTCGTGATGGTGACAGCGTGGCTATGTATGAAGACACTTCCTGTAAGCTTTGATAGCTAGGTTCAATAGGGGGTTCTGTTACTACTTGCTGTTACAACCCGGGGCGGGTCATCCGAGTGGCAACAGAGCAAAGAGAAAAGAGCAGCATATATACAGGTCCGCTATGGAAGGACTGGAATTGGGAAAATAATCAAAACAAGCATCGGCATCACTTTCCTCAACAAGGAGTATCTTATAACGGATTAGTTTGTTTCATAAGTTGATTTAGTCACAGGCACGTTGATCTTTGCGAGTACACAGTGTTTGATTTGTTGCCCTAAAATAATAGAATATTGATGGATGACAAGTTCCTGACCACAATCTGACATATATGTTGTAATTACAGCTTACCCCACACGACAATCAGTACAAGGGGGCGAGGGGCTTTCCTCCAGGGCCCTGGCCTTGAGCCGGTCAAGCACAGCAGCCTTCTGCCTCTGATACTGCAAGCGGCCCCCCTTCTCCTCGTTGGACGTCTCAGCAGCCTTCCTCTTGGCCTCGGCATACTCGTCCCTCGCCCATGAATTGTCACGCAGAAAGTCCCGGAACGTCAGGAACTGGGCGGCGATCTGGCAGCCAGCCCTGTGGACATGGACGTTGATCTCGGCGTCGTGCTCGTCGAGGGCGAGGGCGAGAAAACGGTGACCGTGCCACTTTGGCTGGCGGAAGTGTAGGGTGAATCCGAGATCCTCTAGTTGCGGAACGTATGCACCCTCGTCCGAGGGATCGTCCACTTCCAGAAGGATGTCGATGATAGGTTTCGCAGCGAGATCGGGCACCGATGTTGACCCCACGTGCTCCAGTTTGAGGGCTGAATGCCCCAGGGCAGACTGCATGCGAGCCGCGACTTCAGTGAAGGTTTGAGGCCAGGATGTCTGATAGGTGAATATCTCGATATCTGGGTCGGTCCGCCTAGCGACCATCTCCAGAGTTGAAGGAGTATATCCTACGGACTCCATATTTGGCTTTCCTTCAGGGCTTGTCATGTTTGTAGTTATGGTAGGTGATTGATGTTGAGTTCTGTGCTCTAGTCGATGGCAACTCGAGATTACCTGAAAGCTTCTAATAAATAGCTTTTCGATTTCCAAGATTGGCGAGGGCGATTGTGGAACAATGAATGCGTGAAGCTTTGGGGCTGAGTGTTGCTGTGACAAAGGAAGGGCACAAAGGTGAGTGCACAATGCAATTGTTGCCCGCAAAGCCATTCTGAGCTTGCTAGAAAGACGAACCACTCGAACAGCTTGTTCACCCACAATGCCGCGAGTGCATCTCGGGCCTCAATGGGAACAGCCTCGAATGTGACTAGCATGATCTCCGTCTCTGACGAACTGCATACTAACTCGAGCTAATCGAAAGCACTGCGGCGTTACATAAATGCCCCGAAAGGCACTGGTTTTCAAAGAAGCCGGTAGCCATCGTAAATCACTGCACGCAATGTCAGTCACAGTGTGACCAAGGTCTTGCCTCGACCGGTCTCCAGCTGAGTGATCGGAAACCATCAATAGAAGCAGCACTCACCTTCCAGGCCCCTGCGCACACCACTCCCAATCCACATGCCCTCATTGACCCACCGATATCTCTCGTCACCCGTCTCGAGGCGAATGAAAATCCGGAAGCGGTACTCATCCGGCGACACCTTGTCGCCCTCGACCGGGTCGAGCAGCCGCGTTAGCACCTCAGGCGGGCCGGTCCTCCACCCCTCGGTGCGCACCATGATGTGTGCGGGCTCGGCGTCGGCCGTGGCGAGGAGGTATCGCGTGTCCACAAAGGTGGACTTGTTCTCCGTCAGGAGCTGGGCGTCCTGGCCGCCGGGCTGGGGTTGGAAGCATCGTCAGCTACAGGGTCCCCGTCTGGGGTGGATACATGTGGTAGAAGTTGACCACCAGCTTGCCTAAAAGGAAAAGAAGACGTAGAGAAACCAAAAGCAAAGATGCAAAGTCTGAACCCCAGACAAACAACGAAAAAAGACACTCACCACCACCGTGCCCTTCCCCCAAGTAGCGCTCCACTCCCCGCCGCATATCCCAATCCAATTCCTCTCACCCCAACAACTCCGCCCCAGCGCTACTTTGCCCTCAAGGCGCGCCTGCATGCGGAACTCACGCACGAGCCGCGGCGCAGGCAGGCCGATTGTCTGCGCCAGGCTGCCGGCCGAGAACCCGGCCGAGATCTTGTCCGCGTCCGCATCCGCTTCGGCCACCCGCGTGCTGCCCTGTACCGGTTTTGGAGCGTGATGAGCGTCCCCCGGCCTCGTGGTAGATGTGGTAGTGTCCTGGGCCGCGGGCTCCTGTGTGGTCTCGGGCGTCAGGACCGGGAGGAAGTCGTTGTCGGCGGCGCCGATGTCCGTACCGCCATGTTGTTGTTGCTGCTGCTGCTGTGCCATGTTTACTGAGGGATTGTCTCACTCGGTAGTGCTCGGAGATAAAAGAAGTGCACGGTGAGCGCTGTCAAAGGTGCAGTGTCTCACACATCCGGTACCACACGCGGCTCCTGGCCCTTTTTCTTTCTATCTTTTTTTTTTTTTCTTTTTTGCGACGGCGCAGTTCATCGAACGGGTGACATGACGTCGGGCTGTGGATCTCGCGTATCTCGAGTCTCGCATGCGTTTCTCGACGCGGGCCTCGGTACTTTTCCAGTGGCTACTGGCTAGACTAATTACAGTGGGGGTTGGGATCGGACAGGCGGGTGGCTCTCGGCAATTAGGGCCGGGGCAAGCTGCCGGCACGCGGCAGATCGGCTCGAGTGAGCCTGGACTGCTCAGCTCCTCCTGCTTTTTGCCTTCCTGGCAGGCTGAGATCAAACATGTTAGTCCTCAAAAAGGTCTCGATCGGGTCGAATGTGTGACAATGGGTGCGATCGATCAGCATGTCGACGGTTGTAATCCCCACGAGCTGGAGCGCAGTCACGTACAAGTAGGCGGCACTGGATCTTGTCAAGCAGAGATGGGTGGATGTGCAACAGTTTCTAGCTACGGGCATCCAGTAGACCACTTCTGTGTGTCCCGAATCCCACAGCTCACCGTCGTCCCACAGCAGCCATTATCCACAGGGACTGCAACGACGGTATATAGGTAGTCCCAAGGGACGGACACTCTACACCAAAATAAAACACCTGTACGAAGACCATACCTACAAGCAACAGCTCCCAAACACGGACCCTTAACGAGCGAGCGGGGCAGCTCGGGTGTCGCGCCGCATCACGTCAGGTCGCGCGGTGCCACCATCCATCACCCACCCCACCAACCCCCTCCTCGCCCTTCCATGCTGCCGTTGAACATGTTGTCAGACCTGCCATGTGCAGTTTTTTCCCGGCCTGTCCTACACACCTCCCATCACCTGACTGACCGACCCGAGTGACTGACAGACGACTGTTTCGGGTAGCCTGCCTATCGCTACCCACGAAATGGGGGTGGGAGGGCTGCCTTCCCGAGACAGTTCGCCTTGTATCAGTTGCCTTTATTCCCCGAGACAATCACATCACTGAAATGCGTTCATGCAGCCGTTCTGGCCCCCCTAGAAATAACGCAGCTGGGTCCCAGGATCTGATTGATTTACATGTAATCACAGATCCTGACGGTCACCAGTAACGAGGAAGTCAGCTTTCAGGTACCTCCTCTAGAGATCCTTCATTGGAGAGACTGCTGCATCTATGTACATTTCCCTCCTTCCAAAATATATCTCGTCCATAACAAAACCAATCGCGCGATTTGGGGAATCATGTGCAAGAAATCGAGCCTTTTCGATGGTGACAGTGTCCAATGGCGTGGTGAGACTCCACGGACCATGAATAGCGCAGTAAAGAGAGCTGGTTTTATAGACGAGAGGACGCCGTCAACGCCTAGCTTTGGGGATCCCATCTATTGTGGGAGAAAGCAGACCTCGGCAGCGTCCGACCACTGCAACAAGCAGTTCTCGGAGCACGCATCGCAGGAAATCGCAAACGATCCAAAATTGCCGTCCAAATTTCTCACGCGAGTCCCGCCGCAGGATCTCGATTGCGGCTTCGTGATATAACTTTATATCGTGTAGAAAAAGTCAGGTCGAGTGTCGCCCATCTTCTCCAGTTCATGTTCCGTCTTATTGGCGGCCCATCCATCGCGATCTCCGTTGCGGCGCTTCTTGTTCTCTCTCCGAAGACCCAAGGTCATCAGGACGGAGCCTCCAAACAGAAACAGGATCATGTAGGCAAGGACAACGCCATGACCCTGGAAATATCGGGGGCTACTGAAGTAGATATTGGAAGACACCACGCCGTTGAGGTTTCCCCAGCCGATGACGAAGCCGAGAACCACACCGCGCTTGTAGACGCCTTCTGTGTTGTTCGCCATCCAAGTGATGGTATTGGCGATGCAGGGATAGATGCCCGCTGCCCCAAGGAATGTTCCCGCGTATTGCACCCAGGCATCTTTAGACCCGATGAGAATAGAGAAACCGGCGATGCCCACGACCGAGACGCAGATGTTGCAAAGTCCACGGGCCTTTGTGCGATCAGCAACAAAGCCAATGATGACGGTCAAGACAGCGGCGGTGGCATAGGGCGCAACGCTGTACAGCTGTTGCTTGACAACATCGTTTGGAGCTGCCACTCCCGCATTCTTAATAATCGTGGGCAAGAATAAACTGAATGCGTAGAGCGGCATGTCGCAGCCCATATATATCGCCATGCCGAGCCACATCTTCCAATCCTTCAAGGCCTGCCAGAAGTATTGCATCGAGAAGTCCTCATGCTCAGCTGATGATTGCTGATCGAGCTTCAGACGGCGAACGACCCGGACTCGATCTTCGTCGGAAAGGAACCTGGCCTCGTCAGGGAAGTCGTGGACCAGCCAGAATGAGACCACGCCGATGATAACTGTTGCCAGGCCTTCGAGAATGAAGATCCATGCCCAGCCAGGCTTGCCTCCCACGCCCGCCATGTTCTCAATGGCAGCAGCGAGGAGACCGCCGAAGGACCCTGAGAGCGCGGCAGCCGAGAAGAAGATGGCCTGTATGATATGTCAGCCTGAAGTCTCGTGGGATCAGAAGTATATAGGGTGAACACTAACAGCTCGTACACCGAACTCAGACCTCTTGTACCAGCAGGAAAGGTAGTAGTTGATACCGGGGAATAAACCCGCCTCTGCGAGACCCAGAAACCACCGGGCAGCCATGAGCCCAGACCAGTTGTGGACAAACCCCATACCAACCATGCACGCGCCCCACAGAACCCTAACCATGCGTTAGCACAAGCTCCAGCAGACAGGCTGCGCTCCGAACGTGGGGTTAGATGACATACATGATGATGGGGATGAAGATGGATGGCCGCAGACGCTTCAGAAGGATGTTGGTAAGCGGCTCGAACAATGCGTAAGAGATAAAGAAGATTGTCAAAGTGTCGTTGTACTGCTGAGTATTCATGTGCAGGTCTTCGCTCAGGCCAGCGATCTTGGCATTTCCAATATTTGTGCGATCAAGGAATGCCAACAGGTACAGCAGACTCAGCCACGGAATCATGACCAGGTCAAGCTTCCAAACAAGTTTCCTGTCGATGAGGGCTCGCTCCGACTCGGGCAGGTGAGCATCGGGGTCAGGTGGTAGGTCCCGCAGAGTGCCGACATAGTTCTGCTGCAACTCTGTGGCCTTCTCCGTGTCATTGTCGGACAGATTGACCGTGTTGCTGTTGATGACCATCTTGTCTGATGTTCACATCAAGAAACAGGACGAAAAGTTGGTAGATTCGTGTAGTCTCTCAAGCCAGATCAGAGTAAGTGGAGGCTGGGACCCGTTAGCATAAACCTCTGTAACGGCGCTTGGAATCACATCTTGGAGGAAAAGGAAATGGGCAGCAGATAGCTCTCGGGATAGTACCCTCATATCGGTGTGCAAAGATCTTGTAGTGCCGGCCGCAGAAGGTAGTGACAGCTCAGGCGAGGAGACTGGTGATTTTTGGAGAGTGTGTGACAGGCAAGTTACCTTTCCAAACTTTAGTCCAGCTTGCGTATGAATACTTTCCGAGCTGACCGTCACCCTTCAAAGAAAGGCTCGAGAAGAAAGGGAAGAGTGGACCTTGGATTTCACGGAAGTCAGTGAGGGGAGTAAATGATGACGGACGGGCGAATGGACCGGGATGACTGGGGTCGGTGATTGGCGAAAGAGGTGTTGCAGAAGCAGAGCTGCCCAGACAGTCGGGTGTGGAGAAGACTGGCTAGAAGCCCGATGAGAACCACGAGGGGGACGGATTGAGGAGATAAGTATCCCAGCAGGCACAAGAGGAAACGCTGGGAAATAGACAGTGGACGGGATGGGATTCACGCCTCGGTGTGATCGTGATGGTATCTGCGTAGAGACGTGTCTGCTTACCCTAAGGACGTGTGCAGTACTCTTTTTTGTGTATGTTCTGGGTATTTGGGTAGATGGATTGTATGACGATATGGAAAGGTTTGGGGATGAGGGGCTATATTTCAAAAGAAGGGATCTTGCCGTCAGCATGAACGCCAGAGGGGCAGGCTTTGGTGGTGACAAATTGTGCTCGCATGTGGTAGGTAGCGCAGAGGTGGGAAAGAGAGTGTGTGGAAGTACCTGGGCTCGGCGAGATGGAGAAAGAAAAAAGAGTGTGTGGGTGGATCATCGGTGTATTGATTGGAGGGAGCAGTCAAGAGCGATAAACGGGCTGCGAAGAGATCAGAGTCGCAGTCAGTCCCGCCGGTCGGTCAGTCATTCCTGCTGGTGGTTCGGTTGGGGGAGAGAGTGTGAGTGGGTGTGGGGGGGGGGAAGGGGACAGGATGATGAGGTGACCCTTGCACCTTGCACCTTGTACCTAGCTTGCAACGGCGGGGAAGGAGGTGGTAGTTTAATCTTGAAAACGGCAGGAGGGCCACAACACTGCCGGCAGGATCTGGGCACCAATTTGGAAGCTCAGATCTGACGGCTAGAATGGCAGGTACGTCTAGCGGCAGAGAGGAGAGTACGATTTTGTGTAGAGTGGTACCGAGGTACAAAGGTACTCGAGACAGGGCTGCAGTTGTCTACCTGAAGCTATCCGGTTTTACTCGAATCCTCGAGAGGGTACAGCAGACACAGCAATCGCGGGAGTGGTCAAGTGCCTGGATTCATCATGTGGGGCTCTCTTATTCGATGCAATAACAGACAACAGACAGGCAGAAGAGTCTATCGTACTTACTGTAGGTAGCAGCAGCAACCTTGCAAACCATGCAAAACCTGGGGACACCCTTGACCTGCCCCAGACCCGCCAGAGTGCCCAGATGCGGAGGTGGATTTAGCGCCTGAGTGTGGGACGGTGGGGAGAGCATTGGGGCACCTCGGATTGGGTTCGATTTGATTCGAATGACCTGGTTTTCCTCCCTCTTTATGCTTGGCATCATCGACCTGCTGGCTGCCCCGAATCCTCCAAGATAGCGTTGTTGTTAGGTGGTCTACTGACAACAACTGCCACGGCTGCTGGATATCGCACGTCATGCAGCTTGCCCCACCACCTCAAGACCCTCGGCGCATCGGAATGTGACGCGCGGGTGCTGGCAACGCGTGAAAAGACAAAGGCAAAGGGATTGCGGGACGCAGCATCGGCCTTCTACCTCGATTGGGCACCTCATGTCCTGTCCCTGCATCTTTCTCTGTGTTTCTATCTCCATGCTGCATTATTTGCCGATATCGCACGATTATTTGAGTTTCTAGGAAATGGTTTGGATGGCATGTCTTGGGTATCGTGTTGTTCCCCTCCAATGGCCACGAGCTGCCATGGTCGAGCCTTCTGGGAAAGGCAGCCTGTCCCTGTGCTCGTGCCCGTATTTGTGCGTGTATTTGTACCTGTACCTGTACCTGTGCCAGTGTTCCTTCCCTAGATTACTGTCTGAGATGCCCACGCATACATGGTCCCGGCTGCTGGGAAGCGACCAGGCCTCCCAATCACTGGCACCCGCCCAATGCGGGTCATCCGTCATACCGTATCCCAACCACTTAACCACTCGACCACCACCACATGGGCCACCTGTGCCAGGCAAACCATCCGGCAGCATGGCAATCTTTCTTGCAGCGTGGCAGCAAGAATGGCAACAAGATCTGAGACCTCGCAGCGAGATGACGCCGACCTCCTCATGACCGTCACCTGCTCCGATCTGTGGCGTGAAGAGACAGGATATCCTGCCTTCCTTTTATTTTCGACATCAAACACGGGCAAAGTGTAGGAACGCCTACAGCCGAGGACCCGCCCACCGTAGCATCCCTCGATGGCCGAACCCTTTCTTGGCCCTGGGATCTCAATACCGCTGAACACGACCGAACACGACCACCGCCTGTCTGAGATCCAACCGTCGCACAGTGCCATCAGTGGGGTGTGACGACGCTGATTGACATTGTCCTGTGCTCTCCTCCGTCACCGCCACAACTGAGCGGGATTTACTCAGCATGCCCTGGTTGCTGGAGTTGCACGCTCGCATCCTCGCGGCTTCAGAGCAGTGCTGGCCTGTCACCACCATGCTCGGTCTGTCATTGTCCGGGCCGAGAGGACGTGCAGGTCCAACCGCGCCCAGATGGGGAAGAACAATCATCGAAGAACCGAAGATGTCAACCGGCCATTTGCCAAACAGTCCGCCCCAGTCACTTGTCGTTTAGGAGTCGAAACCGTCGTGGGCCAGGTCCGTGTCTTGGCATGAGCAGCAAAACTGGCTGGCATGCGGTAGTCATGCAGTGAAGTTCCCCGCACGCCGCGCCGCGCCGGCTGGCCTTCTCGGTTGAAGCTTTTCGTCCAAGCCCGCCCCGAGCAATACCAGAAGCTAGGCGGCGCTCAAGCTCTTCGAAAGTCATGGCCTTCGGGCTACGGGAAGCTTAAAACAACCATAAGTCTCGGCTGATGAGCGGGCGCACTCGCAACCAGGGCCCAAGCGATTACGCTGTCACAGGTGCTGTGTCTGTTCACCAAACACAAACAACGGCTATCGGCAAGCGGTACGGCGTAGTCGAAGGTCATCATCCAGAGGCAGGACTGCAGTTGTGACAGCGGGATCCAGCACCGGCAACACGTGGCTCGGCTCTGCTCTAGGTCCGCGCTACGTTGTGAGGTGCTGAGCGTGGTTGGTCAACGACAGGCCATCAGGTGCTGGTTTGTGTCAGCCAGCCTGATGCTGTACTATTCTAGGCTGAAGCTGGGGCCTTTCAGCTTGTAGAACAACGAGTTCTTGAACGGTGGACTGCGGGCAAACTCGGCGGATGTTCCGGATATTCTGCAGATTGTAACGATACCCCTTCATGGCTGACCGCATTCGCGGCAGTTCAGTTCAGCTTCAAAGCCTCGAATGGGGGCCTCCGAAGCCTGCTGACCTCGTTGTCAGTCCTCATGGCCGAGGGTCTCAACCCACGACCGACGATAACGGCGCCACTGCGTTGCATCGCCGGCGGCAGCACATTATCAGGCGCGCCGGTCTAGGTAGACTACGGGAAAAGGTGAACCTTCCGTTGGAGACAACGGGTCAAGAGATGAACTGGCAAGATCGCTCGCTCGCCCGCTGGCGGCTTTGGAACCTCAGGACCCCCCGACGAAGCAAGTACCCGGCTCCGTGTACGACATAGGAGGCATGGGCTTGCTGCAGCTCCCCGTAGAGCCTGCGCGAATTTTCCATACTGCGGATGCTCGGCGCCACGGTAATGGGACGGAACGAAGCCTCCATGGCGCCGCCTCACCGGTCTTGGGGCAGCATATCAACCCTTGAGGAATCACGCGGCTGCATCTGATGTTTGTTCGCGATGTTTGCTCGTGGGGTTTGCTGTCAGTGGCGCTGTAGTTGCTGTTGTGTTCTGGGACGGCATCTGGACGGTCGCATCCTAAAGTAAGCTCTTTTGCTGTCTTCACTACATTTAAAAGCCGCATCTACTCCCATCTAAAGCAAAACCCTATGGCTTCGATGCTTCCCCGGGCATCAAACGCCCAGGTTCTCGAGCTAGGATCTTGGAGGAATGTCTGGAGCGGCTCGTAATCCAAGACCTGTCCTAATGCAGGCATATGCCGTGGCCAGAAGCCCGGCTATGATGGGGCCGGCTGCTCGCCTTCACTGGCTGCTTCGCGGAAGCATGGCCAGCGAACCTCAAACCCGGGTTGGGCGGTGCTGCGGGAAGCACGTGGTTGTCAGACTCGAGAGCTTCCGGCTGGCCACTTAGGGACCTTCCTAAGGCGGAGGCTCCTTCGCATGAGATACACGGCATCCTGCGTGCAGAAACAGGATGCAAGGATTCGGGATGAAAGGCAAGCCAATCGTTTTGCCTGCAATATCGAGGTGACTTGACCGAGGTTCTCTCCATTTTCTTTTACTCTCGGGCGACAACGTCAAGTTGTTCGGCGGTCTGCGCCGTTATGGCCTGGCAGCGAGGGTGGCATGCAGGTATGAGGTGCAGCAGCAGCCTCCGAGAATTCGGTCTCCCCAGTGAGTTGTCTGCTGTCTCAAGCCCGTATGTGATGGCGCATCTCTTGTACCACCTCGCAATTTGTCATCGAAGGATGGAGGCTAACATGGGTCCCGCAGCAGCAGCTCCGACGGGAGGCATCGAGGACTGATGGGAGCCATTTCGTCTATGGAAATTCGAAATGGTCGATATTGTCAGGCAGTCCGAAGACAGTCGGCGTGGCAGATCTTCGTGGTCAGCTATTTGTCAACTGAACCAGCCGTCATCGAGACATTGTGATCTGTGTCTCAGACACCCAGCCTGACATGTCTCCCGTAGCAGGGGAGTCCGCAGGTCGGAGAAAGTCTTGTAGTTGACTCCGGGACAAATGGTCATTACATGGGGTCATAAGGGCATCCAAAGCCCTTAGGGATGTCTTGATAGCTGAATACAGTCCGGGAAAAGGCTATTCCTCTATGCACGAAGGAAGATGTCGCTTTTCGAACCGCTCCCGATGCAAGCGTTGACGCAGAGTTCAGGGGGTGAGGCACTCGAGCCTTGAGGCACGTGCAAACCAGAATCATTGGCATACATATCTATGCTTGGGGTGTTCTAAAAAGAGCCATTGAAGGCAGTGGGCATCAGATCAGGCACAATGACTGCGATGCTGGCATGTGGTTGAGTTCGGGGAGGGTCTCCTGGTGGAAAGAGACATGAATGAGTCAACTCTGCTTATGTAATCGTCAGCTGTCGTCAGTCTTTCGAACTTCACATTCCGACCTCAGTCGTCGTCTCTCCTTCCAGCATTGCACTGCGCTAGGGACCTTACGTGAGATCCCACGCCGGGAATTCCGTGTTGTCTCCTATACACCGACGGTATTTAGGCACTTCCTAGCATGTTGCTCCGGCTATGACCTTGCGTTGACGGATTCGAGGAACTTTGCCTGCCCGAGCCGTCGTTGAGCCCCCATCGCCAGCCTCAGAGTCACCTGGTCAAGCATCCTCGCGGTCCTGGCTCACAGGCCCACTTCTGGAGTGTATCATCCCGGTCTCTCGCTGCTACATCCATCTCATGGCGCCCAAAACCGTCTGCATCGTCGGCGCCGGACCCTCGGGTCTCGTAGCCGCCAAGACGCTTCTCCACCACGCCTCCGGCTCGGGCCCCGGCTTCTCCGTCACCGTGTACGATGCCCAGCCCCGGATCGGCGGCCTCTGGCCCGTCGAGAAGACAGATGGCGCGGGTCTCGTGCACCCTCTCATGGTCCTCAACCAGAGCCAGAACACTGTGCAGTTCAGCGACTTGGCATGGGACAGCAATGCGCCGCAGCTTCCGAGGGCCTGGCAGGTTGGGAGGTACCTGCAGAAGTATCTGAGGAGGTACTGCGCCTTTGAGGAGGACAGGTTTCGCTTGAGGCTTGGTTGGAAGGTGGAGACGACACTGCCTCTCGATGAGCAGTCTGGTAGGAGGTGGCGGGTGACTGCAAGGTCAGAGAACGGTGTTGTGGATGAGGGCGAGTACGACTACCTGCTCATCGCCTCTGGCTTCTTCGGGAAGCCAGCTACACCCGAAGTCTCAGGGCTAAGAGAGGCGCATGGGATCCCAGTGGTGCACAGCAGCCAGTATCGCGACCTCGAGACCCTGCTACCGAACGCGACTGGGGACGGAGGCAAGATACTCGTTGTTGGTGGGCAGATGTCGGGTGTGGAAATTGCTGGCACCATTGGCTCGCATCTTTCCTCTGCCGCCAACTCCCCAGGTTCGAAACAGCTACCGGGGGCAGAGAAATACAAGATACACCACATCATCCAACGGCCGACATGGGTGTTTCCGTTATTTACTTCACCTGTCGCCGCCAGCCCTGCCGCACCGTTCCTGCCCCTCGACCTCCCATCCTACAATCTGGCCAACCGACCGCAGCCACTCACCAACTCTCAGGGCCATATCAGCGTGGAAGCAGCTCAGATAGTCAATGGTATCTACAAGAGCGTGCTAGGCACCAATCAGTCTGAGTTCTCGCCGCTCCTCGCCCCCACCGACCAAGACATCGATAACCCGCCCTACCTCACCGTCAGCGACTGGTACATGGACTTCGTCCGCACGGGGTTGATTGAGCTTTCGCAAGGCAAGTTATCTTCCATTTCCGGGAATACTGCCACTGTTTCTTCATCCTCCTCGCACACCGAGACCACGAGCGTCACCGACATTGCCGCCATCGTCCTTGCGACAGGTTTTGAAGCAGCCCCTTCACTCGCCTTCCTCCCAACCGAAATTCAACGGACCCTGGCGGTCGATCCCTCCAACCTCGATAACACGGTCCTCCTCGCGTTTCACGGCACCCACCACCCCGACGTCCCGAACTTGGGCTTCGTCGGCTTCTACCGCAGCCCATACTGGGGCGTAATGGAGATGCAGGCTCGCTTCCTGACCGAGCTATGGGCGCAGCAGCAGCAACCAGGCGGGCATCTCAGCCCCTCGATGCAGCACGCCCTAGCTAATGACACGTCCATCCCGCGATTCACAGCCCTCCGCACCGACGCCCGCGTGTCGCAGTTCCCAATGGGTGACTACGCCTTCCTCATGCAGGAGTTTGCCTCAGCGCTTGACCTGGGCATCTTCATGACTGTGGGAGAGACGCCGCCGCTCCCGCAGACAGGCCTGCCGATGGATATCCTCACGCCGGCGCGGTACGCGTCCAAGGGCCTGACGGCTGCGCAGCACGTGGAGTTGGACAGGAGCCTGCGGCAGACGCATGAGACGGCCGTCGCGGGGCTAGCCCGGGGCAAGTTCGTCGCCAGGGCCGTCTTCAGGTCTCTGCTGGGCGAGTGGCAGCTCGAGCGCGACCTGGTGTCCAAGTTGCCATCGCACCCCAGTGGCCACTGGAGCGGGACGGCGCGGTTCCTCCTCCGGCAGGGCACCGCGGATGGGAATAGGTGCGCGGTCAATGGGACTGCCAATGGTGAGTCGGCCGACCATGATGATCAAGATGACGACGACCCGGGCTTGGAGTACCTATACATCGAAGAGGGCAACTTTACCGCCACCAACGGGATGACCTTCCGCGCCACGAGGAGGTACATCTGGCGGTACGACGAGAAGACCGACAAGCTGAGCGTGTGGTTCGCGCGCACCGGGGACAAGTTCGCGCGGAACGACCCGCAGCGGGAAGAAGAGCAGATGAGGGCGGACTACCTCTTCCACGAGATCGAGTTCCTCGTACCCGAGGGCCACGAGCACGGAGACTACAGCGGTGAGAAGGGATGGCAGGCCAAGTCGGACCATCTCTGCATCGATGACTTCTACGATGTCAAGTATGAGTTCTGTTTCAATGCTGTTAATCTCAAGGAGTGGAGGCTTGGGTATACGGTCAATGGGCCGCAGAAGGATTATACCATTGATGGGATATATAGAAGGAAACCTGCGCGTTCATAAAGACCTTGTTGGATAATTCAGCTAGATGGGAGACGAAAAAGAGATCTTTCTATCACAACTCAACGACTTCCCTCGGCGGAGTACCCAACCGCTATATATTACTCCTTTGCTATTCATTCCTCTTCAGATCTTGCGGACACGATCTCACAATAATCCCCTAAGCGGCCTGAGCTGGTATGAGTCCTGAACAGAATTAGTCTCACGTATCGCATGATTCCCGCTAACTAGTCAAAGCACATTTGGTTTGTTGCTCGGACCCAAAGCATCTATCCACTCGCTCTTTGTCAGTAGGTGCTTTGCGGAACCCGGTTTCACACAAGCAAGTACCCCATATCGAAGCGGCAGCCGTCGTTCACCAGCGCCGTCATCGCTGCTGTCATCCCCGTCATCGCCCATCTCAGCCATCTTCGCCTTCAAGAAGGTCAACTGCCGTGCCAAATCCTGCGCCGCCGAAAATGCTGGGCCGCCTGAACGAACCGCGTCAGACCTGCCAGACCGGTCCCACCACTCATCATCGCCGAAGAGGACCTCGACAAATTCCACCCCGCCGCCGGCCCGGAAGGTCCGGCGCCCGCGGCGGTCCCCGTCCGCCCTGTACCTGCGCTCCAGCCCGTAGTTGATGAACCAGAAACCGGCGAGCCCGTCCACGTAGTCGGCCTTCAGCAAGCCATGTATTGGCCCGCCCATGACCCCATCGTCGAGCCACGCCATGTTTAACTCGATGGCGACGTGGCGCACGCGCTCTGGCGGCTCCCACCTGCCGTTGGGGCGCCGCCACCTGAACAGGGGAAAGTTCTGGACGTCACCCCAGTGGTAGCCACTCCGGTGGGAGATAAAAGACCCCTCGGCGAACTGGAGGCAGAGCAGGTCTTCCGAGGGCCGGATGGTGAGGTACTCGCGCTCGCCGTTGTCGCGCCGGAAGGGCATGGTCACGGGCGCCGTGCACGGATGGGGGATCCCATGCGCAGGGTCCGTCACGGGAGGCGAGCTGGTCGCTGTCGACCGGAAGTGCCACAGCATACGCTTTCGAGACTCCCAACAGGCGGTCCAGAGGCCCGAGTCTGTCATGTAGGCCGACACGTTTCCGTCCGTCCATGAGTGCTCGCTGGACCCTCGACCCTGTGGGGCAGCAAGCCCCACGCGGTAGAACGGGTCGTTCCAGCTGCTTGTGGCGTGGATCCTCGTCTCTACGCGGACGACGTCGTCGAGGTCGACAGCTGGGTCGTACATTGTGAAGAAGTGGGCGGCCGGGCCGTCGTCGCGGATAGCTAGGTCCCAGATCTGGTCGCGCAGCTCTGGGGGGAGCTCTGAGAATAAGGTGAATTTAGACGTATTTACCTCGATTATTTATGTGTATTTTATGATGCGGCATGGATGTCGTGCGCAATAAGGTGGGCGTTGGGCAGAGAGGTAAAAGTTGAGGTTGCCGCTTGCGGGCCTTTCAGGACAAGCGTTGAAGTTGCAGGAAGATTGGCTTTGCTTCCCATTTTCAGGGTACTTGCCTCTAAAGGATCTATGAAGTCCTTTTCAAAGTTCGTCTGTTGAGCATTTCTTGCTATTTCTTCGCTCGTGCCCGCGTCAGTGGGTTAAGTGTTCAGTTAGAATCAACTTGTTCGTAGGCGACATCTTTATGGCAGAGTAATAAAGACACCAAATTTACTAGATTGCCACTTTCATTTTCACAATGATCATTTCTTGAGATCAACGGTAGCCGGGAAATTGTGGCGATACACATGTGGGTATAATTGTAGACTGTCCGATTGTGTGGCTACACGCAGAACAGAATGGCTCAAAAGACTACCTCACCCAGAAACGAGAAGTTGCCTTGAACATCCGGGCTAGAGACAATCGTCTCTCATTTTCCCATGAACAATCCGGCCTGTCCCGTCTCTACAAAAGCCACCACGAACTAGCCGTTGTTGGTGATATCTAAGCCAGAACTCTCGCCCTCCTCCTTGCAACGGGCATTGGACGCAAGTGCCTGAGGTGGAGTCCACTGCCCGCCCGTGCAGACACTAAACCTCGTTCCTCCCACACACATCAGGCGCCCATCAGTGCAGGCCCCTCCCTAAGAGGCACCGCCTGATGGGACCGATGCAGTCTGTCCGGAGGCACCGGTTGGCGCTGATCCAGCCGCGCCGCCTCCAGTCGCAGAGGACGCAGCACCGCCAGTGGCAGCAGATCCGGAGCCGCGGCCGCCGCCTCCCGTGCCGCTGTTGCGGGGGTTCCCGTCGCAGGGCTGCTTGAACAGGCCGTCTGGGCCGTTGGGAGTGAGGACGTTGCCGCCCGGAGATGGGTACTGGATCGCCACCTGCTGGGCTAAAGCCTCGGAAGTGTCGCACCCGTTGCTCGCCTCGCCGATGTTTGCAAGGAAGAGGTCTGGGTATGAGGCCTGCCTTCGGTCGTACATCATTCGACGGTCCTTGACTATTCGCTTTGAGCCGGCTCCTGCTTTCACCTTGATGGGGGCGCAGTTCATGTCTGGAAGGGAGTGACTATTAGTTGCTGCCAATGAGAGGGACGGCGAGGGAAGGGTGCCATGCTGTCAAGCGTTGACTTACAAAACTCTGGCTGTCCTCCGATTCGGTTGACCCAGGTCCAAGCGAAGGTATAATCGCCCGGAGTGAAGTCGTCCGGGATGGTAAAGGTGTACTCATCAGGCGACTGGCCGTCCTGCAGGTTACCTTCAATGTTGGCTTTGGGGCACTTGAATGAATCATGTCAGTCAACCAACAAACAGAAGTGTGATGCCTGGTGAACACGCAAAGGCAACAAACGGGGTAGGTAGAAGGCTACTCACTCCGCCCTCAATGGACTGAATGACTTTCCAGGCAGACTCCTTGGTGGGCTCCAGCCCCTCGGCCAAGGCGAACTGGCAGCTGCCGCCTCCGTGGACGGCCGTGCCCTCGAAGGAGACGGTCTGGTTCTCGCCGATGACCATCTCGGTAGGGGCGCTGCTCATCTTGAAGCTCTCGCCTTGGGGCACCTTGCATGGGTAGTCGGATCCGTCAGGGCTGAGGGGGTTGGTAGGGCCGAACTCGTTGAAAACGAAGGGCTGCGGCGTGACAAGCTCGATGTGGCGGGCGACAAGCTCGCTGGCGATGGATAGCTGCGAAAGAAGGAGGGCCATGATGGCCGTTGCCAAGTGGAATCGGTGGACGGCAGCCATTTTTCTCAAGTGCAGATCTAATTTAGAGAGTGTTGATGTGATGCAAAAGAGCGTGTGATGGGAAGGAATGTGTGCGTCAAAAGATTGTGTAAAAGAGAGGATTTGGGCAAGTGGGTGTGTGTCAAAGGAATGTGAGGTCAGTTCAAAATGAGGTTTGCGCCGGCGCTGTCACTGAAATCCTGAGTAAAGTTTGACTGTAGGTGGGTAGGTGTGAGTGGTGACACACACAGCCAGCTCAAGATCGGCTCAGGGATGGACTCGATGCAAAAGATGATGTGAGCACACAGCTCCATTGGAAGTTCTGGAAAAAGGCAGGCAACGATGCATTATTTCTATCAACGAGACAAGCCCTCGGTCTTCCATTGTCGGACTTGTGCCTCAGTGAAACAAAGGAGGCGCTGCCGACGATGAAGGATCAGTCGCACTGGGCCGAGGGCGACTTAATTGACGATGTTTCGACCGTGGGTGCGCCGTGCCGTTGTTTGGCCCACATTGGCTGGGGGCCAGGGGGTCCAGAGCCCACGGGGTGCGTTCACAGCCAATCAAAGCAGCAAAACTGGGTCACTCAACTAGACGGCAGTCCTGGCCGTGTAAAAGGAGCCGGCCAATCAGTCCCGGTAGTCAGCTTTGAACGCCATCATGGCCCCCAGGTTTCAGCGAGCCTTTGCTGGCCTGCTCCTCTACTCTTAAAAATTCTGTCTCCTTGAGAAATCGTCAATCTGCCACGGTCCGCCCCGTCACACAGGGTCAAAAAAGGGGGAGCAAGCTTGTTTCACTGCACGAACCACAGGGGCGCAAACGACGCGGCCAGCGGCTCTCCCTGCATCATTTGTGCTACCGGCTGACAGAGCCTCTCGTCCAAGTTCTCATCACTGATAGTCTGACATCAAAATCCAAGGCTCGATGGAGATTTGGCAATCCTCATGAGGAATAATATCAGTATCATATCCGAGCATACCATACGATTCCTGCACTTAGAACAGCATACCTAACGACAGCATCTTCGTTGCCATTTGCAAGTCACTACTTTCTACGGCATGACTACCAAGGGATAAATATAGGCCAGCCGTGTCTCTGATTTTGGAGCGGCCTGACAATTCTTCAAGGCCCATCACAATCTGCTCGGACTTCTCAACGCTTCGGTCGATGTTGCATCCACGTTCAAACAGCGCAACTGAAGACGGGAGGCCCCAATTTGTATCACGTTCTATTTCCTGGGATATTCTGATCTGGCCAAGTCAGTCATGAATCAACAGATATCTGGAACAACGCTTTTGACCATTGATGACTTGCAGAAGAGCTATGTGTCACTCTCTGAAGGTAGCAAGAATTTGGAACAGTGAGGTCCAGAATGATGTCTTCCCAAAGATCTTAGTAGCGTCGTCTTGGTTGACTTTGACAAACTGCCTGACTCGTTAATCTTATGGATGTGAACCTTTGGTCACAAACAGTATTACTTTCAAACATTTTGACTAAGTGCGTATATGTGTTGCAATCCTCCTTGCTGCGGCAACGAGGCAAGCAAGGCTTCCTTTCTGCTACACCTTACTGTAGCAGTCTCAGGCTTCTTTAAGGTATTATGTTCATCAGCCTTTTCATAGGCGTGATTTGCAGATAAATGTGATGATTGCTTCTGTCAACTTTACCAAGCAGCCAGTGACCCCCACGGTGCAAAATGACAGTTTGGATGATTTGTGGTTCATCATTACCCTGAGGCTTTCTTGCATATTAAAAAATCTTTTGCGTTAACCTTTAACCCCCCTAGTTTGTTTCTTGAGATAGAGCATCACGGCACACAGCACCAAGTACCCAAGCACCATAAAATCATACGAACAAGAACACAAGCGCTTCACCTAGATTTACCTACGGGAACATATCGTAACCAGAGGTAAAGCGGAAATACCGTCAGCATGTCCAGTGATTACGATCAAGAGCGTGCCTGTACGGTGGATGCTGAGGGAATAAGTTGTCAGCCAGGAGAATACTGGGGATCTTCTCCACGCACAATGCAAGATGGCCATCAACAGCCTCCTCCCCGAGCGGTCCAAGAGGTTTGCAATCCCGGACATGTTGTCCTCCTTGGTACTGACAGCTCAGCTGGCCTTAGATATACCGCAATACCAAGAATGGACTGACGGCCAGCATTCGCGCCTTCTAGCCCTTGGGGACAGCCGGGAACCTCGACCACGCGGAAGAAGCAAGCAACCCCCCTAGGTGTCCATCCTCGCCACAATTAAAAACGAGTTTCCCGACCTCCCCGCAAATTGAACAGCAGCCTCGATAAGATGCCGTTACAAACGTCTTAAAGAAAAGAATACAGTGCAATCTGCAAACTGTACACATGTCCCGGTTGCCACAGAACAAAGTCCACGCGACGACGGTTCGTACGGAGCACATTATTCTTATTGCGGCAACCCAGTAGAGGCTCAGCCTAGTGAAAGCAGGCATCTCCCTGAAATTATGCATTCATTAGGCGGCCCATACGGATGTGACGAGCCTAATCGCTCCGATGTGACAGGACCGGTGAGGAACTATGATTATTCACAGCTGAGTGTCGGGCAGACTGGGGGTATCGACGACCCCTTTTCTCAGCCTGCAGGAGAGACTGAGACGGTATATGGCCCTGTCCACTGCATACTCAATGGCTGAATGCTAACATACAAGGTGCTGATTCAGATCATGGAAATCACTAGATGGAATCAAAAGTAGGTTCAACGTTTTAAGAAATTGGGGGCGATCGACTGCCTGGAGAAAACCGCGGCAGGGCTTTCCATACATAGTCACTAATTTTCAAGTACATGCTGGAGTATTTCGGGGGAGTCTTCAACGAAATGGCTGTCTCTAACACGATCAACCCCTACAGCAGGAACATCATATCACCGCAGATATGCAAAGATCATTCGGCTCCCCAGGATTGGCTCATTACAGATCCAGATGACGCCTCCCGTGAAGAAGCTCAATCTCCTCACAGCATCCCAACTGGATATTCCCAAAATGGCCTGATCGAGCGATTCGCAGGATGCCAGTCTAGCATTACGTTCACACCCCAAGGATACCCGCCTCGTACCAGTATCACACATGGTTCGCTCCATCCTTCTTACAGCAACCAATACGGAGCACTTCAAACTTCCTGTGGCTACACATGTGATGGATCGCCGGCCGGCCCCATCGTGTCACACCAAGAATATCTTCTTGACTCCAGTATCACACATGAAGGATTTGAGCCTGACTTCAGCGTTGAATACCTGGGATCTCAGCCTTCTGACGGCAACGCATACGAAGGATACGAACAACGCCCCACCCATCTACAAGAGGAATCTTTATTCGTTTTCGGTAACCCATACATGGGAGCACTTGGTCCTGATGAGTAGTTTGTAGGGAGCATGTCCAGAAAGCACGGCACCCTAGAGACACCTCAGCCTGGCGATGGTGAGCTGTCTGTTCTCATTCTGAATAGAAACCGAGTTCGACTGACAGTCATTCTTTTGCAGTCCGTATCTCACTGATGCGCCAACGGTATTCCAAAAGAGGCGTTTGCCGTCACCACTGATTGGTTCAGATACTTTGCGCAGCATGGCAAGTCTTTTTAGCAGAAAAATTAGCTCCAATACATGAATGCTGGAAAGCTTTGAGAACCACGAGCGGGAAGTTTCTGGAGTCTCAGTCAGCAGTTTCTCGAGATAACAGGCTGGATGAGGTCGGAAAATAGGTGTTGTGGTTGAGGGAAACTACCTGCGGAATGTCAGTCTTCAAGTGCCATTGACAACTACGATTAGCATATCCAAGATTTTGGTGTTTTCTTGTTTTATTGTCTTTTTTTGGCTTCAGTCTTCGGGCGAGCAGGAGGAAGTAACGGGGATTAGGATACACATGGATATTCCGGAGAGTTGGTTGGTTTTTGAAACACGTTTCTGCTGTAGTATAATCCCCAAATGATCATTCAAAGGGACTACGAAAACGAAGTCATGCACCAGGATATCGCAACTTGTGGCTTGCATAAAATTCCTAATAATTTTCCCGGAGGGCTGGGAGGGCTCTCCGTACATGTGTTTCGTGTTTGGTGCCAGTGTTCGCCTGATAACCAGCGTGGTGTGAGGATGGGAAATAAGGTATGGACATACGCATACAAACAGTGAAGGTTCTCGCCTTATATTACTCATGTACTGATAATCTGTCAGCAGCAGCTGTAAAGCTTGGGATTTTCTAGGCCAAGAATAAGTCACCATGGTTTGTGCCAGCCATATCAGCACTGCCAACCTGTTGGCTCCTGAAATTTTCATTGATGACTACATACGTCTGGCCATTGTTATAGAGAACAGATGTTCGCACCCGTAAAGACGGAGGGTACACCCGTACATCACTCGTGCTGCAGCTGCAGCCATTTAAAAATGTCACCAGGTCTATTTACACACCCACCCACAGGAACACACCCAACACCCACACACCTAATACCCACATACCCAATACCTTTACACCTAACACCCACATACCTAACACCTATACACCCAATAATTATATGTGTATAGGTGTTAGGTATATGAATTGGGTGTGTGGATTGGGTGTGCGAATTAGGCGTGAGTGTTGGTTGAGTGTTGGTGATGTATTGGTGTACCCTCTGTTTTTTCGGGTGCAAACATCCGTTCTCTTGTCACAAGTGATTCAGTTCCAGATCTGCCATCAATGTTTAGAAGACGGCTCTCCTTCTCGTATATACAAACCTGTCTCACTGTGGGCTGTGACTCCTTCTTTTCTTTCCTTTAACTCACCTTCTGCGTACTCCTCGGGTATTTGAGACCGAAACTGAAGCTCTCTGGGTGATTTCTGGTGTGACTGAGGTGTTGAGCCGAGGGATTCCCTCAGTCATTCACTCAGTCACAGCATACCCTTTGCAGTGACAAGAATTGAAGCCCCTCACATTGTTCTGCTGTTTTATATAAATATCTGGCATCCTGTCCTCATGGTCTACCATCTTCTTTTCTCTACACATCAACACCAACATCACCACGCCAGGATTAAGCAGCCCATTATAAAGCCAAAAACACAACAGAAATTGTCGCAAGATGAACCCAAACAATTACTACTATCCTCAGTCATCGGGTGCAGCCCAAATGACCAGCTACCAAACTGCGGGTCCAGCAGCAGCTGCTAGTATTGGCCCTGGTCCAACGGAGCAAGCCTTTCAAGGACACGTGAAGAAAGGGAATGATCCTCAGGTTTGTAATTACATCAATTATATATGATCCAGTACTGACATTCACGACCACACCACCAGGAGACTTTAGCGGCACTAGTGAGACAAACGGGTTGGCGGCCTGAGTGGATTCAACGCCTGGTTCACCTGAGAGCCACGGAAGATCCTCGGTACCCCGGGGCCAGACGACAAATTCCATTTGATATGATATTCCAGATCATGCAGGGAGACTTCCCAAACATTCAAGATTATTTGAAGGTGCTGGATTTGGAAGTTGGCTGGCAAAACAAAATCAGGCCCACAATGCGAGATGATTTCCGAGTCGTGCACAAGCTTGATGCTGCGACAGCAGCCGCGTTCGCTCAAGGCCTACAGAGGGCAGGTCAACCTGGCTCCGCCGATCCGCAAGGAGCACGTCCGGGTGCCTCCCAACACCCGCAAATGTCATTTCAAGCTGTCCATCAGTTATCATACGAAGCACGTCAGCCAGGCCCCGGCGCCTCATACAGAGGATCACAGCCGGGTCAGTACCAGCAATACGAAGCCCCTCAGCCGGGCCCCAGCGTCCCAGTCGGCAGATCGCATGTCGGTCGCGGCGGCCAGTATGAAGCCCCTCGACCGGGCTTCGGGGACCCGTACCCGAACACACCGGGCACAAACCAACAACTGCCGCCAGTTGCATCTGCTAACCCGCGGCCGGGAAACCAGCTCCCGCCGATCGCGCCCGTAGCCCAGGCACCTACAAACCAAAGGCCGCCGCCGATAGAGCCTCCGTACCAGATGCCGGGCCAGAATTACAACAGCGCGGCCTCGCAAGCGATGACGCCGGACGTGCAGCAACCAATGACTTGGTATCGGACTGGCCGCAGCGGCCCGAACAGCCAAGCTCCGCAGCGTGGTGATGTTTCCGAACAGGAAACGTTTGACCGACGGTATGTGTTTACCACTCAGGAGAGAGAGTGGTTACTTGATGAGGGAATATACTTGGAGCCTGGACATCAAGCATCGCGTGAATTCTACGCGAGATTCAAACAAGCGTTTAGCGGCCACAGAGTACCAAGCAGGAGGCGAGTGATGGACGAATTCAACCGGATGCGAATGTAGTTGTTCTCTTTGGGTTGTCTTGGGCGGTACCACGGAGCGAGGGATTATCAAGGGCTGCCAGCCTCCCCGAAGTCGCAGCAGGGATCTTGGGAAGAGATTGAGAATCTATTGCTTAGTTTTTGGATTTTTTGGAAGCCAGTGTTTGGTGCTTTGAGATGAAGTTTTGGAAGGACGTAATTAGGCATGAGTTATTTGAAGCACCTAGAATACAGCAGGTAGATGAAGTCATAGCCGTTCATTTCAAAATTTTGGTTGCATACCCATGGTTGATTACGTTTCTGAATGCAAGTTCAACCTGGAAATCGCTGGCATATCTCGGATGAGGATTTATTTCGACAAAAGAGAACAAGAAGACGAGCCCTCTGCCCTCCCTACAACACCCCTCAACAGGGCACATTGCTATGATTGGTGGCACACGTTGGAGAAACGGATACGCTAATGTATGCACATAGAAGCCACATCACATCTCTTTGAGTGACATTTCAGAGGGTTATAGTCTGTTATCAATTACGTTTCAAATAAATACAAATCACTGAGATCTTAAGACTTCCGATCTCCTCCTGTTGCTTTCCACGCAAATGTGAGGAAGACAAGCCCCCCCCCCCCCAAGTACATCGGCATCAGGTAGCTTCTCGGCATAGAGAGACCACACGCATAGAAATAAGAGACGAGCATTCTTCTACTTCCGCCGCGGATACACAGCGACGAACAAGCCAAAAGTCTCAGAAGATGGGCTGCAGCTACTGTCCACAACCTTCCTCGTCCAATGTAAGAGAGAGCAACTTGCACTGTAAGGCCACAAGTTTTGCGGGCGGCTATCACAGAAAATCGGTTGTCACCTGTACCAGCTGGTATTCTCCCTTCTCTTACTTGCAAAAGTCTACCTCATAGTCAGCCGTGACTCCCAGTATTGTTCTTCTCCTTGCAATCGCTTCCTGCATATCCACAACTGTTCAAGAATTTAACAAAGCCTATCAGTGAGATCACCTCAGTGTGACTAATATGGACGCGTGAAAAGGATGGAATGATTTCAACGTTTAGATCTATTCAGTGACAGTACACGTTCCCCAGTAACAAGATTTCAAGTGCATAAACAACTAATCACTTGCCTGCTGCTTTCTTATAAATACCTACGGCCTTTTGATTCTGGTCTTTCATTTATTTTTGAATCAACTACATCTCCATTACTACACAGGGATCAAACAGCCTCTCACCACTGAGAATTCCAAAACTCCACACATACGTATTGTCTCAGACTCTATTGCTCTCCCTACTCATACAAAGCCAATAGCATTCCAGCAGAAATTATCACAAAATGGACCCGAACTACCCTTACCAGTCCCACTCATCAGGTATGGGCCATATGGGTGGCTACTACCCCACAACGTCAGCAGCACCTACTAGTACTGAAGCTGGCCCTACGGGTGAAGATTTCCAACAGCAGGGGGCAGCTCAACTGGGCTACTACGGAGATCCACAAGCAGCACCTCAACCAGGCCCCTACTACTCATACGGAGGACCACAGACTGGTCATGGCGGCTCGCACGGAGGATCACAGGTGGATTACAGCCACCAATATGGATACCACCCCCAACCTCAAGCATGTCAGCGTTACGGCGACGACTTAGAACCGTACGAGTTTCGCACTGGCCTCAGACCTGGAGAAGCTCCAAGTGTTCACAACACATTTTCCCTTAAACCAACCTCATTACCCCCAACAACAAGGAGTACATCCGCCAGGCCACGGCGGAGAATGCATGCCCCCACCGAGTACCAGTCAGGCAGCCCCGAGTGTTGCAGCCGTCGACGAGCCAGCTAAACCAGGCGGCTCGGGTGGCTTCGGTGGCCAAGATTCGCAAGCGACGGGGGCTGAACTTCGGCCCGGGTACCCGAAAGAGAATGTCAAAGCAGGCTGGTCTGTGCGATCCAACTGGATTTACGAGGGAGGAATGCTGGTGGATGGACTACGCTACACGAGGGACCAATTTTATGGAGACTACAACTTGCATTGGAAACACAAGGCAGTGTCGGGTGAGGACCTGTGGGAGGAGTTCCTAAACCTGCGATTCAAGTATCTCGGGTATTAGCCCTTCAATTACGTTGTGCTGGTTCATGTCCAAGGCAACAACGGATTTGGAGATGTTTCCAAATCATCTTGTCTGCGATATTTGGTAATCGGTAATGGGGTCTACACGAATCGCATTCTCTGTCCTTTTCGTTTTGCTTTTCTTCTTCTTTTGGCAAGAGTGGGGCGTGGACCCGGGAGGGGGAGGAGGAGGAAAGCGGTCATTTGCTATTTTTGGTACCTCGTAGGTAGCTACGGATTGATTATTTGAGCTCGAGTAACTTCCGATATCAGAAACGCGTTTTCTTCTACGTGCTACGCGTCTGGGATTTAAGAATAGCCAATTGCATGGCCCCTACGTGATGGTGATATGAATCAATCTTTACTCGATTAAATATCAGGAGAGGCGAAGTCCGAAAGTGGCATACTTTCACGATATTGACAATTTTCCGTGTTCCATTATGTGCATAAACATCCTCAGCAGCCATCGTCTGACTGAGATTAGATCTTATAATTATTATGCAAACAGACAGGGTGTCTACACCCTCCACTACAAAGATCCGTAATGGGGCACATCGTCTTCCTCAGGCACCACAGTCCCAAGCGGCTTCCTGACAAAGACAGCCCTGTCCCAGCCATCAATATCGTCGACAACAGTCTCCCGCACGAGCTGGTACTTCCCGATCTTGGGCAGCAGCTTCGCCCAGATGAACCAATAGACCCCCCCGGCGAAGATGACCCCAAACCCGACCACGCAGTGGATCCAGTAGGGCAGGGATTCATAGACGTTCTGGCCCTCCTCGGGCGGCACGAAGGGAGCGACGACGAGGTAAATGTTGCTGAGCATGAAGAAGACGACGACGGGCAGGGTGGCGCTGAAGGGAGGGTGCCAGTTCCACTCGTCCCGCTTGATGTAAAGCCACACAAGACCGGCTGCGACGAACGCGTTGATTATGGCCAGCGGATATGATATAAGGCTGGGAGAATGTGATTAGCTTTTGACGCGATAGCGTGTCATGGCAGGAAAGGGAACTCACTTCAGGATGAAGTTGTACGCATCACCGGGGGGCGGCGCCAGGATGGTAATGGCGCAGATGAGCCAGTGCCACATGAGGCCGGGGAGGGGGGCGTTCAGGGGTCGGTTGCTGGCCCAGAACTTCGAGAATGGCAGGATACCCTCGCGGCCCAGCTCTTGAACCAGACGACCCTGCGAGAAGATCACACTTAGCACGTTTCCCAGTGCAGACAGCGCCACGAAGACGGACAGAGCGCGCTCAGCAGTCGGTCCCAGGACGTTGCGAAAGAGCGACGCGGCGACCAGTCGCTTGGCGGCGAGCATCTCGTCCTTTGGCACGGCAGCGAAGTAGGAGATGTTAACCAGCATATACAGGACACCGATAACACCAACGGCGAGGGGCGCGGCGATCTTGAGCGTTCGAACGGGGTTCTTGGTCTCGCTGAGGGCGTAGTTGGCGTTGCTGTAGCCGACATAGCTCCAAATGACGTTGTAAAGCGCCGTGACGACGCCGTAGGCACTGCCCGTCGTTCCCTCGAAGGCGTTGGTGAAGTTGTCGGGCTTCTTGTCGAGCTTGACGCGGCCGGCCAGCGCTGCCCAGCCGGCGAACACCATAATCAAGATGATGAAAATTTTGATGCTTCCGAGGAAGTTCTGGAGTCGCAGTCCCCACTTCAGGGCGAGGCCGTGGATCAGGAACGCGAATGTTAGGCAGGCAAGACCAATTCCGCGCTGGTTCCACCGGTCAACCTCGACGTTGGCGGCGTGCAATATATACTCGCCGAAGACAACTGAGTTACCGCTGGCCCAGCCCAGGAGGATGACATAGCCGGTGTAAAGGCCGGTAGTCAGGAACTTCGGTTTCCGCCAGACGTATTCCAGGTAGTTCTTCTCGCCGCCGTTCTTGGGTATCGCCGTGCCGAACTCCATAAACACCGCAGTTCCGGCCAGCGCGATGAGCATGCCGGCGACCCACATGAATAGTGAGAGACCAACGCTGCCAGAGAGGCCCAGGATCGTACTCGGAGTAGCGAAGATTCCAGTACCGATGATACGGTTCACGATCAGGAAGATGGCGGTCGGGATGCCGATTTGTCTCTTCGCCTCGCGCGCATCGAAAATCCGGCCATTGTCTGCACCGGGGATCAGTAAAGGGGGACCAGCAAAGAAGAACCAGACGAGACCAACCCAGCTCCTCGTCACCAACGACTTGGAGGACATCTCCATCCTTAGAGACGTTCGACTTGGAATGGTTTGAGGCCGACATCGTGGGCAGGAATTACTGCGGTTGTCCTCGGGCGGCACCGTGGAGCAACTCAATATCCTTCCAAAAGTGTGGAGTGTGAGGGAGTGGACCTCATGCGTCCCAAGCGGCCACCTTATATGCAGCTGCTCATACGTCCTTGGGTATCACAAGCACATCAGCTGCAGGCGGCACACACACACACGGGAACACGAGAGCTCGGAAAGGCCGAAGGCTATAAGGCTGATGTGAAGGAATGGGCTATAGCGCATGGCCAACCATCTTGGCGGGTTTTGCAAAAGGAGGTCTCCTAATCACGTCTTCCGCCTCCCACGAGTCGCCCGTTCACATGTTGCCAACGTCCGACAGCCCACTCCAGGCGGCGGAAGCCATGAGAAAAAACCAAGGCCAACGAACCATAGGATCCTGAGATTCTGGTTTCAGGAAAGTGGCTGCCCGTTTGGGGAGCTCGGTTGAGTTGAGGTCTGTCATGGTTTTCTTGGGACCCCACTTAACCCGATGACGCGATTTTCCATCTGCATCGCGACTGGGGAAAATTTTCATTCTGTGTATGCGGCTTGGTAGTCTTTGTTACGCTCGAATAGCGCAACCACTTCTCCAACTTACAACCACTAACGCGTACACTGGGCAGTGGAATTCTCATGAATTTGATCAACTTGGACAACCATAAGCCTCATGGATCCAGAGAATGATGCTTGTTGTCTGGCACTTTACACATATAGTCTGTAATGTATTCCAGGTGACTGGTGAAACCACTCCCGAAGTATAGCATGCCCAGGCCGCTCGTCATCTTTCAGCTCCCCAAGCATGCCAAGCTCGCCTGCCTGTTAAGGGTGAGCACATCACCGCCGGCCAAGTTGGCGAGACCATCTGGGCTTCTCCAGGCTCAGGATCTTTTGGTCCTCCCCATGGGTCTTGAACCGATGCAAGCCTTCACAGGTCTGTGCTTCCTCAGAGCACGGCCATGACACTTGAGCATCGGTTGTTTCGCCAAAGCAGTGACCAACTCCAAGGCCCAACATCCCGCATCCTAGCATGCGGGCTCCCGGCTGCCTGGGTTTGGACGTGGGATATCTCATGATCGCCAGGCCCAGCCCGGTCGTCGTCTCAGGGATCATCTCCCAGAGTTTTCTGACCCCCAACCAATACCACCGACCTGTCAGCTTGTCCATGTGCGGCGAGATTGGACCCATGTTGAAGCTTACTGTCGGGCCGACCCCCGGGCCTACTGGCATGCAACGCAATTCAGGTTGAGAGATAGTCCATTGTTTTTGACTTCGTCTTGAAAGCCCTGGGACCTTGACGAGAAACAGTGCTTAGTCTGACGAGGAATTTCAAGCAACATTCTTCCGAGAATAGATACAAAAGTAATGATTCCACGAATGGAGCTAAACCTGGAATCGTGTTTCCCTCGAGCAGGGCATGACCAAAAGAGGACGCAATTCGACTGGGGCGAGTCACGCCAAGAGAAGTCCTGAAATGCCTCAATGCGGAAATTTCGGCGAAACTACGCTGAACTGCTTTTGCTCATCAATGGCTGGGGCCTAGAATTATGCGGGTATTTTTTCATGCCTGGTGACCTCGTTGAAGTCCAAGGTGTCACTGTGGAAGCCGAACGGACAGACCCCGGCTCGCCCCGTAACTCCCAGAACCCACAACTCACGTGCTTTCAAGGTTGCTTCTTCGAAGGATATTGCATTTTTGTTCGATAAGTATCATGGAACAGCTTCCACCATCTTTCAACGCTTTCAATGTAGACCAGAGACCTCAAGGAAGCCAACGTCTGACGTCGGACAGATCTTCTCGGCCATCCGTACACATAACATAGCACTATGGTCCTACGGAGTGTTAGGCCTCTCATAAAGAGCGGCAGCAAGTCACAAATCTGAATTTGCAACGGTCGCGCCCTGAACCAAGCTCTCCGCGATCTGTGACTATGATCGAAGGTGAACGATGGTCACAAGCCGGACCGCCATCCGCCAGCCCGAGCTGCCGAGATCAGCTTGCTCATTTTACCTCATGCTGAGTGTGGTTTGCGCATTTTGCTAATGCATGGGTCCATAATCAAGCGCGGTTCCTCGAACAAAAAAGCTGGGAATGTGCGGGTTTACTTCTAAGAGCTAATTGCAAAGGATGTCCACAGAACCTCGACCAAGTGACGGTGGGGCTCCTTCAGGTTCGTCATACTTGCCATCAGATAAGGAGGTTGGCCGTGTGGGTATTCTCTCATTCTGGTAGACAGCCGCTCTGCATTCTGGCAGCAATGTTATATCTCTCATTGTGCAAAAGTCTCTTCTGAATCCAGGACACTTGTCGACAACGACGGTGTCAACAGATGCCTCCAAGCTTCCAACGACTACGCAAAGCCCCATCATGCCTATCAACCACACACCATCCAAATTCAGATTTAGTTCCCACGGCAGAGGTCTAACATAAAGGATCGAACATGGACTTCAATTTAGAGGCCGGAATCTTCACCCTGACAGATTGAGTGGGGGCCAGTTTACAAATTCTCCTGCCCACTGCGATGACCCAGACGGTTGTCCCTTGATCATAATTCACGGCGTTTATCGAGCCTTCATATGGGATTACCTGAACTAGAACCAAACGTATCACCGGCGTCACCTCCAACGGCAACCGCGCGGCTAGAATCACTGCAGAGTCTTGAACTCCCGTCAATCATACCGAGACCATATTCAAGAGCACTTGTCTGCACATTTTCTTTGCAGCTAGATGTTTAAGCACCAAACGAGGCCTCTTTCGAATAAGGACATTCCAAATACAATTAATTGCTTCCATGCCTCTGCGGAAATAGAGCGAAGGGCACGCATGTTCAGAGAGCTGGACGAAGTCATACGCTGGAGATGCTGTTGGGACATGTATGATGCGTTGGTGCTCTTCATTGCATCATGTCACGCCAGTGAACTTGGAACCAAATGGCTCTAGAAACTATTAAGATTCAGATTATGATAAAACTGTGTTCTGGTTCTGCTGCCAAAGGTTTGACAGCATTTGGAATAATATTAAGCCATATTTGTAACTGTGAAGTATTGAAAACCAATGTCCGTCAGCGTGCGAGACCTTGCGTATTCGCAAGGTGGTTAACATTGTTTTGGTTAGCCGAGGCAATTCATTGGCGATATCTTGATTGGATCTACGGGGAATCCATTCAGTATGTCACCGGACTTAATGACTATGGCGTCTTGTCCATCCATTACGGCGGAGTGACGTTGATAAAAGCTTGAACGGTTCCTTTGAAAAGTGAGTCACAGAAAAATCTCAAAATTCATTGTTCCCCTCCTTTTCTGATATAAGAAGGGGCGTCTCTACCCACTCAGCCCAGTCGACCTTTCCTCAGAGATGTCATCAGCCACTCCCCATCCTACCAACAAGCACAAGAAGCCAATTCGACAAGCCCCTTTCACCGAATACCTCCATTTCGTAGACTCCTATCCACCATCTCGACCATTCGAGGGCGACTTGAAGCACGCCTGGAACGAACAAGCGCGGCAAGATCGGCGACCATCAAGCAATTCTAATCGAGCCGTATGGCATGAGCGCCGACAGAATGTTCACTTACCAGCAGAGCAGAAGTGAGGGGCAAGAAACGAATGAGCTTCAACCGAATCCCAGAAATGGTGCGCGCCACGATGAACATAGAGATCTCAGCAGATTTTGTGAAGATAAGTTTATGGAGAGCATACACTGGGTGACGGCAAAATCGCAAAACACGGAGAGGCCTACGGAGAAAATAGTTTCAGCAATGCCTTACATTCAGGAGTCCCAACGAGAAGAAGTACAGAAAGAGCAAGTGCTGCTTCTACAGTTGCAGGTGAACCTCGAGCAAGAGCAGAGAGCGGAAAGAACCGGCATTCAGAGACCGCTTCCCTTTGACCCAGACGAACTTGAGAAGAGATTATTGGAACGGATGAGTGATTTGGGAGTACAACAAGCGTACTGTCAGACGACGATACAATCGTTTCGAATGGTACAAGAGCATTCAGAACCGATGTCGAGCATGGCAACAAGGACTAAGGACGAATTGGAATACCTCTACCGACTGCAGCCGGAATTGGCACAGCGAATGATAAAGCTTTGGGAGAACTACCAGGCCCAAAAGAGCTGGAAAAACAGGGCTAGGAACACGTACACCAATGCCCCGCTCGCTCGCACCTCCGCAACAGACCATCTTTACCCCGGCAGTCACCGAACCAGTTTTCAAAACTCTCATCATTTCGCTTCCCATGGTGACTTGACCGATCGGCTTCAGCAGGTGAATACCCGCGTTGAACAGGTGTTCGAGCCCGAGGAGCTCCCTATCCGGCAATGGGGGCGAGACTGGGACGTGCCAGGTGAGCGTGGCGGCATACAATGATGGTTATTAGGCTCACTAGGGCACATTCAACGAATGACTAATTTTCGTTCTTCTTGGATGGTCGGAGGTCGGGGAGCACAGGAGCGTTTCTGGTCTTTTTGGATTTCTTAGTCTTTTCTGGTCGCGAATCTCTTTGGCTTTTTAGAAATTCTGTTCTTGGTTTGAGTGAATGTGTTTATTTCTCTTTCTTGCTGCGCGGAGAATATGGCTCGCGATAGCTGCAAGTGATAATGCAACTGATCATTTTTGGTTTTCTATCATATCACCGGAATATTTTGTTGTGGCCGTGAAGATATACAAAGGTGAGAATGGAGTCTATCTATTCCCTATGTTCAAAAGAGCCCGAAAGATTGTCTGTTTCTACTCAAACAGGCTGTAGTCTCAAAACATTCAACTTGGACACCAGCCCAGGGCACCCATTATGCTCACCCAGTAGGACCTCCCAATTTTGACCGAGTGTGATATTAGCAGAGAACATGGGTTAGCTACCACTGTTTGTGGTTGAGGAAGTCCGCCTCCCCCAACTTGAACGGTTTACTGTTTTTTCGACAGCTTTGAGGCACATTCTGTCGTGGCAGACAGCCACTGATTGGGGAGATTCTTGCGGGAGAAATAATGTTTCAGACCTTGATAAACGTTTTAAGTCACTGGTTGATATTAATGAGGGCTAAGACAGTGGCCGGCTTGGTTGTAGTTGGTGGATTTATGAGTCTCATGGCTACGGATCTGCTCAGCAAACCACCATTGGTCAGCAACAGGGTAATCGAAGCTCATTCACCGGTCTATTTTGCTAGCGAGCTAAGGCCTAAGGGCCATTTAATGGCCTCGTAGGCATGGAGAAAACATACACGTGTGAGCACAACTTGTGCAGTCCCCCCTTCCCAAAACGATCAATTAGACTTTGTGTGACAGCTGAAGCGTTCGGGCTGTGTGCTCCCCCCTCCCTTTGTAGTTTCATTCCGGCCCACTGCCGTGTCATGAGCTTTCCCCAAACGCCCAGACCAGTTGACAAAGTTGCCAAGCTGCACACATGTAATAAGTGGTCTCGTTTTTAATCTGTATACATATGCTTCTTAAGCAATATGCATCCAGTCCCTTCATATAGTAATAAACCCTGAAACACCTAGCGTTAAAAAAATTTAACATTAATAATAATGAGTTTTAAATATAGTTATAGCTTGTAGTTAAGAAAATAATAACAGCCTTATAATAGCCACATAAATAAAGCTAGCACAAACCGCTTTTAGCAGCGCTATAAATTAAAAAGTTAGGCAGTTAATCATTTAGCAAAAACCCAAAATAATTTCTATAAAATACATCTTATAAATATAATTTTAATTAAAAACTTAATTTCTTTCTACTTATATTAATATATGTTTTATATAACATTTTAAGAAAACCCTTAGTAAATAAGCTTATAAAATATTATTATAGCTCAAAATTGAATAAATCATTTTTGGGTTTGTCATGAGAATTGCCGTGTTTTGGCTCTGGCCATGTGAGATATTTCAGCTTGAACATAGATTGAATGCAACCATTCCAGGTTCTCCGTGGTACACGAGAGTGCGATAGCTCAACAAGCAAGCAGCTTTGAAAGTTCAACTTCGAAGCCAATCCAAGGTTGTCCTAAGGACGAATAGATGTGACTTTCACTCGGCTCAGGTAGTGACAAGAGACCGTGCCTATTGCGTGCAATTTTCGGGCGTCCGCCGCTGATACTGTGCACAGTTGAAACAAAACACATTATCAGCAAGGATTTTAGAGCGGGAAGCAACACCTTAAGAGTCCATCATTGCAGCGGAGCATCACTTGCGGCGAGACTTGTAGTGGTACAACATGGCCCATAAAACAAGAAGAGGTTTGCGTCACTGGTCTGCCATCAATACGGGTCACATGCGTAAGAAGCGTAACAGGCGTCAGGACTATTTGTAGTTGGCGACTGATTCTCCTTGACCAGATCTCGTCGCTGCAGTTCTCTCAAGCCAAACACAACGGGTGGAGTAGAGACTAGGATTCGTTACTCGGTATTTTGGCTCTTAGCGGCAGCGGCCCTTTCAAGTTTGCCGCGCCGACTCTCCCCAAGTCAGATAAGCAGCAAGCGCATGCGAAGCCAGAATGCATCCCATGCAGCTACCCCAGCATGCACATCATATCGTGCGGACTGGAAACAAGCCCGACGTCGGCGGCTGATCCTTGATGAGCGTGTTCACGCATTGCTTCCCCTCGATGAAATCCCCCAGGTTCCTCATCGTAGCCTCAGCGATCTCCGTGAGTGCCTCCTCGGTGAAGAAAGCCTGGTGCCCGCAGACGATGACGTTGTGGAAGGTGGTCAGCCTCGACAGCACGTCATCGTCGATGATAGAGCCGGAATGATCCTTGTAGAAGATCTTGCTCTCTCCCTCGTAGACGTCCAGAGCCAGCCCGCCCAGCTGCTTGCCCTTGAGGGCCTTGATGACGGCCTTGGTGTCGATGAGCGCGCCGCGGCTCGTGTTCACGAGCATGGCGCCTTTCTTCATCTTGGCCAGGGAGTCCTTGTTGATGATGTAGCGGGTGCTCGGCATGAGCGGGCAGTGGAGGCTGACAATGTCCGACGACGACAACAGCGTGTCGAGATCAGTATACTCCCCGAGCCCCTTGAACGCGTCGCTCTCATAAGGGTCGTGCGCGAGAAGGGTGCAGCCGAAGCCCTTGAGGATCCGCGCCAGGGCGACACCGATCTTGCCCGTGCCCACGAGGCCGACCGTCTTGCCGTGCAGGGTCCTACCGAGGAGGCCGTCAAGGTTGTAGTTGCCCTCGCGGACGCGGTTGTAGGCGCGGTGGGTGTTGCGGTTGAGGGTCTGGATCAGCGCGAGGGCGAACTCGGCGACGGCCTCGGGCGAGTAGCTGGGCACGTTGGCGACGAACATGCCCAGCTGCTTGGCCTTGTCCAGGTCGACGTTGTTGTAGCCCGCGCAGCGCAGCAGGATCGCCCTCACGCCGGCCTCGTAGAGGGCCTCCAGTACAGGGGCTGAGACATCGTCGTTGACAAAGACGCACACGGCCTTAGCGTGAGTCACCAGCGATACTGTGTCCTGGGAGAGGGGGAAGTCATGGTAGACTACTTCGATGGCGGATGAGGATTCATGGGCTGCGTGGGCTGCGCTGAGGAACTTCTTGTCGTAGGGATGGGTGTTGAAGACTGCGAGCTTGATTGGCGCAGTCATGATGCGGTAGTTCCTTGAGGCCAAGCTGAAGTTTTGGGTTCTTGCAAGTTACTTCAGGATTTGTGATGGCCAGGAGGGGTAGGAGGCAGCCGTTTGCCCTGTCCCTTGGTGTTTTGTCGGTCAAGAGCTGACGTCGGCGCGGGAGCACCCGGCGCCGTTTCTCAGCTCGAGGTGGCACTTGCCGCTGTCATTGTGTAACCGAGTTTTGCCTCTGTAGTCCGCGCGGCGTAAGCTGTGATTAGCTCTAGGTACCTGGTCGCCCTACATGGGGCCGCCTTGGTGAGCGATATTCTCCCGTCTTAGTGGATATCTCGTTGGCAGCTGCCAAGGGGCCAAGACTCTTGATGGCCCGCCAGCCTCCACGTTTCTCACGTGCCTGAGTCGGCACCTTCCTTTAGCTCTCATAGTTCTTATAGAAAGGGCTGATTGGCCTTGGTTTTAAGTGAGAATATAACTGAAAAGAAATATTTTAGACAATTCCCTTTTGGTTCTGCGAGAAATGTCCAAGGCATCTTCACATTCCTCGTCCGAAGAGCATTTTCAAGCGCTCTCTGCTATAAACGCTACGAGTTCAGTTGAGCTATAGAATGAGGGCACATTTAGATATGGTTTAGAAATCAGATATCCTCATCTCATGCTCTTACACTCTAGACATACTTCAATACAATGCATGAGACCATGTTGATAATGAATTCTTGTAGCTTGAGAGGTGAGTGGCTCAGTTTTGTGATCAACGTTGCGTTCTGCATAATCATTCGACAGAGCGGTGTGGGTTCGTCATTGTGCATCTGCTAATATGTACGTTGATTTGTGAGCAGTCATATGCTACAGCCTTGCTGGAGATATAGTCTTACGGTATAAGCGAACAACAAGGTCACAACAGCCCATTATTCCATTAATTTGGGTCGGCTGTCAGGCCGTGTCATGCCCCTTAACATTGTAGTCGTTGCTGCGTCTATCCATTCTATGCGCCGTCTATTCTATTTGCCTTCTAATCCCGCTCTATTTCTCGTATAATTCCCTTCCTCATCTATAAAACTCCATGGGTATATCGTGTGAGTTAAGCGCTCTCATTGACCAGGACGTAGCGGTAACGAGCCTTGCCATCCTCCAAGTCAAGAACAGCCTGGTTGGCGTCCTTCATGGGCCGCTCCTGCACAAGACCCCTGATGTTCTTCTCCGTCACAAACTCCAGCATGTCGCGCAGGTCCTGAGGCGATCCGATAAGGGAGCCCTCGAACTTGGTGCGGCCGAAGACCACGGACGCGCCGGAGACCTGGAACGCCCCGTCGTCGGGCAGGCCCAGCTGGCAGAAGCTGCCGCCCTTCTTGAGCAGCGACATGTACTCTGCGAGCGGGACCTTGGAGGACGCGACCGTCGAAATAATCAGGTCAAGGCTCCGGGCGTGCTTGGTCGTCCAGTCGGCGTCGTCGGCCGTGGCGATGTACCCGTCCGCGCCGAGGCTGAGGACCTCGTCGCGCTTGCTCGCGCGGCGAGAGATGCCGATGACTTTTGCGCCCATGGCCTTGGCGAACATAACGCCATAGTGGCCCAGCCCACCGACACCGACAACGCCAACAGTCATGCCCGCCTTGACGCCGTGGTTCTTGAGCGGCGCGAAGACAGTGACACCACCGCAGAGCATCGGCGCGGCCTGGCTCGACTCAAGGCCGTCGGGGATCTTGACGGCAAAGTGCGCCGGCGCGCGGTGGTACGTCGAGTAGCCGCCCTGCCCGACATCGCCGTTGAAGTGCAGCGCGCCGTATGTGTTGACAATCCTGTCGCAGTAGTTCTCCTCGCCGTCTAGTACCTGTTAGTCACCTGCTACGGATCCCAAAGTGATACATCCTGGAACATTCTAAAGAGCAAAGACCGGGGATGTGTAGCAGGAGAAGAATGGTACTAACCCTCGCACTCGTGGCAGGCGCCGAAGCGGCCCAGGCAGCTGTCGCCCTGCGCGCCGACGCCGACGCGGTCGCCCACGCTGATGTGCTTGACGTTCTTGCCCACGCGCACCGCCTTGCCGACGATCTCGTGCCCCACCGTCAGCGGGTAGGTCGAGTTTCCCCAGCCGTTGCGCAGGAAGTGCAGGTCGCTGCCGCACATGCCGCAGTGGGTGACCTGGATGTCGACGTCGTTCTCCTCCCAGGCCTTTGGCTTGATCTCCTGCCAGACCATCTTTCCCTCGATGGCGGCGGCGTCCTGGGCCGCCCAGCCCTCGAACTTGTAGTCTGTTGCCATTGTGTGTTTGTGTATGATGTGATGTGAGTGTGAATAATCAATTGTATGTCAATACGAAAAGAGCTACGAGGTCTGCTGTGGTGAAAACAACTGGCGTCTGCTGATGGCTTTTATTGACGAGCAGATTTACTTATGGGTCAGAGTCTCGGAGCCAAGTCTAGAAGAATTCGCACCCACCGGCAGAGTGCCCCAGCAAAAGATAAACGGCGTCATACAGACAACACGGCATCGGCTTGATAACACAGAGCCTCAGGGGCTACCTCCTAGCTCACCAATTTTTCGTCTGCGAGTCCGGGATGCCCCGTACATTCTCGCCTTTGTACACCCGTTCGGGAATAACAAGATATCCCCTAGGTGAGGACAACTTCCGCCGCCGTTCCGCTGTGGGAACCGCGACGTAAAGGCCCAGTTTTGTGGGAAGAAGCTCAGACTCCCCGAGTGCCATCGAATGTGGCAGAAGAATCTCGACCAGACTGACTCGCCGGGCTCAGCGATGGTACCGAGCCGGCTTGCCGTACTTCGATGGCAGTTCAGGGGCTTGGCTTCGGCTTTTTGTACCCACAATCTTATCGCCGCAAAAAAAAACTGTACCCACTGGGTGACGCCTGCTACAAATTCGCTGGGCATGGTCCACGAAGTCGTTATGCTTGACACACTGTCGCTCTTCGGCCTTTTCGAACACGCGAAGAAAATGCGCAGCACATACGTGGGACAGCAGAAAAGGGGCTGGTATATGTGGCAGCCAGCATGGAAACGATAAATCCGGTGCAACATGTGTTCTAAGGGATAAATCCGAGAACCAAATGTGAATATGGTGGTCTTCGGGGTTTGAAGGACTTTGCAAGACCGCCTAAAATGACATGACATGACGGGCTAGATATGGATTCCAGATGATAGCTCCCGGGGAGTTGATGGGATGCAGACCCTTCTTTCAAGGTTGATAAGGTTTGTCTGAGTGGGCTTCGCGGATCCTCCCGGTGCCGCAAGAGATGAGATCTTTAAAAGATGATTTGGGATTCACCATAGAGGACTGTGTGTCATTCCCACATCTTCATCCGTGCATGGAATCCACCCAATATCCTAGTTGGTGAGCATCATGAAGAGTTTCACGGCATCCTAGGCGTTGGGCAGCAAACATGTGCGGACTGCTTCGACGTTCTAATGCTTTGCTAGCTTCTCTGAATCAGAAACACACATGCCAAGTTTGCAGCACTGCACTAGACAATTTTCTCAACCACTTTAGTTCAATCAGGCAGAATTTCAACATACGTTTCCTCCTGTCCTCGCAGCGAACTTATTCTGTTGAGCATCTGGGAAATGCCATAGATTATTTGGACATGGCCTTGACCTGTAATGAAGGCTACTTGTGACTTGTGGCCAGGGTCAACGTAGAACAACGAATTCTTTTGATCTTGACTACGTCGAAATCCTATAGCACATGCTACATTTAGGATGCATCAAAGGAGGAATGCAAGTGTGCGGCACAGCCAAGGCCCTCTCCGAGTCTAGGTCAGGAGTTTCGTTCTGTCGTCGAAACATCTCTTCTCGTGGGCAACATCTTCTTGGCCATGGCTGCATCACAATGATCAGCTCCTTGCCCCAACTGTTACTCTTTTTTTTTTCTCTCGAGAAGGTGGGATACCGTGCTTGATCTTCCCACCGTGGCTATTCAACCACACAATGGGGACATCACATTTAGAAAGAGTTTCATAAACAAAGCATTCTTGGAATTAGCGACTTTTCCTCTAACTACATATTGATAATTACTGATCCTGTCACTCCAGTCCATCGGTCGCCCAAACGTGTAGTGATCTTCGCAAACCCTACCGTCTGCCCGTGACCCACGCATCCTCGAAACTGACAGCGCACCTCCGCCACGACTTAAGCAGATCAAGGAGGGCCGACAACCGATCAAGTGGCGCACCTGCCACCATCCACCTCCCGATATAGAGAAAAGGGCCAGAGTCGCCATACCGCTGCACAGTCGGGGCAGGTGACCAGCCGTCCTGGACATTCCGGAGAAAGAAGAGGGATGGATGCAAAAGGCAAAAGGACACAGAAGCCATCCTCGTGATCCCGTGCAGTAGTGGCACAACAACTGCTGCGCCAAGAGCGAAGACGCACGAACACGCCACGGGAGCTTATTCACAGTCCCGGCAGCTTCGAGTATCAAGGAAGGCTTGTCGGTGGACACGAGGGCATGAATGCGTAGCGCCGGGCCGATCCTGAAACACAAAAACACACGAGACTGCCGTTCTCCAGGGAAAGCCCGCCAGCCCGCCAGCCAGCCCGGGGCAACATTTTACGATCTACGGCAAGGGTTGGCTGGCTCGCAGCTTGCCGCATATGCCTCGTGAGCGCATCCCTAACACTCGTCCAGCCATTTTACACACATACATACGCGCCCACACGACACACCACATCACATCACCCGAGAAGGGCAAGATCTCGTATGCAAGAACCCCCCTCGACGATTAGTCTCGAAATTATTGAATTAGTCCGAGTCTATTCTACACCCTCTTCAGACTCGCAGTAGCAGCAGCAGGGCATCCTCATCCGGCATGCCCGCGTGCCCACATCAGCCTCGTGTATGCTCAATGCTGCAAGACGTCTATTCCATGACTGTCCTTTCAACCAACCGTCTCGACCGCGGCGTCTCCTCCTTCCCCTCTCGGTCGACAAAAGTCCCATTCAACAGGGAGTCCTCAGTCTTCTCAGATTGACCACCACATGCGCATTCTCTCCCATCACCGTCTCCTTGTCCTCCATCTTGAGATGCTCAAAGTCTAGCAGGTAGTAGTCTGAATAAAACCAAATTTGACGTAAAGGAAGAGGCCATCGCGGTTCATGTCTCCGAAATCCAACCGACACATATGCTTTCTCTCGGAGAGAAAAACCGACATTATCAAAAAAAAAAAAAACAATGCGAATAACTCCAAGCCAATGCAATGCGTACGTGTGTATCGAATGCTTCCCTCAGCTCAGGTTTTGTGATAAAAGAAGAAAACAAAAAACATGGCCCTTATGCTGTTGCTCTCGCGTGTACGCCAACGCATGCCCTCCGTCATGATTGTTGAAGCCGTGATGATTCCAACGGTTGAAACACTTCTTTGACAACAAATGAGCCCACTGAGAGTGGGATGATGAGATAAGAAAAAAGAGAGGAGGTAGGAAGGGACATTTAGTCAAGACATCATGAAAGGTGTAGGGGTGGGTCAAAAGATCCTTAGAAAAGGAAGAAGCCCGTGATTAGAGAAACAAAGGGTACAAGACATGTCACAAGGACGCCGGTCGACAATGTCGCCAGCGCCGGTGATCCTGCAGATTGGGAGTCAGCGCCGCCACTAGAGGAACTACCATCGCCGTCGGAGGAATCGCTGCTGTCAGGCTTACTCGTAGCCGATGAAGAGGAGGACGACTTGGAAGCCGACCCCGCGGTGCTCCTGTGGGTGCCAGGGCTGCGGGATGCTTGGGCGGCGCAGGCAGTCTCGTCGGGCTTGAGGCCGTCGCCGAGGCGCGACTCGAGGTTGGCTACGACAGCCTGCGAGTCTCGCACACTGAAGGACAGCGTGCCGTCGTCGCCAACAGTCGCCGTCTCCTCCGTGTCGTCGACCTGCGTCTGCGTGCCCACGCTGTCCTGCTCGAAACTGACACCGTTCCAGGTCGTGTTGAACTTGGCGTCCGACCCCTCGTTCGTCAGGCGCGCCAGGTGCACCGTCTTGCCGGCCAGTGACGTCGGCAGCGACACTGACACGGTCACGTTGGCTTTGTCGGCCTCGGTCGTGTTTGCCACCTTGCCGTTGATCACGGTGATGGACTGCAGCGAGCCGCTCTGGTAGATAGAGTAGGCCCTGACGAACTCGCTGTAGCCAGAGGGCACGTTGGACAGGGTGTCCTGGTAGATCTGGGCGGCGCAGGTCGGGCCAATGATCTCGTTGAAGGCGGCGTGGCCGTAGTAGATGGGGCGGACGTGAGGGCCACCGATAGAGTTGGTGCCAGGCTGCCAGGCGCTCGTGAAGCTGTTGGCGGTCATGTGGAACTGCACGCTGGTCATGTTGAGCGACGCGGCCCACAGGAGAAAGTTGAGCGTGTACAGCGCGCCGCTGAAGGTGTCGCTGATGTTGGCGACGCCGAGGGGCCCCACCATGCCCATCTCGCGCAGTGCGTAGGGGAAGCCAGTCTTTTGGGACTGCTCGATCTGTGTAATCCAGTCGGCAAACTGGCTCTCGACGTAGTCGAAGCTCATGATGAGGTCCATGGTCAGGGCCTGGCCCTCGGTCACGTCGACGAAGTAGGAGTAGCAGTGCTGGTTCCAGCTGGACAGATACTCGACACCATTGAACTTGGAGTCGACACCGGACTTATCCATCTCCTCGATCTCGAAGGTGGTACCGCTGGTATGCGAGGTGCCGCCGGCCTCGAAGAAAGTGGTGGGCAGGCCAGCGGGCTCAAGGACACGCTCATAGACGGCAGCGGCACGCTCGTGCCATTCCTCAGAGTACACGGAAGACACCCAGGTGCCGTTCCGGAAGCCGTTGGAGCTGTACAGGTCGGGCTCGTTGCCGATCTCAAAGGAGACAATGTCCAGGTTGTCGCATCTGTCGATGATCTGGTTGGCCATGTCAACGATCTTGTCGATGTAGTCGTTGTCATTGTAAGCCAAGTTCAGGCCCCAGGTGAAGGGGGTGCCGGTGGGGAACCTGTTTGCAGCCTCGAAGTAGCGAGGGCCGATGAGCATGTTGTCCCACGCGATGTTGCCGTCGCCGGTCGAGTCCGGGTTTGTGATCTGGGCCCATTTGTTCTGGGACTCATCGTAGATCATGTAGTCCTGAGTATTGCCACCAAGGCGGATGTGTGGTGGCTTGCCGGTGTAGTTGCCCAGGTTCTCGAGCAGAGTTATGGATAGAAGGTTTGGCTCGTCCTGGCCGGTGTAGGCGAAGAGGTTTGAGGGCTCAATGCCGAAGCCGCCAAATGAGAGGTCGACGGTCTGAGAGATATCTGAGGGGGCAGATTCAGAGACCTTGAAGCTGAGGGAGGATGATGACTGGGCCAGGGCGGAGGCGACGAGGCCGGAGGTGGCCAGCGCGCCTGCGAGGGCCCGTGATCTTGGCGAGGCCATACTGGTGGTGTTTACTGTGACGTTGGCGTGAATGCGACGTTGACCTCAAACCTAAACTTCAGGCGCGTTGCCTAATACAGGAACCCGAACCGACGACGTGGGTTGGGTTTGTGTTTGGGTTTACACCTGGTGTTGTTGGAATTGACAGGCCGGTCTGAGGTAGGGAGACAGGAGGAAGGCGGGCGCAGAAGAGGTGGGATATGCCTCGACCTTTTAGGAGGCTGACGACGGCAGTCAGGTGAACAAGAAGGCGCAATGAAGAGCTTCGAGAAAACAGGGCCCCACTAGACGGGATTGATTGATGACCGGGTTACAACGGTGACGGACGGGCCAGACCAGACCAGACGGACCAGGGGAGGAGGGCAGAGAGAAGTGCAGGGCAGGGGTGGTGGGGAGGAACAAGATTGATCAAAGAAACCGGAGCATACAACTAAGGGCCCCCAATTTTGCTAGGAGACAATTAAACAGTATTGGTCTATCTGGGGGCGGGGGGGCGAGGGGGCGGGTAGGATTGGGGATGGGGTCAGAAAAAAGGGCGGGAAGGAGGAGGAAGGGCCAGGCTTTGCAAGTGGCTCAAGGCACTGAAGTAGTCTCCTTGTCGGCAGTCAAGTCGAGTTGGCCGGTGACGATGATGTTGGTGCTGGATCGGGGGAAATTGGCAGGATGGAGTCGCGATAGGATGGCTGGAAGGATCGACGGCAAGGAGTGGATGGCGATGTGGATTTGAACGGGGGCGAGCAGGAAAGGCGGCTCTTGTGAGTACGCGCCCAGGCGGTCTTGCAGTCTTGGGGGGGGGGGGGTGTGCGTGTGTGTTTTGCACCAACAACGATCCTTCAGCCGGAGTCAATCAAACCATCAAAATCCGTCAGACCGTCCAACATTTCGAACACAGCCAAGGAAGGGTGGGCTTGACTGACGTTGGCAGCTGCGAAAATGCCCACTTTACGAGGCTGGGGGGGAAGGTGGACTGGTGGCCGTTCTCATGCCCTCATCCTGTCGTAGAAGTACTTGGCAGATATCTCGTTCGCAAAAGACGGGAAGGAGGCGGCAGATGGAGCACGGGGTGGCGACTGCCATCTGGGCACTCCGGTGCCGAGTGCAGGGTTATGAGTAGGCACGCCTGGTACGGCACAGTGGTCCTGAGTAGGAAGGGAGGAAGGCAGGGAGAGGCTGTGACTGTCCAGCGCGGACAGTGAGGCAGTGAAATGCACGATGCAGGATGCACACACACACAAGCTGCACGAACATGACACCGCAACCGGGCCACGGGCCAGTGAGTGACAAGAAGCGATCAGACAGTAGGAGACTTGGCCCAGAGGCTAGCAGAGCTGGGTGCTTGCTGCGTTGCTACGCGTCACCCTTTCCGGCCACGAGCTGTGGTCCAAGATCTGCTACGGTATAATGTCCCCAGTTATCTGCAGTGTTGACGTCACATTTTGGGAATGCGGGAAAAACACTAGACCAGATGGAAATGAGATGAGATGAGACGGGACGAGACGGCAACAACCACAGATGACAACCGCAAACAAAGTCACAGTCACAGCCATTCGCTGTGCCGTCCGTCACCCATGCCTCTGCCTTGAAACACCAACTCCTTCCCAAGACAAGCTGGTTCCACAGCTCCGGAACAAACGTTCCTCACCTATCTGGCGTATTCCTTATTTGTGCGCAATATCTGTCTTCGAAACAGCATCAACCCTACCGTGGCCTCCCACCGCCACGACCATCTCCCACCCGCCTGCGCTTGGGCCCGACATACCTGGCATACCGCTCCCTGCCAGACTGGCAAAGATCACCGCCATGGTACAGGGGATGATCACGGCACCGGAAGCCGGCAGCCCCATCTTCTGGGCAATCCAGGCAGGCGCACCGTGGTCACAGCAAAACTCAATCGCCCGGCCAGAGCTTGACGAGTGCCGTCGTCGCAGTCCCAGGCTGCTGGGGAAGCTCCGAAGCTACGGGTCTACACACGTGTACTGTGTGAGAGGCTAACAACCTACCTGGGTAGACTAATGATTGAGTTTGACTTGTCATCGATTGGGTTTCGGCTCTTTCTTCCCTCGGGACGCTGCAGCTAGATTGCCCAGTCAATGCCGGCACCCTCCTGGTGACAGGCAACACGAGGGGAGACAGCTGTCGTGCATCACGAGCCCTTCCTCGAGTCCATCCGTCAATGCTCGGAAAACCGGCCGCGTCGTGTTTCTTCAGCGTGGCAGCAGACTGCAAGCTCCAGGCCCATGCCTTGCAGCCTTGCAGGCTTGCAGCACCTGGGCACCTGGGCACTGGGCACTGGGCAGCCCGCGCCCTTGGCTGGAAATGGCCTGACGTCGCCCCCAAGACCACCCACCAGAACAAGCCAGAGGACCAGACCAAGCGCCTAGCGTGCTAGCCTCGGCCCAGGTCAGAGAAAACGTGCCGATGTGCCGTTGGTGGGGGTCCCGATTGGCAGCATGGCTGTTGACCAATCTGCCATGCTGCAGGACCAAATTTCCAGAACAAAAAAATCACAATCGCCGATTCGCAGCACCGAAGAAAATGATTGATGACACCTGCAGCCGGCCCCCCATGCAATGCAGCCATGCCATGCACCAGAAACGAAAACCTGGAACAATCTCCGCCCTCCGTTTCCAACAGCTTGGCGCCCTAGCCACGCACGCATGCGCACGCGCATATGCACCTTCGCCCGGGAATAAACAACCACAACAAGCCACACAGCCGACAACATCACAACATACCACAACACCTTAACCTGGACTACATGAACTATTGACTGCTACTCCGACGATCGAGCTGATGGTCAGGAACCATCTTCATCCTTTCCATTCTCCCCTCCACGTCCTCCCTCCTCGCTTGACGAGTCCCTGTAGATCTCATCATCGCCCATCCCGGGTCGCGGTGTCAGGCATTGCCCACAGAATGACACATTGTTTTCCGGGATATACACGATCCCAAAGATCAACACCACCCATACGCCTCCCTACAAGTCTACACACAACCATGTGGCTACATATTCACCGTATATCGTAAACTGCAAGTACTGGCCGGCATGAAATGGTCCACAACCCGCGCACGTCTCGAACAACACAACTGGTCTCGTCTCAGGGGTCCTTGTTCGCCGCTCGACTGTTGGCCTGGAACTCGGACTGGAGTTGGCTGAGACTGGGAAAGACTGGAGAATTAATTAACGCAACCGCCCGACACCCCGTCCACCCATCCCTACACGCCCTACAGATGCAAAGAAGTTCCAGACACATTGATCTTCATTAGGCGCCTGACGTCTACCTCGCAGGGCGCGCCCGCAAGCGCTCACTGTTCCATCGACGGGCGCCTATCGTCCCGTATACAGCAAGGAGTGACGTTGTTTACTTTGCACTGCTTCCCATCCGTCTTCCTGTTACTTTTATGCAATACAGTAAAGTTTCGACTTCCGGCTCATGGCGGACCCCTCCCCCCTGACACCTCCCCCGTCCCCGAGCAAGGGCCCGGCCCCTCCATCCCCTTTCGCGGGCCGCTTTCATTGCCTGTGAACAGGTCACAATGGGCTTGGCTTGCCGATCCCCGCCCACACAGGCCAAAACCACCCCGGTCAGACCGCCGGGTCTGCGTTTGTTTCCATTTTCGGAACGCAAGGCGCAGGCGAGCAAAACGAGCGGTTGTCCGTCCCCGAGAACCGCTTTCTTACGGATTGTTATTGAATAGCTTGATACAACACGAGGCGCCGTGACGGATATTGGGCGGGCGATTGATGTGGCAGCGCTCGTGAATCTCCGTCGCCATCCACCACGGTAGCTACATAGGTAGGGAAGTATGCACCGAATATATCTGTCCGTCATCTTCAGCCCTGAATCAACCTCCCCGCAAGTCCTTACTGCCAGTCACAAGGCCTAGGAGACAACACCAGTGGCCCATCGCAAGCGCCGGGCCACTCATACAACCAGTCCATGGCATGTGCGGAGGGCCGTGGGTCGCCCTGCTGGCCCAGGAGCGCAGCCACACCAGTGCCGACCACGTGCCATCTGTTAATTCTTGCCACACCCATCGTTGAAGAACCGCGCACAACATTAGGTACTCCGTGTGGCCCGGTGTATACCCCATCACTCGCCTGCCCTGTGTTCCCGGCAGCCTTGCACGCCCCGGTGTAAGGCCCTCCCACGTGTGAAAGGCGTCAAACCAGTAGTCCAGGCCCATACACTGCACCGCGCAGCGATGTCTCAAAGGTTTGTCTCTCCCCTTGCCTTGGGCGGGGCGGGGTATTTGTCGTCGGGACCGCCGCTGGAGGAGCCCTAGCGAGAACTATTGAAAGATGGACAATTCCCTCACACGGCGGAGGTGATCATGTCGATATTCGCTGCCACTCCTGTCCGGACCCGAAGATCTTGGGGGAACGTGCGGCGGGCGGGGGCGTGATCATCGATCTTCTCTCGCTGCTGGTATCGGCCGACCCGGGCTGGGGACGAGGTAGACTGGGGAGACGGGGCGCGCCATCAGTCAGGTCTGCGCACTGATCGTGGGGTCGTAGGGGGACTTGAAAGGGGGGGGGGGGGGGGGACGGGCGAGGACGACGCTGGGAGGGGCAACGACGGAACGTGTTGTTCTCAAGTGCTCCATATCCCTAGCGACTCGTCTTCGCGGCATATTCCTGGTGGTCTTCTCCAGGCTCACCGGTGGCCAGCGTGTGAGAAACTTGGGCCACTCGCCAGGTCCACAGCTGGACAGCTTGGACCATGTAGAGCACGTTGCCGAAAGAGTCGGACATGTTGCGTACAGAGCCGTGGGCCTCCAGGCCTGAGAGACAACGTTTGTCCGTCGTTGGGGGGGCCTATGAAAAGGCACGTCGCAGCCGTGGCCAACAAGGACCGGCGCGTGTTCTTGCCCTGAGGAATTTGAAAACCTAATCCGGGCCAAAGGGGAGCAGACAGGACTGTGCAATAGCAAGACGAGTTGTCGTGCATCCCGGCGTATAATCCATTGTTTGAGCAAAATTAGTTGCCACACTTCGTACACATACACCACCTAGCTTTTTAGAGGTATCATCTGGCAGGACACTCCCTTTCCCTTCTCTCAACAGTAAGAAACTGCCATATCCGCGCCCCAACTGCGGTTCCATCTTCGAATCAGCCTGCGTACTCCGTCTCCTGTGCCGGTGCCGAGAATTATCATACACCAAGGGCTCGACGAGACCACACAGTATGTCGAACGCTTAGACACACAAAGTCTGTCTTCCGAAGTCGTGAAAAGCCCACCTGCCAAGTCGTGGGTCCCGTTGCCTCGTTGAAACGTCAAATCTCTGGGCGAGTGGTGATGCACGCCTTCAAAGCCCATCACATCGCCGTCACAAAATCCCTCCGGACCTTTCGGGGGGGGGGGGGGGAAGGGGCTTGCCGCACACAGAACAATACTTATCGACTCACAACAGACTGCCACTCAAGCCGGCACGCCTCCCTCAACTCGACGTAAATGGATCACAATCCTGAACGCGGCCATCCTTGTCCGCCCCTTCGAGCACTATCACGTTCCAGGCGCCCCGTTCTCAAGAGGATACTCCATGCTCGCGGCGGTGGCATCGGTGCTGCCGTTGGCCGACGGCGGCGTCATGTTGAGCGGGAAGAAGCTGAACAGGTCCGTCGTCAGCACGTCGTAGTGGAAGTGCGTCAGCGGATCCAGGCCCTCGCCGCCGCCGAACGCGTCCGCCTCGCCCCCGCCCAGGCCCGTCATCGCCAGCGGCGTGCTGGGCCCTCCTCCCATCGACGTGTCGGTGTTGCCGCCCAGCGAGCCTGGCAGGTCGCTGAAGTAGATGAGCTGGTTGGCAGACGACGGCGGGGCGTGCAGCGAGGGGAACTGGATCATGCCGTGGGAGTGCTGCTGCTGGTACTGTTGTTGCTGCTGCTGCTGCTGCTGCTGTTGATGGTGCTGGTGGTGTTGCTGATGGTCGTGGCCACCCATGAAGGACGACACCGGGGACAGGAGGGACGGGTTGGGGGCCGTCTGGAGCAGCGGGTCCGTGAAGGCCGGCAGGCCGCTCGTCGTAGCCGTCGTGGTGCCGGCGATCTTCTGCTTGGAGATGGTCTCCTCGACGACGCGCAGGATCTTCTTGAGCGAGTTGCGCGCGTTGGTGACCGGCTCGTCGTCGATCATGATGTTGACGCTCGCGATCGCCATCTGGATGAACTCGATGTTGTAGGCGTACTTGCTGGGGTGCCGCAGGATGTCGAAGAAGAGCACAGCGCAGCTCGACTCGAGGAAGAAGCCGTGGTACCGCGACGTCCGGCACACCTCGTCCTTCTGCAGCTGCGAGTAGCAGTACATGATGCAGTCCTGCGCCGTGTTGGTCGCCTGCCGGCACGCCTGCCGCAGCCACATCGCGCTCGCCGCATCCTGCGATGGGTTCGATGCCAGCGCGTAGTCCGCCACCAGGAACGGCCTGAAGGTCAGCAGGATGGTGTGGTAGTACAGATTGTGCAGCAGCAGCCTGAGCGGGTGCTCGCCGCCCGAGAGCAGCCCGTTGCTGTCCAGGCCGGCAGACCCAATACCGTGCTTGTTCGCAAAGTCCCGCAGCTGGGCGTGGATGTCCTCCGCCACCACGAACAGCTTCCGCAACGAGTCATACCGATGTGTGTTGTATATGGTCTTGGAACACTGTTCGCCAATGTAGGCGAGGCGGCTCAGGGTCACGATGAAAGGCTGGTTCTCTGGAAACGGCGACGAGATGTCGGACATTTTCAACATGCTCTCCCGCCCAACCATCATGGTGTACCAGCTCTCCAGGAAGTACAGGCACCATAGCGTGGTCCGGCACTTCTCGGCGTCCTCGGACCGTGTTAACGAGTTGGCGGACTCGCGATGGAGACCGAGCGCGAAGGCCTTCCTGCACGCGGTGCCGAGCATGAGGTACGTCAGATTCGGCCTGCCCATGCTGGTGTGGTACTCTGCCAGCAGCAGGGAGAACTGAATCATCGGCAAGCTGACGGTGTCATCGAAGAGAACCGCTTCGTACTTGGCCCTGGCCATTAGCTCCTCCGCGATGTCAGTGTGAGGTGTGGCAAGGGCCCCGAGGGCTAGTACTGCAACAATGAGGGCTTTGGTCTGAGACGGCTTGGTCTCATCGCTGTTGTACAGGTGATGAAGCATCTTGTCCAGCTCCGCATTGGTGAAGAATGGGAGTATGTAAGCGGACCTGTTTGTTTGTCAGTGGAACAAAACTCGACTCCAGTCATATCTAGGATGACGAGCCATAATGTCGAGGTATCCAATGGCTGAAATGTGAAAATTTGATGCTCCATCCAATGGGAAGCATCTCTCTAAAAGAAGTTGTTGGTTTCTCAAGCAAAACCATTCGCTCGACGTGACCCTACATGCTTTTTCCTGCTACCACCCACAGTGGGACGTTCTACACCGACAAGAGTCTCGCGTGACGGTCACTCAGGGGATCGACTGCCACCAATAAGACGGCCCAGAAACTTGATACCATAGGGAGCAGAGGGCCTGGGTTCGGGGACATCTCAGGGAGGGGGGAAGAAAACATAAGCGTACCATGCTTTATATCTCTCCAGGAATAACCTAGCCTGGGCCAAAGGAAGCTCGCTGAACAGACTACTCGCTGGTCGATGAAACCCGGTGGCATCAAACCTTGGTGCCGTGCCGAAAAAGAAACTCCGCTGAAGGAATAGGTCTAGACCAGGGCCGCCCTCCTGGACCTCACGGTCCTGTTGGCCGTGGGGTCCGGTGGACGACAATATGCCCCGGTGTACTTGTTGTAGGAATGCAAATTGTGCTACATGATCCTTACGTGTTAGTTGCTACCGCGCGGGGTATCATGAAAGGAGGTGTCACGTAACATGGCACGCTGAAAGAAATAATGCTGACTCTGGCAAACCAAGAACAGTGTCGCAATAGGCGATAGGCTCGACAAACAATATTCCAGAGACTCGTCTCCGCTCTACAAGACCCCGATTGATAGGATAATAGAAGTAACCCGAAGGAGAAGCTGTACTCACAAGCCGGCCCATAAAACAGCCGTGCAGTGCCCCCCTGGATAGGTTCGACATCACTCCTCTGAGGCACGGCAGCTATGCTCTGGTAGATGGCCGAGTCGGAGTTGGGGCCCTCGCCAGCCTCAGGCACGTCCCTCCGGAACCCAGACGGCGAATCATGGCCCGCCAGGGGCGCGGGAAGCGGCGTGGGCTGCTCGCTGCCAGCGGCGGCAGCAACAACAACGGAGCGCACGTCGGAGCCGGGCGTGGGAGGCGGAGGAGGAGCCTTGGCCACATTTGCCGTGCCGTTGGCGCCAGCTGCTGCAGCTGCAGCTGCGGCTGCCGCCGCCGCCCTCTGCGCGCCGCTCTTCCGGATGCGCGTGCGCAGGCGGTACACGCAGTCGCCGGGCTTCCTGTCGCACCTGTTGCACGGCGTCTGGCCGTTGCACCGGACCTTCCTCCGGCGGCACGGCTCGCACGCCTTGGGGTTCTTCTCCATCCCAGCAGCCTGCCCGGCCGCGCGCCCTAGTTGGACCTCGGGCGCTGCTGAGGCGAGAGCCAGCCACACCGTGACGGCTCACAGGTGGTAGGTTTTCCGTTTCCACGTTGGAGCGACTCTGGGCCTGGCCTTGTCCGCCGGCGTGATAGGCCTTCCGGCGGAACCGGCGGAGCAACTAAAGAGAAACAGGCGCGGGGATAGGGCAGCCCACTAATTCCGAGGGCCTGGGCCGTTGCGGTGGAGTGACGTGCCGAATTTAGAAGCCCTCGCCAGCGCCGTGGACATGAGTCTGGACTTCTGAGATCGGATCTATGCTTGCCTTTGTGGACGGTTTTAGAGACAACCTTGGTAGTGAGGACGGTGTGGTGACGGGGTGAGATGTCGTGTTCTCCGATCAAAGTGGGGCTCCTTGTAAATCCGATCGTCCCATGTCGTCCTGTTGACGCACTCAGGGTTTTGGTTATCTCAGGAGCGGGCCAAACCTTATTTCCGGACGTCAACAGTTTCACCAGCAAAAGAGGCCTGTGCCGAGATAAGCCTCAACCTCAACCCATCTTGATAAATCCGCTGGAGGCATTGCTCAAACCATCGAGAATCCTACGATTGGATGCTACGGTGCAGGAAGTAACTTTGAACGGAAAAATCAGCCCTTGGTCAATCAACAGAGGTGAAGTCTCGGGGGTAAACTTTTTTCCTGTCCATGCCAGTCCTCAGTGGACACCCCGAGACAACACTTCCAACATCTCTTTAAGCACACTTCCGGCAGATAATCTTTTCTCTCTCCTTTACGCGGATCTGACCCTCCCAAAACGACTGCGGTTCTCCATCGAACCGGTCTTGAAGACCCTCTTGTATTGTCAGTCTAAAGCCAAAGTCCTGCTGCTCCTTGTCCACTGGAGGTTTTCTTGTCGCCCCAGAATGTCGCTTCATTCGCCTTCATAGTGCATTCTGAAGCCATTTTTGAGGATTCTCGTTCATCCTAAGGCACAGTGTGCAGCGGGCTGTTATTCGGGTGTTCTCTCAAAGCTAGCACGAATCTGACTACCAAGACAGACACGAGGCTGACAGTACGCCGTTGGATTCGAGGTTTATCTCGCTCAAGACTCAAGACGAGGGTGATAATTTTGAGGAAACATCCAAATCGAAGGCTATCCGGTCCCGTCCGGTGGGTGAAGTATTCTCAGAGCCCTAGACAGCAAGCTTTAGAAGAGACCGTCCCCGCTCGCAGACGACCTAGGTTCAGCCAAAAAGGAACTCACGGAGACCACCCGAAAACAATGTGACTCAAGACTAGATATCCCGCGGCGGACCAACTCATCTAATTATCCGTCGATGCGCGTCCCTCACTTCGGACATCAATATCTCAGGGATAACATATGCCTTCACCAGACCACCTACTGAATCCGAGGTTGGATAGAACTGCAATGTCCATCCAAAATCAGCGACATCCCGTTATCACAGCCCACCCCAGCCCCGTCGACTCGTGATGTTCTCGGGCAAAGCGAGGATTAGCGTCCTCTCCGCGTGGATGTCGGGGACCTTTACACGGCCATGACGCCCACAGTGAGCATGGCCTGGCAGGCCATGCGGAACCAAGAACACTCACCGCTCAAGTCCTCATCCATCATCGCGACGCCAGTCGCACACAGTCTCACCAATATCGTACACAAGTCCGGAGGAAGGGAGTTTGAACATTCATTTGACAGAGACGCCCGACTCTCAGGCACCCACTGGCGCCGCCTGCACCTTCGTCCTCGAAATCAAGGCATGGGGAGCCCATCCGACCTCCCGCCACAGAGAACACGGAAGCGAACCAAACACCCAACAAACCTACGACCAACGAACACGTCCTCCGACAGGTCCAAACCATGCCTGTGAATGCAGAAGGCAGTGGCACGCGATCTATTTCAGCCTCGAGCATTGCGAAGGCAAGGACACCGCGAGAAAGAAAAAGAAAAAAATGAGCCCTCACAATGTCCGCAGAACACCATCTACGCCTGAGCACCTGTGGAAACTTTACTCCTCCTCCCCATGGAGCACCCATTACCGAAGAAACCGGACAGTTTCTGCCTACTGGGATGCTACCACTTTGTAGTATCACAGGACTCCGGTCAAACGTCCAAAATAGAACAGATCCGCCCGCGCACAACAGGTTTCCCGGGGGCCTGTGCCCCCCGGAGATATGATCTCGGTAGTCCGGCCCCGGCTCATTATGACGCCGGCGACCCAGGGCCAGCGAGGCAGGCACACATCATGTGGTTGAGGACACCCACTGTCTATAGGCCAGTTCGCTCACGAAAGCAACGGCCGATGCTCTCAAGGGAGAACAGACTGGCTGAACGCAACCAGCTTGTTCCTCAACACTCTACTAGACTAGATGACCACCAGATGGCACGCTTGAATGGAGCAAAGCCACTCGTGGCCAAAGTCTCATAAAAGCACAAAGATGACGAGATAGATCTTGGAAAAGATCACTAATACTTGACGGAGGCGGAGGCGGAAACCCTTGAGCAAGTGAGATTCTTGTGAGAGCACAGGTCTCGAATTCGCCAGTCAGCATATATGCTCTGAGAAACAGATGTCTCGTGGCCAGATGTGAGAGGGCTAGGCAACTTGTCCCAGGTCACAGTACAGATGGACCACTCGAACACATCCGCGCCCACTCTCGCACCATCCCAGATTCACTTGAGCTCCCTAGGTACCACCAGACAGTCTCGCACTTGCCAGAGAGTCATGTCCAGGCGCGACAAACACCTCATGCGTGTTGAGTAAAATATCCGGATAGGCGAAGCTCCCCAATTTGAGCAGAAAGCCCCGCCGTCCCATCAGTCCGAACCCCGGACCCAGATATCGATCTCCGTCGATACTTGTGCGGAGGTCCTGTAGCGGGGTCTGTTCGGTCGGGGAAGAAAGAAGAGAACCCTTCACAAACAGGTTTGCAGCGGTATCTTCCGCGTATTTTGAGAGATCGGCATCCCGGACGACAAGCCCGGGCGGTCCTACGGGTTGCGTGCTGACAAGAGACCCAAGGTGTCCTCAGGCAGACGTGACAGAACCGCGCGGTTCCATTTGTCTGGGACCTCTGATCGCCCCCTCAGATCAAGGATTGGCTTTGTATAGGGACGTTTCGTCTGACACGGCTCGGCGTTGAGCTGACTCGCATGTTGGAGCTCGACTTTTGAGACATTTTTTGATAGATGTGGTAGGAGGAACGCTGCAAGTCTGCTGAGGTTGTCAGATGATAGTTGATACAAGATGTTGATGTGAGGAGTAGCACGTGGTGAGTCCGTTGTAGATTCATGCGCACGAGATACGCGTGCAGTCAAGCACTGGCGTCTTCAACGCCAACAGAAAGCGCACACGTGCACACGCGTGTGTACACACACACACACACATACACACACATACACACACAGTGGAGAGGCTTTCCCACAAATTCGAGTTTTGAGTACGCCGTTGCGCTGGAATTGACGATTTCGGCCGAATCATTTTGTCGATCGAACGGGTTTCGGTCAACAATGCAAAGCATGCCACAAACGCCGAATGATGTGGCAGTACTGACACGATGTGGTCTTGTCTATTGTCGCGAGTCATCCTTCGTCCCAAACAAGAACGTACGCATCCAGGCCCGCTCATGGCTTCTCTGCGGTGGTCACGACATCGGTCGTGGAAAAGAGCCAGAAGAACCTCACTCGCAGCGCGATCAAGACGCCAATAACGCTAGCCACCTACCGGAAAGGCAGTCAGGTAGACTTATGTAAGAGCCGTGTTCGCGGGTAGACCCGAGATCCATCATGGGTCTGACGTGAACAAGGTGAATGTTCCGGTATCCGAGGTGTTTGTATCCGTCGAAACTCGGGCGGGCGCAGTGCAGTTCTACACAGTAGGTGCGCATAAAGAGCACAAGGCGGACAGATTTTGCTGCGATATTGTTATGTCGGGGGAGAGGGTCCGCATCCTTCCCGGGTTTCCCGCCGCTGCACTCGCTGCAGCTTGTTCCACATTGGGCACAAATTTGGATTGCAAGGGCAGTGAAAAAAGTACCTTGTCGAACGAGTATTGAGTGCTTCAACCACGCACAGCACAGGAGAAAGTTTTCGGATTCGGCCCTGCTACGAAATTAGTCATTTGTCTTCAAGTACACGCCTCCAGAGCCAAGAGAGTCTCGTGATAGCGTTTGTAATACAAGGCAGCGAGTAGAATCAATCTCTGTCGTGTCATATCTTTCGCCAAACACTGCCTCATCGAGACGCGCCCTACAAGGGTGGAATCAGGCCCCGCTAAAGCACGCGACGAGATGGGCGCCCCGTGCCCCCGGTGACGGCGGCATGACCGTTACAGGCGCTTCACCAAAGGCTCCGGACGCCAGGCAACGTGGCCAGGAAGCGAGGTGCTCAGTGCTCACAGAATAGTCACCGAGCAGCACGCGCTGCTGTTTTGCGGGCCACACCCACCCGCGCACCGCAAGATCGTCGTCACTCGGAGGCTGTCCGTTAGCATGAATTAGGCCCTCATGCATCAAGTTCGCATGGACAGCAGATGTGAAAGAGAAATGGACCGTGAACGAGAATTGTTAGGTGAGGCTGGTGGGCAGTGAAAAGAATTAAGGGTGGCACAGTACCGCTGGCGGCAGCAATGGCCAACGGGCGATCCATACCGCCAGCCCAGGAGGACCTGACGGCCACGGAGATTGGTCGGGGGATGGAGACTGGCACAGTGTTAGATATACGATGCGGGCTTCAAGCCGACGATCCCCAAGGCGGACTCGTGGTGACTGGGTGCCTAGCTTCTTTAATCGCGGGCATGCCGCGATAGCAAGAGCTATTTGAGTCTTGGTTGGCCCCATAGCTGCAGAGCCGTGACAGGCCGTCGTAGCTGGTATCCGAGGTGTCGATGAACGAGGATGGAGTTGGGAGGATTTTGCTCGATTGCTGAAGTCACAAACTCCAGAGCCTGCTCGGTGTGTCTCTGATTACTCAGAATGCGACTCGGTATAGCTGGGAGATAAATCGTAGGAATTCGTTGGTGCGAGAACTGCTGGGCAAAGTTCGCCGACGCCTGCTCTCCATCACCGGAACCGACCAGACACGGCCGTCAACTGAAGGGCATCTCATTTACGCCCTGTATCGGCTGCACCACTCCATACCGGATCACGTTGAAGTTCAGCATTCTTTGCCAGAAACGCTGGAGAACAGCTCCTGGCGTTGAGCCGTGTAGCACTCACGGCCGACAGGGTCTGGGGGTGGGGATGTCAGACGCTTGATGGCCCACTGGCGAAGCTGCCTCATCGTGTACTGTGCTGTGTGTGGTATGTGACATGTGCCATTTGTGGCACCTGTGCGCAACAGTTGTCCAATTTTGCTTTTCTGCGTTTCATCAGCCAGTGGGATTCCAGCTTGACAGGCCAAGTACGATAGAAAGGAGGACAGCAAAGTTGTTTGGCCGACACGACTCCGTGAAGAGAGACCCCCATCTGACACCGGGGATAAGCAAACGGCGCCGATCATGACTAGGAATGACCAACTGCGGGGGCTGTTCTCGCTCTTTCAAACAGGTCCCGAGGCCAGCAATGCTCTCCCGTACCACACAGGTATACAGCGCTGCCTGGGCGTTCGGACCTATACTTGCGAGGCGGCCATGTCCGTAGTTCTTCTGCTCGCCCCTTCGAAACCTGGCCGTGATCCCAAGATAGCTGCCACTGACCCCGATGCCGGGGTGAAACAAAAGAAGGGGCCGTAGCACACCTTTGCTCCCAGGACAGTCACGTGGCTACCCCATCCGTGTGCGGTCGTCGGCTTGCATGACTGAGGTGATGTCATCCATGCTCCCAGATTGGGTTGGAGGCGGTTGGGCAGGCAAACTCTAATTGCACGACCTTCTGACCTCTTGACTCGCCAAGAAGGACGGAGGGGCGGCAGCCAACGGGCAGCAGGTGTCTGTGTTGCCAGGATTGCTGGGTGGTGCCCGGTTTCGCAGGTCCCATTGAATTTCCGGGCTGGGAGTCGTAGATGCCAATTAGGCTTTTCCTGCGGAAGCTTGTCAATGGGCATCCCAGCATCGCCCAGGCTGCCCAGGACAGGTGCTGCTTACAGGCCGGAATTGGGTCAATCACGGTGTCAAGGCCAAGGCGGACGCGAGACGAGGCGAGGCGAGGCGAAGCGAGTGCGTGACGCAGGTGCAAAGGGGAGGAGCCGAAGGGCCGGCCATTGCAACGAGAGCTGGTGATCGCCGGCGTTGCTGCTCTGCGATTTGGCGGCTTGGGCGCACGTTGATTGCGATTGCTGTGGACAAGCACGGGTAGGGACGGACTCGGTAATCTGATTTGATTCTTCCGAGTGAGGATGTGCAATTGCGCCGCGACAATCGACCAGGGACGCGAGGACGGGCAGCCAACCAGACGTGTGGTCAAGGACCCGAGTGGGAGGAGGGCACGGAGGTGCTGCCAATGGGGGAGGGCGAGACACACCACTTTTGCCAGACAAAACCTGACAACATGGCATTATCAGCCCGTGATATACAACGGGTCTGTCCTGCGCATGGGGGACGGTGAGGGCGTCACCGGCGGCGATCGCTCAATCAGGCAAACCAGTCAGTCAATAAAACCAATCAATCAATCAAGCTCGGATCCTGCGTGTCTGACTGCGGGAATCGACCGCTCACTTCTGCAGCTGGCACGTCTGCCCCATGCAGAGCCACTACTGTGTATACTGTGGTACGCAGCGCCTGCAGTAAGTAGCAGTCAGGGTAGATACCGCGTGCTTTGGGTCCGATCCGTAATGTAAATCCCAGAGTCCCAGAGTCCCAGCGTCTACAGTAGGGCTCGGGTGATTTGCGGTTGGCGGATCGTATACATACGATGGGCTGGCGCGTCGTGGAGGTTCTGGCCTCATTCCACAAGAACGTGTCGTGTCGTGGAATCCGCAGGCAAAATGACGATGTGCAAGCAAGGCTAAGGCCCGTGGGCAAAGACCCGACGGTGAACGACGGCAGGGCCATGTGTGTGAGAGCGCGTGCGTGCGTGCGTGTCGCGCATGGGTGAGGGGATCCCGTCGGACGCTGGGCTGCCAATTACACAGCAGTACGCAGTACACAAGAGCTGGCAGGCCGCCCAAATTGAGATCGTCTGCGGAGTTCAGTGAAATTGAGGTTCGCGGGCAATCGCACACTGGCAGCTGGCAGAGCTCGACCTTACGGGTGAGGGGAACCCACCGAGCGCAAGACGGGGACTAGCCGTATTGGGCTACTTCCCCTCTGTCACAAAAGGTAAAAATGGCAGGGAGAGTAACAGAAACAAAAAGAAAATATGAAATAAAATGAAATACAAGAATCAGGGTCCGCCTTCCTTGCCTTCCCTACCTTCCACACCTTCCCTTTCTGAGACTGCTGCCCTGCAGAAACAGGAAAGGTCACCTGAGGGCAATGACACGCCTTCCCTGTCACATCGTGGGTTGAGCAGGCTGGCTGGCTGGGCAAGGGCAAGGGCAGGGCCAGGGGCAGGGCAGGACCAGGCAGGAAGGAGGGGACGAGCCAGCAAGCTGGGTTTTGCTGGGTTTTGCTACTGCGTGCCCAGGTGCTTGTGTGGGTGGGCAGTCCTGCTCTTGCGGTAGATGCTGCACTTGCACCTGCATCGATACACCTGGCAGGTATCTATCCGTATCTATCTGTATCCATGCAGGGCAGGCGTCTGCGGACCTGAAACACCCTGACCTTGTGCCTCCCGCACCCATCGTCATCATCGTCGCCGCCGTCACCCTCGAACAGAAACAGCCGCCGCGGTACCGCAGCCTGGTTACTATTGTCAAACATGCCGGCCTGATTCCTGTGCTCACTGCAGGCACCGGCACCGGCAGCCTAGCCGTTGGCGGTCCATCAATCTCGTCCGAAACAGCCAACAGTCCAGCTTGTGCATGAGGAAGCTCGCCCGCTCTCCTTCGCATGTTCGCACACGGTAAACGTTGCGTGTCATCGTGATTGTTCCCCAGAAAAAAAATCGGGAGTAGTCCACAGCAGAAGCAACGGGGCCTCTTCTTCGCCAATTGCACATGTGCCTGCCAGGAATTCTCGAAATAGGCGCTGTCCCTCCTCCTCTTCTTCTCCTCTCGCACAAGTGATCGACAACGGCAGACCCAGTGCCGGCCACTCCCAAACAGCAAAACCGCTGCTGTCTGCTCGCTTGTCGACCTCCCCACCGTTGATCCCAGGGAAAAGAAGAGAAGGCCACAGGATTTTCGATTCGCATCCACGCATCTGGCGATGAGCCAGCAGCATCCCATCGTCTGTCTTTCCGCGTGTCTATCTCTATCTCCGTGTCCCTCTCTCTGCCCCTCTCGACAGGACCCGAGCTGGGGGCTCCCTGCCAGTCCTACCTCGAGGGCCAGCTGTGAGGCCTGTTTGGGTGCTCAGCAGACGTCGACGATCAATTGTAGAGCCCGTGAGAAATCGCACGAAATCTTGTCCTGGCCTGCTTCTGAGCGAATCCACCGCTTTTGGCGGTGACCAGCTGAGCACAGGAAGGAGAAGCGATCGGCTGGCAATCCTTCTCCCGGCGTGCGCACGGTAGGTGGTGCAAATAGGGAGCTGCGTGCCTCCCTGCGCCCCCCCGTCATGATGTGACGTCTTTTTTCCGTTGAAAACGGCACTGGCCACTGGCATTGGGCAGGGCGTCCTGGGGTCCTGGCAGGGGGTACTGCGTCAAGTACCCGCGTACCGAGGTACATTGGGTACTCTGCGAGCCTTGGAGATTGATGTCTGGTCCAATCAGATTTTGGGAGAAGAGAGAAAAAGAAAGGGTCGTGTCTTGAGGTGACCTGACTTGGACGGCACTGTGCCCCTCAACGGTGAAGCAGCCCTGCGTGGTCGTGGCAGAGCTGCTTCAGCCTCCATCGGCACAGTGTGGTGGTCACCGTGCAGCGTCACAGCAGCCCAGGGTCCGTCCCAGGGCCCAGCATCCGGGCACAGTATCTGGCTTGTCCAGTACATCACGTACCTTGCTTGATGCCCTCTGCATCATCCACCTCCCCCCCAAAACTTGCTGGTGCAGCCTTCACCTCACGGGTCTTCTGCTCGCTTGTACGCACGCACACTCAGCAAAGGACGTTGACTTTGGGTTGCCAGACTTCTGCTCTGCTCTGCTCTGGTCCGGTGCTCTATGCTCTGATCGATTTGAGCCCCTTCCTCAAACTCAACCCCCCCCTTCCTCCCCTATCGCCCGTTACGGTGCAAGTGCAGTGCAGCATAGCGCAGCGCCGTGCATCTTGTCCCGTCCACGATCCATACGCCCACTTCTACTCTCCCTCACACCCCACCCGCCGACTCCTCTTTTCCTCCAGCGAAGATTCCTTCCCTTCGCTGCCGTCCTGCCGTCGTGGCCCTGACCAACTTTTCCCGATTCTTTTCTTCTCGCTTCAGCCCTCCAAGCCCTCTCTCCGCCGGCCGCCCACCTGTCTCGCGGTACCTTTCCTGCCCTTGTCACGGCCACGGATCCCTCTTTCTCGGCCAACGGTGGCAAACATCTATCCAAGATCTTGCAACAGTGACGGTCGTTTTGAGAATTTCCGCATAACACACACTACACCTTGGCCACCGACGAGGCTGCAGAGGCACATGGTCGAATTCGCCGCCCAACACGATTCCTAGTCCGACCAATGGTCTCCACTCCACCACCCAGTCTTTGCCAGACACCCGAGGCCACGACTCACGACACGACACAAACTAACCCCCATCCCTCTCCCCCGAACTTCGACTCTCTGCCGCACCCTCGGGCACCCACAAACAATAACAGCATCAACAATAGCCTCAACGACGAACACAACAACAACACCGACATTACCAACCACGAGATAGCCATCGCACAGCTGCCCGATCCTACCATCGCACCACCCGCAATGGAGGAAGGTCACTCACCGCAAGAACAAGTGTACGCTCATCAGATGCCAGAGATGGCCCGCTCAGACTCTTCCTCGGCCTCATCCATCGACCAGTCCAACAGCCCTCAGATCGTCGCTCCCGTCCCAGTACGACCACGCCTCCCCAGCCGGAAAAGCAGCGGTACTATCATTGTCCCTCGAGAATCAGCGGAAGCAGTTGAACCAACCGATGTCATGATAGAGCCCGGCGACGTGCGCGCAATGAGTCCTCGGAGGACCAGCGAAGACCTCGAGGCACTGGGACGTGAGGCTCGGGACGAACTCCGAAGGTGAGCCACTGCAGAACTACCTCTCCGATCGCACCCCCCGGCCCCCCTATGTGTCGTTCCTGCGGTATGGTTGCTGACGCGCGAGGCACCGTCAATAGGCACGCAAAAGCTCTACAAGAATCGCTACTTATGATATTCAACCGCATCGAGGCTGTCAAGGAGGAACATGACAAGCTGGACAGCAACAACAAGTTCCTGCAAAAATACATTGGCGATCTTATGAGCACAAGCAAAATCACAGCAACGTCGTCGAGCAGAGCCAAAAAGTGAACGCGTTCCTTCATGAACTCTTGAGGCGGTCCAGGCGGAGCAGCATCAACAGAGTGGCACAGAGTGCCGATGGCAGCCATTCATGGGGTGAAAAAAAATTAATAGGGGCAAATGTGACTGTGGGGCGGTGTTCTGGTGGGCCTCGCCAGCAGGCAGCCGGTCTTGCTTGTCTACGCCATGCGAAGGACGAAAGCTTCTTTCTGAGGCCGGCCGGCGACATGCCATAGGCGACACGGTTACACGACGCCCTCGTGGCACCGGAGATCTCGACAGCCGCAGTTCGAGCCGCGCATGGGATTGGACGTCCTCTGGGGTTATGATCGCCGGCCGGTCAGCATGGCGGTGTCGAGGGCAAAGACGGGCAGGAGCTGGCCTTTTCTTTCGGGTTGTCAAGACGGCGGAGCGCAAGACTACCACTACCCACCGACAACTCTCATACTACCTTTTTTCTTCTTCATTCATCACAACACTCACATACAGACAGAAAGACAGACACACTCAACACGCAACACCTACGACATGGGGAGCTTTTAGGGCAGAGGAGGAGGGGGCATGGCAACGCCCATTTCTTTTTAGTTTGGTTCATCAGCTGGGGGTCGACACATCACACATCATACCCGTTTTCTTTGGTGGTGGCGGCGCACCGATGAAAATTCCTCTTATCATACCACATCAATACCAAGGATCTTCGTCCGCTGTTGTACATCCCCTTCCTGAGCAACAACTGACCTCAGGACACCAACAACCTCGTCAACGGACATTTGCACTTTCTGCATACAGCCATTTTTTTTTTTTTTTTTTTTTTTTTTTTTTTTTTTTTGTTTTTTTCACGGGCATTCAAGAGACTGGGGACTGGGTAGCGTCATGTCCACAAAGGCGTCGGCGTTTTGTCATGCATATGTTGATTTTTTCTTTTTCAGTCTACCCCTCTTACTGGTCTTCTTCTCTGAGTGACGGCATATTGTACATTTACATAGTCTTTTATAACGACTCATCAGGAGCATGGTGTTTTTGTGTGTGGAGGTTAGCTTCACAGGGGAGTCTTGATACCGGCCTACTCGCCAAAAGAGGAGGCATCAACTTGTCTTTAAATTGACAATAGGGTTTGCATATATCTAGTGCTTGCTCCCTCGGCCCTTCTGGCAACCCACCAATGGGTGATGGGGGAGGGCTTGCACACAACCCTCGTAGCAGAGTTCCAAAAAAGAAATAACTGCATGCGTTTTTCCCGTCCCGCACCCTTACCGTAGGCGTGTGTGCCCTTTGCTCTATCCCCCCCTGCGGTCTGCAGATGTGACAGCACAACTTGAACAGCATTGGCACATCGGCCCTTAACCCCCCAGCTTTGCCCAGGCACTCAGGCACTGCGACGAAGCCACCTGCAGGGGCGGGCGCCCACTGCGCGAAACGGGGTGAGGTGAGCAATGAGAGGGTTCATTTTCAGACCGGAACCGATCAACCACCCCCCTGCGGCCACACCCTGCGGCAGAGAGACGTCGCTGATCTTTCTCCGGACGCCGCTGACGTCACCCCGCGTTCCGGCGGCTCCCCAGTGAGAATCTGGGGTTTCGCAAGGGCAATGGGCCGGGGGTAGAATTGTTTGGACGAGGGTGAGTCCACAATGTAGTAGCTGTGGTAGGGCAGCTCGACACGCTCTCCCGAAACATCCTGCCCGCTCTGCCGCTTGTCCTTCCCCGAATTCTGCGATAACGTGCTTGGACGCTGACCATCCATTCTCCGGCCTTGTTGAGGTGGTGGGTGGCAAGGAGCAGAATGAGCCTCCCGGTTGAGAGGGTGGGCAGCCCGGTGAGGGCGCATGATGCTACTCCTCACGTGGTGCGTTAGTCGCATAGGCAAGCAAGATTCCTCACGTTTTCCTCGCCAGCCTTCCGATCTGTTAGGGCTATTTCAGCTCCCCCTCCCTCTCAACGGGCGTAAGATGATGTATCTCGCCCCTGTCGCTCCACCCGTATGGAATTCCTCAGGCCAACAAAACAGAGCAAGCAAGGAGCAGGGGGGATGTGGGATGTGGGATGTGGGATTTGCGCGACAGAGGTGACTCCGGGCCGACCCATACGACGTCATTGTCACTATAAACATCCAAGCGGATGGATGGATTGACGGGCAAGGAACAGAAACACATAGGGGACAGACAGACGTCTTGCGGGTTCGGGTCTAGCTGCCTACCTACTGCGCACTGCGCCTCTTCCACCAAAAGGGCCGGGAATTACGGGGTTGAGAGGGTCGCCGTCCCGGGATCAGGGTTGGTCGCAAGCGTCCTTCTTCGCCTGTCAGCCTTTCGTCTGCCGTCCCTGCTTTGCTCTTCCTGGGCTAGCAGGGGAAACAACATTTCACACTACTGTACTGTACCCCCAAGGGGTCCAAAGTGGGCAGGGAAGGATTATGTGGGGCTGGGGGAGGCGGGCGTGGGGTGATACAGACGTAAGTCACACATGCCTGAGCTCTTGGTACCTAGAAAACCGGGAGTGTGCCAGGCGGCAGGTGGGAGAAGAACGGGTGGAAAAGAGACGAAAGAGACACTGAAAATGTTTTCTGCTTTTGATCTGTCATTGTTTGTTGGGCCGCACGCTTCACCCACGCGCCTCCCCCTCTCCTGATGGTGCCGAATCCGAGGGACAGAACAAGGGCTTTTTCTTTCTGGTCCCTGCATGAGACGTCATCGAGCCGAAGTTTGTCTTATGCCCGGTATTTCCAGCCCTTTTTTTTTTTTTGTCTCTGTCTCTGTAGCCATTCCCGTCTGGCCTGATTGCGTTAGCAACAGCAGACGCCGTCGAGACAGGTGATGTTACAATTGGGCATTGTCGCTCAAACCCCAAGCTTGACATCGGCTGTCTCTCCCGCGATCCGGTCACTACCTTCGCCACACTTGATACCGGACACTGGATACATAGACATACCCTTGGGACGAAAGCCCGTCTTCTCTTTCCGCGTGGCACGCATGTCCCCCTCTGTCTGTCCCAGGGTGCCCGCCAGTAATACCACTTATTCCCACCGCGAGCCTACTGCTACAAAATCCCACGTTGTTCCTCGTGTTCCACGGCCGCGTGCTTTTGCTTGCTTACCCGTCGGAATAAGCGGCCACATGATGCCTCTCGAGTGGGAGTGAGTAGCAAGCGCGCCCCCACGTCCCCCTTCGTGCGCCCGTCGTCACAGATGTCACTCGTCAGACTGCGTCGTCGGGCTTATCAAGGCTTTCTCTCTGTTTTGTTCCGGCCCGGCTCACCCGGGGAGCGCGGAGGCGGGCAAAGTAGCCTCGCGCTGTGCTTGTGTTTGTGCACTGGAAGCGGTCTGATCCTGGTGGCATGGCGATCAGCTCACCGGCTATGACCCGACGGCGCGGGCGGTGTGCTTATCGGCGGCTAATCAGGGCCCGGTGTTAACTGACTAGTCAGCGTCCTGTCGAAGTTGACGACATAGCCTTGCGGAATTTTCTCTCCATGTCTTGGATTCGGACTTGGAAATGGTCGGCTGGAACAGCTGCTGTGATAAGCCTTTGCATGCTGGAGATACTTGGTTTCCATGTTGTCGTTCGTGTTAGCAGGTGTCTCTATTACTTGCCACCTTTCACTCCGATAGCTACATTTCCACTCCGCCGCCATATGCTGGCACGAAGCTCACCTCGGCCGTCTTCGTTGTTGATGAGTCCCAGCGTCGTGATCGATATCAACTGACTTGCGATCGGTGCCCGTGCTAGCAAGCTCCCCATCAGGGTTTTATTTGTGCTGGAATGCCTCTGGTTCCGGTTTCTCTGAGATCACCTGATAAGTCGGTCATCCTGGCGCAGTGGTGACGTCCTCGTCTTGCCCAGACACACTTACCGTCATGGTCTCACCGGTTTCAGCATACCAGGCTGAAAATCTGAGGCCCGTCTGCAGGTGCCCCGAGTTTGGAGACCAATATCGAATTTTCGTGAGGTCAGTCGTCTTGTGCTGGACCTATCTGCGGTCATCATGTAGTTTAAATGTGCGGTTCGTGATCCCTGTTCCCCGTCCAGAGCCTACATGTTGCCACGACTGGACGAATGGGCTTGCACCGCATGTCTTTGCATCTTTCCGACCGCTCTCTCACCCCCTTGGCTTTTCCATGGCTGGAATACCATAGATGTATCCAAGCGGAACAGGGAGGAGTTTGACAGGATTCAGGTTGTCAACTCAGGGGCCATAGAGCTCACAGAACACAGTACAGTCAGATGCCCAATTTCATAAGCGGTGCATACACCTTCTCAAGCCGCATAGATTTCACTTGCGGGAAAGTAACCTCGTATACACTGCTCTATAAACGATAAGCTGCTCAATAACAACTTGTTTTGATAAAATGGCCAGATAGTAAGCCGCCCAAGGGGTTCCTGAACGGCTTAAAGCAGAAAGAGCCGCGGGTGGACGGAAGCATCGGAAAATATGCAGAATTCAAACTTTCGCAGAATGTATTGGACCTGCATGCCACAGACTCTGTTCGCTACGCTGCAGGACTTCGACAAATCGCAGAGAGTATCTGCAGTCATCCTCGAGGTCATTGACCACGTCGCCACCGCCCCTGCAGCCGCCTGCAGCCGAGTTCATGGAACGCAAGCCAGGACATCGAGAGCCTACCGGCTATGCGAGGATTCTTACGCGGAGGTGACATGGCACTTCATCCACTTTTCTAGAATCCAGTTGGGGCTAGCACCCAAGCGGAGAATTTGGCACCCACCTGGCCTTTGGAGATGGCCCAGGATTGGGAGCATGTAGCTCGACAGCGTGAAAGCCACACTTACGGCCTTGTGCAATCGGTAAAAGCTGCACCAAGTGAGCATAGCACAGTTCAGAATTCAAGCCAAATCAAGAACCACGAAAGCTTACTCAGCTGAAAATCTGATTTGCTTTGATTTGTGTCAAAAGCACGTTGGAATCTGACAGCTGCTATCGATGGGCTAGTCAAATGAACGCGAGACTTCGACGTGGACCCGTGTTGTCTGCTACACAGACAGACACACGTGTGGAAAGCATTCAAAAATAATCATAATGTATGATAAAATGTTTTTGCTACTTTTTTAAACTTTGTTTTCGGCACAGGAGACGGCAGGTGCAACTGATGGTGTGTCGGGTACGCCAGCTCCCACCATAGAGCGAGCAGACCAGAACGCCCTTCTGGAATCAGCGTAAAGTTTGGGTATATAACCGGGCCATTATATATAATTCCGTATAGCTGCCCAGATAGATGTGAGTTCGAACGAAATGATCATGCCGCCAATTGATGTCTGCTCGACTGTGTCCCGTGGTGCAACACCCTTGGATGTAAAATTTCTACCTCGAGCTACAAAGAATCTGATAGTTACCGGGGCAAGTTTTGCTTTGTAGAGACCATTTAATGGGATTGATTTCTCCCTGAGCCTCAGTGTATGTTGACACTTAAGCATTGATGAATGTAGGTTATTGTTGCTAGAGACAGCAAAGACAGCCGTACCGCCTGGACAATGCTTTGAGACACATGAGCAAGGAAAGCTGCAACTTGCACAGAAAAATGGCAGCTCATGGTCAAGCAGTATATTGAAAGACATACCTAGGGGAGATACTATGCGAATCTGATCCATAGCGGTGGTTATATAACAACTATTGTACATGGTGATCTCAGTAGCACCGTTTGAGATGATCCAGCTACCTAGGTACTAGTATGTCATTTATAAGTTGACTGTCCAATATTGAAGGTCAAATGCCCATTGACTGGGTCAGACGGTTGATTGAAAATCTTTGGCAACATTTGGCAAGATTGTAGAGCAATGTAGTTCAGTCACCGCAATGTGTGTTTCCAGTGTCTATTAACGAAATGGGCAATGGCCTCTGACAGTATCCCCTTCAACTGTCCGATGGTGCTCGTGTACACAGCTCTTACAACAAGTTTCTCAACAACGTATAGTCCATCTCACGGCAATGTCGGCTCGCTAACATAGCTGGATGCAACAGCGAGCTGATTGATATTGAACCTCGGATGTTGCATTCTTGTGACAATTGGAACCATGGCACGACTCCAGTAGCAATGCTGTGCCAAACAATCTGTACAGTGGAACAGCGGGCAAGAGCATCTCGAGAAGCGCCGGGTTCTGTTGCAACTGTACAGTGGCATGACTGACCGGGACGGCGATGTTGTGACCGGGGAGAACTCAGCATGGTCCATGTTATTCGTCTACTTATCTTGTCAGTTGATTGCTACTCATTAGACTTGATCTATCTAGACACTATGATGTGTACGGAAACACTTAGGCCAAAACTGGGATCGATCACATTGTCAATCTTTCGCGGCACCATGAGACTGAGTAGAATTTCCGGCCAGCATGGTGTTGTCTTTTCCATTTGCTCACTGCTTGACGCGTCTCTGACCTTGCCCCGCGAGCTGATTCGCTAGCCTCAGGCATTCACTTGGTATCAAAAGCGGCTAAACCCTCTACGCTAGACCCGCTGCATGGCTTTCATTTCCATGTGGCTGGTACACTGGCACTAGTAGAGCGTGTTGGTACGTTGGTGCGTTGGTGCACCGTTGCATCGTCCCAGTGCATGTGATCAAAATGTCACCCTAACAAAGAGTTCTATCTAAACACCGTACCCGCCCCACATGCTCATGAAATCGTGCCGAGACGTTCTGGCTCAGCTCGGCCGTTTCCTAGGCGGGCAATGTTGGTGCAGAAGCTCCAGTGAGCTCTTAAAGGATTCCAAGTGCCCACGCTCCTTGCAGTTGGCAGATGCGACCTTGAAACGGCGGGCGTCCGCAAATAGACTTTCACAAGTGTCCTGAGCGGTGAAATGCCTCCAGGGCGCCTCATTTCCTTGCATTCCACTCATGCGGTTGGTTGGTTGGCTGGCTAGTTATCTTAGGGGTGACTGTTGGCACCAACAGGTGGATACTTTCACCACTGGAGCTCTCCAATCACTCCACAGTATGATCCCTCAGGATTCTCACCATTCTCGATGCACTGATTGTGTGTCCAGTTAGTCCTTCTTACATTTGAACTTGTCTTTATTGGCTGGATAAGGACTCCTAAATTGTATCTAGCCTTTGTGCCTCAGGGACTATACTCTCAGGTTGTCACCTCCCGACCTCAAGTCATGTAACCCCAGTCCCAAGTACAATGACGCTTCCTTCCACGCTGTTGTGGCCCGCACTTGGCGTACTCGGTTGGGCGTTATACTGCAGCTTCTGCCTCCTCCGAAATTATCTGGTGGCTCGCAAGATCGGCGTGCCCTTGCGCGTCATTCCTATTGACCATGTCAATCCCTTGTGGATGCTGATTGACACGAAGGTCCTTTCTCTCGTCAGAAGGCTTCCCGGAGTCCTGGGTGACAACAGTTTCACCCGCTACAACTTTCGAACATGGGAAATGCACGACCGTTTTCGATCGCACCAGGAGATGGGCGATGTTTTCATGATGGTAACGCCTGGGAGGAATTGGCTTTACATCGCCAACCCTGACGCTCTGATGGACATGTTCCGAAGACGCGCCGAGTTTCCCCAGTGCATTGAGCTCACTGAGGTGCTCAATGTGTTTGGAACAAACTTGGGCACTGTAAGTAGAGACATCAATTCCCTGGGTCTCGAATCGGCGGCAGAGTTCCGACTGACGCATGTGTATAGGTCGAAGGCCAGCAATGGAAAACCCAGCGCAAGATGATTGCGACCTGCTTCAACGAGCCGAACAACGAGATTGTCTGGTCTGAAAGCCTTTCTCTGGCTCGTGACATGCTCAAGTATTGGGTCAAGAAGCCGTCGATTTCGAGCTCCGCTGACGATCTTCGCACTCTGTCTCTCCACGTCCTTGCCGGGGCCGGATTCGGGAAGTCGTTTGAATTTGAAGGACATGATGAGAGGAGGAACACTAGTCTCTCCGGCGACTACAAAACTTCTCTGCGTATGTTTATCCCTTGTGCTGCAACTTTTTCCACTTTGAAGACCCGAAGAAATCCACACTTCACCTCCCTTGCAGCTTACTAACTTACACAGAAATGATCCTGGAGAACTGCATCCTCATCATGGTATTAGGGCCAAAGACTCTATCTAAGGCTCGGCCTTGGCTTCCCAAGTCTTGGAAACTCGGGAGACTGGCCGAGAGATGCGCCGACTTCGAGCGCTACATGACGGAGCTCTACGAAGACGAGAAAGCCCAAGCCCGCCTGCAGACAGGCTCAGAAGCCCCCCAAAACACTAATGAGCTCGCTCGTGCGCGCCTCGCAGGACGAGGCCAAGAGCGGCGCCGGCCTGACCGAGTCCGAGATCTACGGCAACATGTTCATGCTCAACTTCGCCGGGCACGACACCACGGCGCACACCCTCACCTTCGCCATCCACTTCCTGGCCGCGAACCCGGCCGTGCAGGACTGGGTCTCGGAGGAGGCGCGCACCGTCCTGGGCGAGAGGGACCAGGACCAGGCCGGGTGGGACTACGCCGCGAGCTTCCCGCGCCTCAGGCGGTGCTTCGCCGTCCTGCTCGAGACGCTGCGCCTCTACACGCCCGTCCCCGTGGCCAAGTGGACGGCCGGCGGGACGGCGTCGCTGGAGGCCGGCGGGAGGACGTACGTCGTGCCGCCGAACACGATGGTCATACCTAGCTACGCGGCCGTCCACACGGAGCCCAAGTACTGGGGGTCTGATTCGCTCACCTGGCGGCCGTCGCGCTGGATCCAAGCAGCTGGCGCGCCTGGCATGGAGGAACTCATCACCCCGCAGAAGGGCACCTTTCTGGGCTGGTCCGAGGGAGCGCGTGACTGCCCTGCCAGGAAGTTCTCGCAGGTCGAGTTCGTGGCTACGGTGGCGACTCTGCTCCGCGACTGGCGAGTCGATCCGGTACCGCTCGATGGTGGGGAGAGCCTGGATCATGCGCGGAAGAGAGTCTTGGACTTGATCGAGAAGGACTCGGGACCTGTGCTGCTGCAGCAGATGTTGCACCCTGAGCGTGCATCTCTGACCTGGACGAAGAGGTAATCATAAGGACGGCTCAACAAGATGGACGGCACGGGTATCGACATGGAACCCACACCGGATCAAACGATGGGGGAGTCCACGTGAAGCAAATTCCTGAAGAAAGGCAGCGATGATACGAGCCGGGCAAGTTGGAAAGGGCACTTGCTGCCAGGCGAGGTCAAGCCGGGCATGGCGGACATGCTTCGAGAGAAGTGACAACTCTGAAGAAGCTTCTGGGTTACACTCCAGGGAATTTTACCAACAGGTCAAATGCTTCAGGTACTTTGGCAATACCGTGTCTTGTTACAGAAGCTACCGGCAGATTTGATCGGGGGCCAGGCGCCGTGGAACGGAGATGCCGGTGGTGAATCTGCTGTGGGATCATCCCTGTCCCCCGGACTCGGCCGAGACAACTCGGCCGTCTTGTGCCGCTAGGCAGCTTGTGGTCTAATAGGCAATGTGAGGAAGCGTCCAGACCGAAGGATTGCTTTGGGGCGTTGGAGTGGGTGTGAGGGATCTTGGCGGCATCTCCACCGCATCAGAGACCAATATTGTACCATCACTTGATGGAGATGAAGTCCACAGATTACGAGCGATCAAATGTCATCAAGATCCATCAACATGTGCACGGAAGGAGGGGCTATCAAAAGGTCCCTTCGTCCAGAGGAGGCCTGATGTGCTTATATTGAGGTGTGGGTCATATTCTCTCGGCCATGCACCAGTGATTGGCCGGGCGTCCCTGGAGCTTCTCAGAGGGACTTTTGCATAGCGCCGGGGTCTACTCTTCTTTTCGTCCCACGCGAAGCTCAACGGCTCCAGCTTTTCTCATTTTCCCCTCGCTCTCCGTGTGAGAGAACCTGGTTGCATATTAACACCGGCAAACACCTTCCCGGTGTAGGGACCAAGAATAGGCCACCGCCTGGGCGTTGAATGTCGATCCCGCGGATTATATGCGAGGTGGGTTCACACGAGTGCCTGCAGCAGCTCGGGGCGGGACCAAAAAGGCCACCAACACTTCCACTGCAACCTCAGCTCAAGCCGGCGTCAACTAGTTTGATCACAAATCGGCGTCTCTGTTTCTTGGGGCAGCCACTAGGCGCAGATGCATTACCAGCTCTTTTGAGGTGTTATAGGCCCAGGCCATGCAGCCTCGCTTTTTCCTTCCATCCTGCTTCTCGAACCGACCCTCCTATTACTCGTCGAACTGCCCACTGGTGTGGTTGCACGAAACCCGCCGTTGACCAGCCCTACCAAGTATATACTTAGTGACCCCTTTCCTTCTCATCTCATGAATACGCGATAAATCTATCCACATTCTTTTCCACAGTCATTAGCAATATTGCACATGCGTACCAAATCTACCGATAGACACTTGAGATACCCCTCGCTTCAGCGATCCAGAGCGGCACCTCGCCGGCACCACGACATATGCGGCCACAGCAGAGTTTCGGCAATAACCCAACACACAACATGGCATACTTTCACGCCCAAATGAGCCTGAGCGCCCTCGCCGGCCTGGCATTCATCCTCTTCACCGCGCTCCGCTTCATCATCGCCGGCCTGACGAACCCGCGCCGGCACATCCCAGGCCCATGGTGGGCCAAGTTCACGTCGGTGCCCATGAACTACCACCGGTGGCGGGCAGACAAGTTCAGATGGGCGCACCCGCTGCACCAGCGCTACGGGTCGGTGATCCTCATCGCGCCCAACGAGATCTCGGTCGGCAGCCTGGAGGGCCTGCAGACGGTGCACAAGATGGGGACGGGCTTCACCAAGGGCGCCTTCCACGTCAACTTCCGCATCGGGCCCGAGCCCTCCCTCTTCGACATGACCGACGCCAAGGCCCACGCCGAGCGGAGGAGGCTGTTCAGCCGCGCCTTCACGGCGCAGTCGCTGCGGCAGAACTGGCAGCCCGAGGTGCGGAGGCTGGTCGAGAAGGCGGTGGGGAGGATCAGGGAGGACGCTTCGTCCGGAGAGGGCGGGGCCGCCGACGTGGCCAAGTGGTGGAAGTTCATGGCGAGCGACGTCGTGTCGCGGCTGAGCTTCGGCGAGGCGTTCAACATGCTGGACGGGCTCGACAGGGCCGACATGCGGTTCTGGGCGGCCCTGCGGACCCTGGGGCAGGCCATCCTGCTGCGGCAGTACGTGTCGCCCGAGACCATCGACGTGCTCGCGAGGGTGCTGCCCGTGGCGTGGCTGAGGCGCGTGGCCGCTGCGAAGCAGGCCATCTACGACCAGGGGAGCATCGCCGTCGAGAACATGAGGAAGAAGGACGGCGACACGAGGAACATCTTCTACAAGATCGTCGAGGAGGCCGACCACAAGGAGGCGTCCGGGCTGACGGACGACGCCGTGCGCTCCGAGGCGGCGACTTTCATGATCGGCGGCGCCGAGACGACCAGCGCGGCGCTGACGTATCTCACGTGGGCGATAGTGAGGCGGCCCGGCCTGCAGAGGAGGATCGAGGACGAGGTCGCCGGCCTGAAGCCAGACTTCACTGACGAGGACCTCGAGGCCTTGCCGCTGCTGAACCGCGTCATCAACGAGAACCTGAGGCTGTACAACCCCACCGCCGGCGCGAACGCCCGGACATGTCCCCCAGGCGGAGCAACCATCGACGGGGTTTACATACCGGGAGGGTCCGTCGTGTGCACATTGGGCTATGCGGTCCATCGCATCCCAGAGATCTTTCCCAATGGTGGCGAGTAAGTTGACCCCCCAGTTTTCTCCTCGGCCACCCTCGTCCGCTGACAGCGCAATCTTCAGGTTCGACGAAACCCGCTTCGAGAACCCATCCCCCGAAGTCAAAGCCGCGTTTTCGACCTTTATGATAGGATCCCGCGCTTGTATCGGCAAGAACCTCGCGATGATGGAGCTGCGACTGGCCGGTGCCTTGCTCTTCAGGGAGTGCAGGGGCCTGCGCCTTGCCGCGAGCTGCACCGACGATTCGATGCAGCAGGTTCAGTGGGTGTTCACGGGGCCGAAAGGTGGGAAGTGCGAAATGACTTTATAATCGCAGATGAGCTTGCCGGGTAACTAATTGATTACATTGATATTTATTTTTATATTTACGCAGAAACAAAGCTATGCCGTGACCGGGCTGCATCATGCCCACTTCTTGACGACCAGCCTCGCGAACGCCAGCTCTATGTCCCAGGCAGGGATGAAGTTGTTGAACTTCCACCTCGACTCGTCCGGCACGTCGTCAAACGGCTTGGTCGAGTCCAGGAGGCACCTCAGCTCGGTGTACAGGTCGAGCAGCCTCCGGCTCGACGCCGGGTCGTCGTGGCACAGGCGGATCGTATGGTCGGACGACCACCTCTTCAGCTCCTCAAGGGCCAGTGGCGGCTCGACTTCCTTGTATGCCCACTCCTTCGACACAGCCTCGTACTCCTTCTCCGACTTCCTGACCTTGTTGCCTTTCCCCAGCAGCTCCGAAGGCCGCCGCGCGGGCCTCTCCCACTGCTTCCCGAAGACGATGGTGATCTTGCGCAGCTGCAAGAGACACCTGGGGAGCTTCTTGAACCACAGGCGGACCTTTGTCGGGTTCTCTATGAAGATGCTGGAGTCGAGCGCCAGGTGGGTCAATCTGGTCAGGACCGTGTTGTACCTGAGGTAGTCGCGCGCCTCGGGCCCCGGGTTCCGCTGCTGGAGGATGAGCTGGTGCCTCCGGAACCAGTGGAACTGCGACTTGGCGACGTAGACGGCGTCGTGCCGCATGTACTGCCGTATGAGGAGGTTGTCGAACTTGTCCCCCTGGGAGTTCTCGGCCCACGTGAAGACGTACTTTTTGTTCTTCTCCGCGACGACCCTGGACTCCTGGCACACGTTGAAGATGCTGGGCTGCGGCGATATGACGGGCGGGTCGTTCCCGCAGTCGTGGGCGTGGTGCCAGGGGAGGACCCCCGGCTCGCACCAGTCTGGCATCGCGAGCTCCCAGATGTCAAGGCGGAGCTCAGCTGGGAGTGACTGGAACGACGGCATTGCGAACATGTGAGCTAATGTTGGTACATCTGCTGCTGGACGATTGTGTGTGCTTGAATCGGATGGGACTGTGGAAATAATCTTCGCGATTTAAGCCCTGGGTTGAGAAATGTTTGCATCGACTACTGGCACGCCATCACATCGAGATTTGAAGTCGTTGCTTTGTTCAACTTGTTGTGTTACCTGAAAGTCGCCGGATCGGGGTTGACGACCCTGACGCTTGTCCGTTTTGGAGTGCTCTTTCGCGGCTGGACGAGATCACGACACAAATGGAATGCAAAGGGATGCATGTACAAGGCCCAAGAAGTGAAGTGAAACTCATCATCATCATCAAAATTATGCTAAGTTCTGAGGTGTTGCCAAATAACATCTTCATCGAGGTTATATATGCACAACGAACGACATTAAGTCTACCTGACACCCTAAACGTGAGTTAGCATACGCCCACCTAGCTTTTATAGTATGCCTACCTAGCTTTTAGCGTTAACCCACTTAATATAAGGAAATTAGCTGCATACATTAATAAAATATAGGTATACCTTAGGAGTTAGCTTTTTAAAACTATAGTTATCTTATTGCTTTATTATATTTACTTTGCTATTTTTTATATAATATATTTAGTTTACGTTTATTATATTAATATAAAGTGAAAAAAAAAAATTTTATAACTTTAAGTTAGCTTATTTACTTTATTATTATTTACTTTATATAATATTTAATTTATCTTATATCTTTATTATAAAATTACTTTTTACCTATTTATTTATATATTTAATTAACTTACTTATAAAATAGCGCTTATTTTTTTTTATTTCCTTAAATTAATTATTTTATAGCTCTTATTTTTAAATATTATTTTATTATTAATACCCTTAAACTTAACCTTAATATAATTATAAATAATTAAAATAATAACCTAAAAATAATAATTTAAATATTTAAAATATTTATAATATATTATTTTTATTCTTTAAGGTAATTATAAATATTTTTTAAATATAGCCTATAAAATTATATTTAAATTTAAGCAACTTTACTATTTACTTATTAAAATGTAATTTAATAACTATAATCCTTATATTAATACTTATAAGGTAAAGCATAATCCTTATTTTTAAAATATACTTAATATTTAAATTAAGTTATATAAATATATAGTTATAATTATATAAATTAAAAAAGATTTACCTTGCTATTAAATTATTATTAAATATATATTTAATAATAAAGCAAAGTATTATAATAAAAGAATAAATAAGATTATAAATAAGTTTATTAATAACTTTAAATAATAAATTAAAAAAGCAATAATAATTAAGCAAAAAAAACTAAAAAAGCTATTAATTTTATATAAAATAAATTGCTTATTTAGCTTTATAATTAAAAAAAATATAAGCACTTTAGGTAAATATACTTAATTATATATTTTATATATATTTATTAAAATATATAAGTCTTTTTTATATTATAAAAACCTTTTCCTTATATAATTATTTAGCATTTAAGACCCTTAAAAAACATTCCTTTATTAAAACTACCCTTTTATCTTACCATTAAAAATAATATAATATTTAGCTATAGCAATATTTATTAAATACCTTTATTATTTACTTTCTTTATATAATTCTATATAAGTAAATAACCTTTAAGGATATTAATAATTAATGCAAATTACTTAATAATTAAAATATTAAGGGCTAGCTATTAATTAAATGCCTTATTAATAATTTAATTAAAAATAGCTATTTAATTAACTTATTAATTAATGCAAAACATTAAATTAAGCATATTATATTTTATTTTATAAAGGCAATATAATTTAAAAGCCTTAATAACCCTCCCTTTCTTATTATAAATACTACCTATAATATTAATTAATATAAACTACTACTTATTTATATAATTAAAATAATATCTTAGCAATGCTTATATATTTACTTATTAGCTTTAATAAGCAGCTAAATAATTAAGGATTTTACTTAAGTGCTTAAAACATTAAAAAGCCATAAAGTTAACTATAACCTTTAAATAATAAATATTAAGATTGCTAAAAGCAATACTATTTAGGTAATATTTCCATAAGCATAAATTATTATACATTAATAGCACCTCCTTTAGGCATTTAAATATAATATTTACATTGCTTAATATATTTTAAATAATATAATGTTTAAGGAAATAAAGGCAAAGTTCCTTGCTATAATTAATACTACTTATATTAATAATTTTAAGAGATTTTAAAGCTTATTTTAATAAAAATAAGTAAAGATTAATAAGGGCGCAAAAGCTATTCACTATATTAATAAAACTTAACTTAATTACTATTAATAAAGCATTTATTAAGCATACTTCTTATATGCAATATACTTTAATATCTTTTTTATATTTATTATAAAGAGTTTATATCATTATTTAAAGACATAACTTAGCCGCTAAAAACATATATATATAATTATAATAAATGCCTTTCTTTATTTAATAATAGCTTTATTTTAAAGATTTTAAAATATTTTAGCTAAGGAGTTAAAAATAGCATTAAGCATATTACTTTATTTCCTTATATCCTTAGTTAATTTATTATTTATAATATCCTAAATTATAAATAACCTTTTTATTAATTATTATAATAAGTTAAAAAGTTTAAGTTAATTTAATATATTATATATAGGATTATTTTAATATATTATAAGATGCTTATATGCTTATAAAGTTAACGCTATAATATAAAAGGGTAAAGCGTTTTACTTAACTAACTTTTATTTATATTAATACTAATTAAAACCCTTTATATAATAATTAATATAAAAATTTACTTATTAATTATAACATTATATTATAAAGTTATTATTATATCCCTAAGGGCTCTCGCCATTAAAAAATAGTTTAATACTATAAGTTAATACCGAAAACCTTAATAAGCCTATTAATCTTAAGCTTAAGCCTATGCAAGAATTATATTTTGCCCCCTTTTTATTAAATAATTTATTATAAGATATAGGTATTCTTAATTATTTCCTTATTAATAATATTGCTCTTAAGATTAAGCTAAACAATCCATCCTTAATCCCACCCTTAATTCTATCTAACCTTATTAATACTATATATACCCCCTTAAATAAAGCTAAGCTTAATGCTCTTAAGCTTAATCTTAATTAACATATTTATATAAACATAAAAATAAACGCTAAGCCCTTTAATAAAATAAGGCCCTTCTTATTATTAAAGAAAAGGAGAATTAAGCAAGCTAAGAATAATTTTAAAAGGGTAAAGGCAAACCATTATACTTATAAGTTAAATGCATTAATTACTTTAATTAAGCAATTACTAAGCTAAAATAAAGCAATAAAGAAAAAAAAAGCAGCTTTTAAAAGGAAATATAAACAATGCTATTAATTTAAGCATAAATATATAAATCCTATTTATTTAAGCATACCATTAATTAAGGTAGCATAAATATTATTAAATTTTATACCTAATCTTAATAAATAAAACTTAAAGCATAGCTTTGCATTAAGGCCTACTTAAAATACCAGCTTTTTAAAAAAAACAATATAAAGTGCATTAAATATAATAAGAGTAAGCAACTTATTAAAATGCATATCCTTATATTACTTAATAATATTATTATTATATTTAAGCAATATATTAAAGCCTATTTATTAATTTTATTTACCATTTTCTTTAAGCATTTTAAAGTACCCTTTACTACCCATCCTTAATTTCCTAACGCTTTAGCCTTAAACCTTGCCTTTTAATCTTATAATATTAAATAATTATTTAGCTTAAGCCTTTTTAAATTAAGCAATATATAAAAAGCATATTAAAGTAACTATTATTAATTATAAACTAAATTAAGCTTAATAATATGCTAAATAAAATATATTTAAAAGACTTAATAATGCATAATATAAAAAGAGGCATGGGCTTTATTATTAGCCTGTAATCCGCGCTAGTATAATCCGCGCTGGTTAGCTTATAGCAAACTGGGCCTTATTAAATGATTTGCTAATATATAAAAGAAGCTTAATTATAAGAAATATTGTAAACTATAGGTTAGTTAGCTAAATTAATAGTGAAAAATATATATAGCTAAATTATGTAAAGAATAGCAATAATATAAATAATAATAAGTATTATAAGGGCTTAAAAGAGTTTAGCTTTATGCCTTTAGCTAATAGGATTGCAATTAAAAAGCGAAAATAAAGCAGGTTTGCTATTAATAATAATATGCTATTTTATATAATTTAAATATAAAAAATGCATAATTATACTTTATTTATTATAAATCTTAATAATTAAATCTTTAAAAAGATTTAAAAAAAGTTTAAGGTAAAAAGAAATTAATTATTTTATAAAACTCTTTATTTTAATTAAGATTAATAAAAACATTATATTAAAAAGGGTATATTTCCTAATATATTAAGAAAGTTAAGTAAGGAATTTATATAGGATTATATCATTATTAAGGGTAGTTTTTAAGCAAGGAATATAATATTACGGCATTTAATTAAATATATAATATATATATATAACAATTCTTAAATAAGTTTACTTAATATTAATATTTTAAATTATGCTATATTTATCTTAAATTTATTTAATATCTTTAAGCGCATTATTATTAAAACTTTTAAGCTTATTACCTATAATATAATTTATTATTTCTTATTAGGAAATTTATATTTCTTAAGTTCCTTATCCCATTACCTTTTAATTATGCATTTTACTAAGATTTTAATTAATATCCCTTTTATATTACTTAATAAGCTGGCTAAGTATGCTATATTTAAAAGTATAAAGATTATTATTAAATACTTTTTTTCCTTAAAATAAGCGGCGGGGATAAGGTTTAATTTTTCTTTTTTCCTATAATTATAGGATAAGCCTTAGCATTTAATACTTAACTAAATATATTATAGCATATAAATATTAAAAGGCATAACTTATTTATTTAAATATTCTTGGATTTTCTATTTATTTATATTTATACTTTAGCTTATTTACTTTTT